AGTGTTAGGGAACAAGCCAATCACTATTGGTCCCGCTTCGCATTCATTCAGTCCTCATGTCAGCCGTTGGCTGCTCCACCGCTAACGTGACGTTATACGTTATCCTTTGGTTTCCAAACGGGTGCTTTAATCAGTCTTAAACAGCATCGGTGGGCATTCCATTAATCTGCATTTCTCTCCGATTCATGTAAACCATAATTCTGTTTTATCATTGCACAGCAGTCCCTGAGACTAATCTCGAAAAAATCTTGGTGGAAGATGCGTCGGTCATTGAGCGTTAAACAGTCCACCGCTCAGTGACTAAAGAGTGAGAGTTCGGACCTCAGATCATGCGAAATTCAAGGGTTGGTTAAGGCTAACTGACGATGGCCAGCGAGTCAGAAAGGATCATTCCAAGTTTTCTTGCCTTTGTGGATACTTTTCGTTCTGTGTAGTATTCTCTTCTGCATTAACAAATTATGCAGCTTACTGGAGCGGTTTGCTGGTGGCTAAGCATTATTTTGGAAAACCTTGCAAAAAACTTGCAAAAACTTTGCCGCCAGAATACTGAGATTTTAACAAATCGACTTAGTAATTCGGACTGAAAATTTTACGACTCGTTTTTGCTGGAAACGTTCTCAGTTTCATCTCGGTTTGTTTTATTGCCAGTTGACACTAACGTTTCCCAAAATAATATCCATTCTATGAAGCGCAACATATGAGGTCAAGTTTGCTACTTATAATGCTGGTTGCAACTGTGCGTCTGTATGTTAGAAATTAAACGTCCCCAGGGGTAAGTTGTACTCCCGTGGGCTCGAGGTCAGCAGAGGCATGTATTTATGCCTTGAATGCTGCCGCTACTAATCCACCCAGGGGGAAATCGCGAAACTCAAGGGCATCATCCATCAAAAGTCATCCTGTCTGAGAGTATCGTTTAGACCGAAAGGTAGAAAAGTGGTCATGAAACGATAAATACCATAAAGGAGTAGACAACAAACGATAACTCAGTTAATATAGGACAGCTTGAGGAAGAAAGTCTTTTCTCAACCGAATAAACGCGCTTTCTACTAACTTCCAGGACGTGAGTCTTCATATCTACTTCATTGTGCTGCAGCAAAGCTACCGTTCCAAGAATTCTTCCAAAAATTCCGCAAGATGGTAGAGGGAGGCAAAATGCCACGCAGAAGGCATGTTTTATTTTTCAACACTGTCCGCGGGCGGATCTTAGTATTAAAACTCCCATTAACTCTAAGTCTGTAGCTTTCCAGGTGACCAAAAATCGATAGGCGGAGCTTGACAATCAAATTAGGCTACTCTGTTGGTTATTGGAAATAACAAATCAAACGTTAATCTCGTCTTCGCTCTGGAAAAGCTGATTCAAATAAGTCTTCACTGAAATGTGTTTTCTGGTCCCCTCTGGAGTGATGCTTCAGACAGATGCAAGGAGCATAAACATTTAGCTGAGGGCAATCAGCGTAATGCAGAATGGGTTTCCCTAATACCATAGGCTACTTCTTCAGGGGCGAACGTCCTTCGCCATCGGGAACGACGTCTTGAGACGAATGTGCTGCCTGCCATAGGGCATAATATCAATGAGGCGGCAACTCCAGAATAATAAATTCGTCACTGTTGTCAGCGCCCATGTCCCCTCAATGACCAACTCGGGTGACGTGAAAACACGTTCTACAAAGACCTACACGCACTCCAAACAGTTGTGCCAAAAGTAGACAAACTGATTACCCCTGGTAGCATCAATGCCCTGTCGGCACAGACCACATCGCCTAGGAGAGGGTGCTCGGTTGCCATAAAATAGGCGGTTGCAACGGCGATGGCCTTCTACTCCTACAGGCCTTTTCGGAACACAGTCTCCTACTGACCAACCACTTTTTCCGTCTTCCAACGTGGATGCACCCCTCTTGCGTCACTGACACCTGATGGACTGCGTCTTACTTCAGAGGCATGAAGAGCGTTGCGTGTTCATGGCCAAGGCAATGGGCAGTACAGACCGTTTAACTAACCGCCACTTTATCATTTCAAAGATGTGGCTCCAACTGCGACGGCGTAGATGACCGCAAGGTAAGTTAACAACATGTAGGTGGGCAAAATCTCATTTCGTAGCCGTATCTGTTAGGAGTTAGGGCTAGGGGCTTGGGTTAGAGGTTAGGGTAAGGAGTCAAGCTGCCGCTTCTCCACTGCAGGTACGGCTACGAAATGAGATCCGGCAGGTATGTGAAATATCGTACTAGATGGTATGGCAGAACGCCGCTTGGATTTTAGTAGCTACATGAACTCCAAGCTGGAAGGAATCAAAACTCCCGAGTGTCGAAATCTAGTGGCAGGCGCTGCAGCATATCGTCCGGGCCAGCGTGACGGAAGCCGCTGCTTGCAACCCCCGTCAGCAACTGAATTACTTTGATGACATGAGGAAAAAAATCCGCATTCCCCCTCTGAGATCAACGCAGACCACGCACGACTAACACCATCGACAATAACAGTAACGACAATAAAACCGCATCCATCCGATGCTGAACCCTGGTAAAACAGGGGTCAAGGGAAATATAGAACGACTGGCTGATATGCAAAGCTGAGGCGATCCAGGGATATGCCTACTGTGATGAGACGAAAGATCTATTCGCAGCCATTTGAGCAGTCTACTATCCCAAAGTCAAGCGGACTGCACTTCTGTTGAACCAAGATGATACAGCTCTCCTGACAGAGAGGTCACAGATCCCGAAGCGCTGGGCGGTACACTTCCACGATATCCAAAACCATCCGAAGACAATCTACGAGAAGGCCATTAATTGACTTCCTCAAGTGAACATGAATGCCGACCTCGATCGTTCGTCCCACATCCTTGAGACCATCAGAGCAGTGCAATAGGTGTGCAGTTGGGAAGCGCTGGGAGTTGAGGTCTTCAAATACGGCGGCCCACAACTGACGAGAGAATTTATCTGATTATTTTAGGAGATTTCGCGACAAGGACATATCCTGTAAGACCTCCAGGATGCCACCATCCTGCGCACTTATGAATACAAAGGGGATCAACATTTGTGCGATAACCGCGAACGCATATCCTATCTCAATATCTCAAGAAAAATCTTTGCCCGTGTTCTTCTCAATTGCCAGAGAGCTCATTCGGAGCAGGGACGTTTTCTAGAAACACCGCAGAATCATGATCTTAACGGTTCAGCAACTGCCGGAAAAGGCCAGAAAACGAGAACCAACCTCCACACGACATTATTCGGCTGGGCCTTCAGAGCAGGGAATCGCGATGTATCCTGGAGAACAATGCTAAAATTCGGATGTCCTAAACGATTTGCTCAAGTGGTAAGAAAACTCCACGATGGGATGATAGCTCGTGTCACGGACAACGGGGCAATCTTTGAAGCATTTGAAGTGACCAGTGAAGTGAAGCAGGGCTGCGCACTGGCCCCGAACTTTTCAATCTCTTGTTCTCGGCCATGCTGATGGACGCCTAATCTGAGGATCAGCCAGGGAGCGACGCTAACTACCGAACCGACTGAAGGCATCTCCGAGAGTAACCAAGGCCAGAATTCGCGACATATTGTTCGCGGATGAATTCGCGTCAAACATTACAACGGGGGATGATATGCAGCAGAGTGTGGACATCTTCGACAATCAGCACAGAGACGATCGCGGTCCTTCACCAATCGATGCCAAATGTTGACTGACAATTGTTAGCGGACAAACTCGCGTATCTTTGGAGTACAATTTCAAGAAACATCGAGATAAACCATGAAATCACACCTCGGACCTCCAAAGTCAGCCATGCTTTCGGCCAGTTAAAGCAGCCCTTATGGAACCGTCACGGAATTCTACTCAAAACAAAACTGAGGATGTGGAGGGTTGTTGTACTGGCAAAGCTCCTGCACGAAGCAGAGACTTGGACTGTGTATGAGCGTGAAGCAAAAGGGGTCAGTCATCTTGATTTCCAAAGAATACCAAAGGTAAAGTGACAGCAAGGCGTGTCAAACACTGAGATCCTGGATAGAACCGGCGTCCTCAGTATCCACACCAAGCTGAGATAAATACAGCTGAGATAGAGCAGCTACGTCGTAGGATGAACGACGAGCGACGTAACTGACAGTTCGACCATCGGTTTCGATGATGTCCACCGTGTGCCCCACAGTTGCAGCAGCAATGGGCGCAGGGACGGTGACTTACGCAGGGGTTTATAGAGCCGGTAGACTTGCGTAGCATCTACCTACAATCTCTCCTCCTCCCTCGTCCGAGCCCGGTGTCAAGACAGAGTCAAGAAGACCGGAGACAAGGGAGGCCGCAGGTGGATGGCTCGGACGGATCCTCACCTTGGCGTTCCACCACACCCCCTGGTCCACACAACAAATGACCAGGATTTCAACCAATCACAACAGAGATTTGGAGGCTGGCACGGCCGAAGTCGCACCTGGGCGTGTCGCCAACGCCTGGCTCGGATCCCACACTGTGATGGGTGTGCCATAAAGGCCACATTAAAAAGGAGCCATTGCAGCCTGACTCTCAGACCGCCTCCGGTCAAGGAGGAGGTCCAAGTTACCCCGTCAGTTGGCAACCTTCCAAGCCACGGCTTTTAGCGCACCGTGATAGCTTCAAGCGCGTCAGATTGTTTATAGTGAGGAGAAAGTGCGCTGAGTCGTCGACCTCACTCTCCCTTCCCACTCCCATACCCCAGCCGCTGTCCGAGCCGGTCAGCAGTTTGGAGTGGGGAATGGGCGCGGTGGCTGTCATGGTCGACTGACCATGACTGCGCGCGCCACGGCATGACCTGGCCCCCCATACACACAACACCAGGATTTCACACAACGGGGGTTGAACGGCGTGTCTCTCACTTGCGTGAGAGTGCCGTGGAAGGTGCTGTTTCAGCCCGTCCCCAGCCCACCAGTCCGCCACTCCACACAACACACACACACACAACGCGACGAACTGCGTGACCGAGAGCGGGCGTCAATCAACAGCCTTCCTATCCACGACGCTTGAAGTGTCGGGATAGTCTCGGACTAAAGTCACCCGTGCAGCCGAAGCCGCATGGAGACCGAGTCGAGATGCGGACTTCCCACTTGCGTGGGAGGTGGCAGTTGGGTGCATGAGGTGTATGAGTGTTGATTTCTGATGGGGTGATGGTGGTGGCGGTGGCGGAGGAGGAGGTAGGGAGTGAGTGAATGTGTGGTGTGACCTGCGGTAGACAACCGCAGGTCGTCGTGGATGCGCATGTGGCCGAATAGGCCCATGCGATGCCTGAAAGTGCGAGGGCAGTGTGGGCAGTTGAGACGAGCTTGGTGGGTATAGGTGGGTGCTCCAGGCACTGGTTTGCCAGTCTCTGTGCGATGGATTCGCAAGTGACCGACCAGGCCGATGCGTGAGGTGAATGTGCGTGGACTGTGTGGGCATGAGAAGTCGGCGGTGTAAGTGTCAGCTACAGAGGAAGCGGTGGTGGTGGTGGTGGCGCGGACGGATGGAGCGAGGGTGGGGGTGTGCACGGTGGCTGTGTTGGATGTGGTGGGTGTGTCGGGAGTGCGGTCAAGGCCGCTCTCGTGGATGCGCATGTGGCCGAAAAGGCCCATGCGATGCCTGAAGGTGCGAGGGCAGTGTGGGCAGTGCAGGCGAGTGCGGCGGGTGTAGGTTGGTGCTTCAGGCACTGGTTCACCAGTCTCTGTGCGATGGATTCGCAAGTGACCGACCAGGCCGATGTGTGAGGTGAAGGTACGGTCGCAGTGAGGGCAGGTGTAGTCCTGATCCTCATCCCTGGAGTCGATGAAGGTGGTGGTAGTGTCGGTTGTTGTGCGCGGGACAGTCGCCTGAGCGGCCGCCGTTGGAGCAGTGGGCGAGGAGGAGGAGGAGGACGATGATGGAAGTGGTGGGTCAGAAGAATTGTCAGAGTTAGTTGGCGGCGGAGAGGAGGAGGAAGAGGCGGGCGGGGGGACGATGGTCAGTGCCGTTCGAGAGGCGCAGATAATCCGAAGATGTCCAACAAATCTGATTCGAGCCCGGAATGTCCATTGACATTGAGGATACGTTGGAAGCGGTTGTGCGGCGGCGTTGCGTACTGGGCGAAGTTGTGATTTGCGGGCTTCGCGTTTCGCTTTGGCGGCGGTGATGCGGTTGGCTTCGTAGATCGCAGCGCCTGTCTTCAATCTCCTCCTCCAGGTCGGTCGATCGAGTGCGAGCTCCCCCCAGTTGGTGGGGTTGATTTGCAGGCGTTTCAGGGAGGACTTCAGGGTATCCTTGTAACGGCGAGTCTGGCCTCCTTGACGGCGAGAACCCGTCGCGACGTCTCCGTAGAAGAGTAGTTTGGGTAGTCGCTCGTCGTCCATGCGCACCATGTGGCCGCTCCAGCGCAGCTGAATTTGCCTCAGTATGGCGTAGATGCTGAGAATTCCCGTCCGTTCCAGCACATCAGTGTCGGGGATTCGATCCTGCCAGTTCAGCCTCAGGATGCGACGAAGACAACTGAAGTGGAAGTGGTTCAGTCGGCGTGCCTGCTTTGCGTACACCGTCCAAGTCTCCGCTCCATACAGTAGTGTCGGCAGGATGACGGCCTTGTACATCTTCGGCTTCGTGCTCAGCTGAAGACCGTGGCGATTCCAAACTGTGCTTTGGAGGCGACCGAAGGCTTGACTGGCTTTCGAGATCCTATTGGCGACTTCGTCGTCGATCTTGGTGTTGCGGGAGAGAGTACTGCCCAGGTACGGGAGGTTCTCCACCACTTGCAGTTGGGTTCCGTTCACGCTGATTTGCGGCGGCGCGTTGGGGGCTGTGACTGAGTGGGGTGGCGGTTGGTGCATCACCACCGTCTTCTGCGTGTTAATAACCAGACCGAAGTTCTCGCAGGCGGCGGAGTACAAGTCCATGCTCCGTTGCATCTCTTCCGAGGTGGTATTTAGGGCGCAGTCGTCGGCGAAGAGGAGTTCGTGAACGGTGGTTGTGGAGACGCGCGATTGGAAGTGCATCCGCCGTTGATTCAGGAGGTGACCGTCCGTCCTGTAGGCGATGCGGATCCCGGGGCGTTCGTCGCAGTAGGCGTCCATCAGCATGGCAGCGAACATAAGACTGAAGAGGGTAGGCGCCAGTACGCAGCCCTGCTTCACGCCATTGGTCACTGCGAATGCCTCTGAGACAGCTCCGTTGTCCGTGACTCGCGCCATCATACCGTCGTGCACCTGACGCACCATCTGAGTGAATCGCTCCGGACAGCCGAATTTCTGCATGATCTTCCACAGTCCTTCACGATTCACCGTGTCGAAGGCTTTCGTCAGGTCCACGAAGGTAGAGTACAGGTGGGTCCGTATCTCCTGACACTTCTCCTGAAGTTGACGGGCGGCGAAGATCATATCCGTGGTCCCACGATGACGACGGAAGCCGCATTGGATTTACGGCAGAAGTCCCTGTTCCAGATGGTTATTAAGGCGGTTGAAGAGGATTCGTGCGAAGATCTTCCCGGCGATGTTCAGCAGGGAGATGCCGCGGTGATTGTCGCAGACTTGGCGATTCCCTTTGCGCTTGTAGAGATGCACGATGGTTGCGTATTTGAAAGCTTGCGGGACTTCACCTTGACGCCACATCTCTTGGAAGAGCGCAGTCAGGTGATCCATCAGTTGGGGAGCTCCGTGTTTGTAGACCTCAGCAGGGATTGCGTCCGATTCGGGTGCTTTCCCGCTGGAGAGCTGCTGCACGACCCTGATGGTCTCCTGAAGAGATGGCGGGAGGTCGAGGTCCACGTTGGTCTCCACTTGCGGCAAACGCTCGATGGCGGCGTCGGAGACGACGGAGGGGCGGTTGAGGACGCCTCGGAAATGCTCGGCCCATCGCTTTAGGATTTGCGTCTTCTCAGTCAGGAGGATGTTGCCGTCGGCGCTGAGGAGAGGAGCGGTGCCCTTCGTCGGCGGACCGTAGACAGCTTTGATCGCGGAGAAGAAGTTCTTCCATTCGTTGTGGTCCGCGTATCCTTGGATCTCCTCAGCTTTGCGAGCAGTCCAAACGTCCTGCGTCTCGCGCAGTCGTTGCTGAAGTTCGCGGCGACTGCGGTAGAAGGCAGCTTTGGTGGCATCAGTGGGGTGATCTACGTAGGCTTTGTGTAGGCGGTTCTTCTCAGCAAGCAGATTCCTGATGGCGGCGTCGTTGTCATCGAACCAGTACTGGTGTTGGCGGGGAGCGCGACCGAGGACGGCGAGCGCCGTCGACTGGACCGTGTCTCGCAGTTGACACCAGCGGTTCTCCACGGAGGCGTTCTCGGCAGCGGCGGCGTCGGCAGCGATAGAAAGGTTGTCTAGCCTCTGAGCTAGCTCATTGCTGAAATGAAGATGGTGAGCTGGCAAGGACAACAAGGCAACATTTAGCTTACCTGGGGGTCGCTTACCTTGCGGTCTCCTGCGAGGCTGTAGGCGAAGACGCATCTTCGAGCTGACGAGGCGATGGTCGGTCCAACCGTCAGCACCCGCGATCGCCTTTGTCACCAGCACGTCCCGCTGATCTCGCCTCCGGACGAGGACATAGTCCACCAGGTGCCACTGGCGCGACCGAGGATGCCTCCAGGTGGCCTTCTCTCGCTCCGGCAGGCAGAAGAAGGTGTTCGTCAGGATGAGGCGATGTTCTGCGCAGGTGCGGAGAAGCAGCAGACCATTGTCGTTTGAGCCGCGGAGACCGTGGAGATCCAGCACTCCTCTCCAGGCAGTATGGTCTGTGCCGACGCGGGCATTGAAGTCCCCAAGGACAATCTACTTGTCCGCCTTCGACACAGTCGCCAAGAGGGCGTGCAGGTCCTCCTAGAATTTGTCTCTGACGGCGTCGGGGTTGGTCATCGTCGGAGCGTAGGCACCGATGATGGTGGCGAATTTGCCTCCCCAAAGAGGCAGGCGGAGGCTCATCAGGCGATCGTTGATGCGCTGCGGCAAACAAAGCAGTCGTCCCACGATGTCGTTCCGAATGGCGAAGGCGACACCCGCGTCCCGTCGCTCTGCCCTGGGTCGACCGCTCCAGAAGAAGGTGTAGCCGGCACCCACCTCCTCCAGTTGGCCTTGTTCGGAGAAACGGGTCTCGCTGAGTGCGGCGATGTCCACCTTGTAGCGCGCCAGTTCTCGTGCCACTAGCGCCGTCCTGCGTTCCGGTCGATTGCTTCTCGGATTGTCTAAAAGGGAACGAACATTCCAGGCTGCCAGAGCGAGCGGGCTCACCCTGCCAGTCTGGTGACAACGAGTGGAGCGACGGGAAGGAGATGGAAAAGAAGGTGACGAAGGAGAAGAATAGGCAGAGGAAGAGGAAGAAGAGGTAGGATGAGGAGAATGAGTATGCTTGTTGTTGTTATTGGTATTGTTGATGTTTCGATTTTGATTGTATCGACCATGATTAGACGTCTGCGGCCCTGGCTAGCCTGGAGACGGCGTGGTACCCAGCAATGTTTAGGCCACCTTTTCTAGGCCCTTTCCCTCGTGGGGGCTGGCAGTGCCATCCCTGAATAGGGCTGCCATGTGCCGTTGTGGCACGGCCGAACTCCACTATGGGACCACGACTTCGGGTTGTAGTGGAGAGCGACTCGAATTCGCCGTAAGCCGCGGTCTCCGACGGCGTAGGTGGGCGCGTCAAGGCGATGTCGATGTGGGGATCCATCCCGTCACCGGCTGTCCAGCGGCGTGCAGAGACGAACCACGTCACGGAATTCGCAAACCCTGTGCACACGGCACAGCGCACAGGGCCCCCTCGCCTGGTTTAGCCCGCCGGTCGAGACGGTTGCCCGGGGTGTGGCCGCTGAGCAGAGTCCAGCTACGTGGAGCCACAGGTGAGAGTTGAGTGCCAGCAAGTGGACGCTAGGCGCAGTCTCACCTGCAAGCAAGTGAGCGACCACCACGACCATTACGTGAACCCACCGCTGACACCCCTACACCCCACACCTACAGGTGGCCGACGACACGGGGCATAAAATCGTCGCCACAAAGTCACCCTGAAGAGCCCAATGCAGGACCTACAGATCAACCCGAAGATTTGGAAGGATTTCGTTAAAAATCTTCAGACATGGCGCGCTGCCATTCATAGTGGGGCAGTCATGAACAAAATCAACTGAATAACTGCTGTTCGGGCAAGGAAGGAGATCCACAGGACTCGACTGCTACGGAACAACACAGCACCTCCCATCGCGTCCACACTGTCAGCGGACGTCCCGGGCACGGAGCATTCTTGTTGAATGTTTTCGGGCCCAGTCTTATGTCAAGACGGCCAGCCCGTCCTCATATCACGGTAGATAACCGCAATCCTCACCGCTGGCATCACTAATAAGGACACAGCCATTGACTTGTAAAACATTACAGCCCTTGTCAGTATCGGAAACACCAAGATACGCCCGTCGTAGTCACTTCGCCTAAAACACTGTCCAAAAGCGCTCGGTAATCGCGTGGGACTACTCCGACATGTGCGCACCCATGCGAATCTTCGATAAAACCGTGCTCCAGTCACTTGAATCATGCATTTTCCTACCTACCCACGCATCCCTACGCAGAAAGCATGTGATCCGCCCCGCCACTGCTAGTATGATCTGCGCAACGTCATATCTCAGAAAATGGACATCTCCTGCAAGTGATAAACATGTTCTTTGATTTGTTCTGGTGTATGAAGGAACCAGGTCGCGTGTGGTATGCTTAGATGGGCTGGATGACCCTGTCAGTAACTACGTATGATTTCATTGCCAGCTATTGGACGGACACGGAAAGTTGACTGGTGAGTGGGAGAGGGAACAGAATGCGAGATCGACAGTGGGAAATCCATTCCAACGGAAAATCAGTGCACTCATCATCGAAATGAATCTTACGTGCTGGAAATCATCAAGGTGCACTAAAAGGCGAAGCCTTGAAGGCTGCCAACTGACTAGATAACTGGGTTTATAAGGTCAGTTTCGTGTGTGTATGCGACGACTGAGATACAGGCTCAACGACTCCTTCCTAGTGTGGCCTCAATGACACGCCCACGAACGTGGGATATTAGCCCCCATTTCCGCAAAGACCTATTACTTTGTGCGGGGATCACGTCGCCTGTGGCGCGCGTAAATGGTTTGTCAAGCACTGTCAGTCACTGCGCCCTAGTACACCCCCGGTCATCTCAGCACTGTTTTTCCATCGAAGCGTGGTTGGCGAAGGAGATAGGGATGGTACATGCTGCGTAAACCTGCTTCACTATAAAATAACTCACATATAAGTCACCGGTGTTACGCGAACCCCACCGTGGGACACACAATGACTGTCATCGCTTATGAAGTCCAAGTTTCCAGAGTCTACCATTCAGTTTACTCTGTCAAACTGATAAAATATCTACACCTTATCACAGTGGACGATAAAACCTGGTTCAAAGTCACTTATCCTTGTCTTCTGGGCTAAATTCATGGAACGATGTCCGTGCCGGGCTGTTTCCATATAGGAGCTTTTTGCATAGTTAGGTTTTACGTGTAAACCTTCAAGTAAATTATGTTAGTTTACAGGCAGTTTTAAGACAGTAAATAAAGCTGTAATTACTAATGGACATCCAGATTTATTTGAGATACAAATCCAACATTATTTTAGTAGCAAACAGAGAACCATCAAGTGAAACTAGCGCCAGCTCTTAGTTAAGCGCTGTGATGTAAAAATGTGCTGTATTTGCAATAGCATATGCAATTTAACATACTATGAAAAAGTGTAGGGTGAACTGCTTCGAATAATGTAAAATAACAAGCGTGATAGAAGAGGGGGTCTTACAACAGAACAAACTACTTAAAAATCGCTAATAACTCGCTAAATAAACAAAACTTGAAAATTCAGTCCGTAAACTTAAAAATGCGAGACATGATTGTGGGAGAAGTTATAATTAAATGGTACTGGAGACCGGGCGGACGCATCACGTTAAGAGAATCTCTCACATTAGGAAGGTACCCATAAGTCGGTTCCTGGACAACGCACGAACGAATATCCAAATGGAGTTGACATAACATTTCGAAATGCCGTCTTTGAGTAATCTCAGTGTCGTTTTTGACATATATAATCAACGAAAATGTTGCAAGGTAAGACTGATAGACCGCTCCTTGCGCAAATAAAAAGCACCCGCACAGGGAAAGTACGGCAATATACGACGAAGCGCTAATTTCGTGCCCATTCTTAAATTATATATCCTAAGCCCACTCGTACATCTCGATTCCAGCGATTGCTGATAGAAGCGAACAGGCGAGTCCCAGGTAGCGGTTCAGAAGATGATCTGCGAATGTCTCTGATGATGGGTTCGAGTGAGAATCCGAAACGTCAGGCAAATAAACTTCTTGTCCCAGTGATCGCATCTTCATCTTCTGACTCCAGCGATGCCCACCGCGTGCTCCACAGCAGGGTGACAGCAGGAACAGTGACTTGCGCATGAATTAATAGACTTGTGCAGCATCTACCGCTCTCTTTTGTCCCCCGCCTGGAGCTGGTGTCAAGACAGAGTCAAGAAGATCGGAGGCGGGAGAGGTCGCGGGTGGCTGGCACGGAGAAGACCTGCACCTAGGCGTGCCAACACAAACCCTGGTCCACAACATACACTGATCAGGATTTTATACAACGACAAGCAGGGGTCGGCCCGGACCTCTCGCAATGAGAGTACCATAGGAGTCACATTATGAAACCACTGCAGCCTGACTATTAGTCCACCAGTTAGTCACTCTACAAAAGTATATACAGGGCTGACTACGAGATGTGAGTTGAATCACCCGTTGGCAGCCTTCAAAGCGATGGCTTTTAGCGCACCGTGATGGCTTTAAGCGCGCCAGACTGTTTAAAGAGAGGAAGACGCACCGAGGCGTCGATCTCACTCTCTATGCCAATTCCCATGCCCCAAGCCCTGTCCGAGCCGGTCAGTTCTCTGGTCCAAGGAATGGGCGCAGTGGCTAACATACATATCCTGTGACCTCGTTTGCGCATGCAACATACACGACCCGGCGCCAGGATTTCTCACAGAAGGGTTTCGGCAGCATGTACCTCACATTCGTGAGCGCTGGAAGTCACGTTACGAAGGCGACATTGCAGCCTGCCTCTCAATCCACTAGTCGGCTGCTCCACACAAACACACAGTGGGCTGGGTCTGAGTTCCATTCTCAGTTGGCAACCTCCCAAGAAGCAATTACACAAAATATTACAGAACAGCAATCCGAACTACCTAACAAAAATAAGTAGCAATAGTGCACGCGAGGAAACAAGGGTGGAGTGGTGATGCCATCTTTTTACCTGTGTTTACGCATCACTCTAGTTAAACATTTTTTTTTCTATGTCTGATGGTTCGGACCACTTTCTTGTGGGGGAGCATTCAAAATCTTTATTTTAAGCATGCCCTGTACAAAGAGCTCTGTAAAAAATCTGTCGAGAGAATTTGTTCGAGATGGGCACGTAGACCGTACGTGAGAATATGCCACGCCAGCAGTTGCGCCCCTTCATTGCAATATTTACTAACAGAAGGCGAGACAGCGAGCCAAGGCCGTTAACGAAAAAAAAACATAACAGTACTCAAATTTATGCACACAGAGGAGTGGGGCCAATAAACAAGTCGAGTTAAACACAGACAGGAAAGCCCTCTAACACAGACATAGAATGTAAGCTTAAGAGGCTTTCTGAGAGAGCTTCTTATCAGCGCAAGTTGGCTTCCTCATTCACAAATCCCCTCCCCCTTCAGCATGGCTTAGGCAGCATCTGAACGGCTGGGTTGTATGGCAGTACGGTTAGACTGTTCTGAACTTTACCGACCGAAGCCATATGAAAAACATTTACAAGGCGTTCGCAAACGTGCACGTGAAACGTTGTTTCTAGGATCAGCCCGTCCGCAAGCTGAGACAAGAAAGGCCGTCGGATCGACTTATGAAAGAGAAATCTCCACCAGTTTCGCGGCAAAGGGAAAACGGAATACGAAGGTGATGCGAGAATCCGCTGATCGGGTCAGCCAAAAATAAAAAGTAGGAGGTCGGTAAAAATGAGAAGTGAAAGGTGGGGGATTCACTGGAAGCGGGAAAAACGTGAGCGTGCAGGGAACGTTGGAATGTCTACGATTCTTAAAACTGACAAAATTGATAAATGGGACGTAGAGAGGGGCCAGTTTTCAAGGAAAATTGCTGAGCATCACAAAATAAAATCTCATAGAAAGTTTAGATCGCAGGTCTGTGTGTATTATTATGCGTTTATGTTGATAAAAAATTATTTGTTTTAGTGGCGGTAAGGGGTTGGGGAGCTGTCTGATTAGTCAGCGAAATTGAAGACTTCTGGTAGTAACACGTCGAAATTCGTTTTTGTTGGTTTGCGGCAGTGAAGAGGGACAACGACGCGCACATAAAGTTGTCAGGGGAGGCATCAACTGGTACTACTTCGATAAGTGAAAGTCTGATATTGGATATGCGGCACCTGTTGAAGTGTAAACGAAGATATGAAAAGGGAAGAAGCCGGATAATGTGGAAATTAACAGCGAGCGACACTGGTGCCGTTATGTTAGTAAAGTTAACGGAAAAGAGAGGATTAAGCGTACATAGAATGGAGCAATGTACACTGATAAAACGCGCATATATATGTATACTTATGTACAAAGAAAGATGGATAGCGGTAGGAGGAGACGAGATATATCACACTGAAAAGTGTTTAATGTTTTCTAGCCTCCTCGAAGCATGGTAAATAAATACTCCTGGGAATACGGCGCCTGCGTGGTGGCCAGCGTAGAATGCCTATAATCTGAATGAAGCCTCGAGGAACTGCGGAAAGGTGAGTAAAAAAGGGGGCGCTTAAGTAAAAGAAAGACAATTTTTGACCTAAAAAATAAAAGCACTGATAGATTTTATTAGAATGAAGCGGGGATATAGATGAAACCTCCTTTTATGCATATTAGTGAAGCCTTATAACGAGATGACATACATGCCTCCAGAACACATTTTCATCCCTTATTTGAAAGTGCTGCAGTGGGACAGAGAACTCTCACTTATTCGCACTAAATGACGAGGAGATGTCCGGTGGCTGCACCCGTACTCTGGTAGGAAAAGAGGAATAACAGTGACTAAGGGTGGACACATCCGCTACTAAGCTGTCACCATCACTTGCCCCTATTCCTGGTTTTTGACTTAAGTACGCCAAAGTACTTATCCGTTCGGACGTGCTGGTCTGAGAGCAGACTAGCTGAGACACCTCATCTATCTCACAGGCACACCCTAAAACTATCAACACATATCATGGCCACTGTCACCGGAGATACTGACTTTGGATCCTACACGGAATAAAACCCCCATTCCAGTGTCTTTAGGTTTCTACTGCTGCCGCAGACTCCAGGTCGACAAGATATACCCACTACCTTATCAGCTACCTACTTGCGTTAACGACTCAATTCCGTTATCAGAAGAGAGACTTTTTTCACCTGTCTTCGGACCATGCACTTGGAGAATTCTGAGTTGGAAGTGTTTATTATATCAAAATGGAAGCGTCTTTCCTCTCTTTGCATCTAGCATTTTACCTGCTGTCCGTAAATGCAGGTCTGTTTACAAAGTGTGGCCTTCTAGTAAGTGGTGCTATATAAAACATTCAAAGCAAATATTACAGGATCTGCGATCTGGAGACACTTAGGTCCTAATTTTTCAAAAAGGCAGACTTTTGACAAAGACATACCTCTTCTATTGTCAAAGATATACGTCCTGCGACTTCAGAGGAGCTAAAGGAACCTGGAGAAAAAGCAGCAGGGAATCATTATGAATAATGCTCAAAATTTTGTATAACATCAGCCAACGAATCGAAATGAGATTATGACAGTCCTCATCTATTGCACAAACAGCCCGTGCACAGTCTTTAACCAAAACTGGGTGGGAGTTATCTCCCTTCTTAGAATGAATGCAATTATTCTCGTCTGGGCAGCGAAGGTAGAAGAAAAAATCTTTCAGGAACTAAATAAAATTTGCAACAAGGCCCACCAGTTGTTTTCAGACAAGTAGCAACTTCTTCTGGCCCGCGACCAGTTCAAGAGTGGCGCCCAGAGCATAGTCATCTGGTCGTCTAGAAGCCCGCCAAATCGTGACTCCGCGGAGATCTGTCGTGTGCGGCCAGCTTGGTGGAGGGATACTTTTTTTATTTTGCGTTTTCGAAGGCGGATGTCTCCGTCTAACCCTTCCAGTCCAGTGATGTGAGATCCCAGTATAACTTTGGATAGCGACAAGTGAGTGCCGGATAGAATTCGCTATCCTCGTGACCTTCCCATTAAGTAACCAGTGTGGTAAACCAGTGTTTGTCCGCCACTTCGTCCTGCTGTTTTCACCGTGTCCCTCATTGCGTTCGTAGATGGGGAAACGGGGTTTCCGACACTGTCGCAAATCGAGGTGGATTTTATCAACAAAAATCAGCCATCGAAGTCCAGGTCAAGCCCCCATCAAACTGCGTAGAGAAGTAGCCCAAATGTGCTGTCATCTGAGCACATCTCTCTTGTGTCCGAGACATCCCTCCACCCATTACCAACAAAACCATCATTCGTGAGTTATTTTCACATGCCCAACCTGTCAATGAACATGCATCGATGAATTTCCAAACTTTGGACACGGCATTCTATCCCAACTTATGTGTCTGGACAACAGTGAGCCAATTTCACTGATGCATTAACCTGACTCAGCCCTCACTGGGATGCATTGCATCGGACCTATCCTTCCTTCCAATACCAACGTGCCAACTCACCGGCACACATTGAGACCACATTTACACACCCATGGCCGATGGCCCAACAGAACCTCTGCGCAAGTGGGAGCATCAGACTCGCACGCGGTCCGAGCCACTCCTATCATCGACACTCGCTCTCTAACCCGCACGTGCTCCGAATCACATCATCAATTGAATTGCTTGCCTCACCATCGACACCACTTAGTTCTGCGTCCTGCAGGGAGCTGTTACGGGCGGCCATCATGGTCAAGCTGGCGTCCCTTTCAAGACCCCGCTGTCCCCACGTCATTCACTTTCGCGGCGGACGGTTCCAGACGCGCTGACCTGCGGCCACCCGGCCGACTTCAATTCGGAAACACGTGCGTCTACAGAGTTGCAGCTGCCCGTGCGCACCTTGAGCACACCATCCCCTGCTACTGCAGCACATGCCACCTGAACACCACCCCTCGACAAATCAACATACACCCGCAAAATGGACACCATTTCAGATTGCCCCAAAACCTACAAAAGCAGCTGCCACCAATGTCTCAAAGACCGGGCGCAGTCAACATTAGCCCTGGCATCGCCAGCGGCCATCCTCAATCTGGTGACTTCAGTCTTTTCTTACAGCTCGGGATTTGGCCTGATGATTATAGAGCTCTGAGTACACTCTCACAGCTTAGCTGCTACAAGACAATTGATGTGTTAGACCAGTATTTGTCCGTGTCTGAAGAGGTTGGTTTCGTGTGGTCCGCGACCGCTTATGATTCATACCCGACGGCATGTTGATCTCGTAATTAGCTCTTAACGAAGACCGCTCTATTACCCGACGGTTCAGAACGCTTCGGGTGGAGAACAGCCAGGTGAACAGGCGTGTCCATTCTTCCTGGGGTTTCTTTCCCTACCTCGAAGAGAAGAATTGGAAAGCGAAGACGTAAATGGTGTACTTCTTGTGGTTGCATTAGGGCATCGATGCACTTCACATGGATTAAGGAGGCGCGGAGGGTGTAGAAGTCAAAGAGACCTGAATTGCAGTTAACTCTTCGCTCGTTACCTCAGGTATTAAATCATATAAATTCAAAAATAAAAAAGAAAATGGAGAAAATGTTAGTCCTCGACAGGCCACAACCGACCGCTTTAATATTTTCATGAGTGAACTGCGTGCAACTGGAGGGTTTCAACGTGCTTGGGGAACAACAATATGGAAGAGGCAACTATGTGACTTTTGCCAGATAAAAAGTTACCAGGCTAGTAGGACTGCCAGGAAGGCAGTTTAAACAGTATACCTACAGCTATTATATGGCAGTCTGCTCCCGCGATAGCCAGCACGGCCATTAACTGACGTGCTGGGGCCCAACAACATCAACGCACACACACGCTCTCTTGACTGATACGACGGTTCAATGCAGCTGCTTACTGAACTGCCTGTACACTCCCTCGCCGCAATAAAGCCTGCCCATCTAACTGTCTTTCCGGCCCTCTGATTTGAGTACCTTCGAGTTGTCGACAGTCGTACTTCGACCCACGGTGACCCCCTTCTGCATATCAGACATTTTCATTCCCAATCTGTTTAACAGCCAGGCGTTGATAATGGATAGATATCTACAGGGACTGCAGCAAGTCTTGACGTTCGTTTCTATTATTCAGTCGGACGCGCAACTCACCCAAATGGAGATATGTGGTTTCGCCATGTCCTCTTTTCCCGCGCTTACGATTACGTCAGCTTTTACTACGTCTCTTCTCTCTCCGACATGAAGTCACAGCTAACGAATCACTCGTAAGATTTAGCTTCTCTTACCCAACAGACAGCCATTCTTAATCTCGGAGCGCATCAAGGCAATCCAGCCGGCGAGTCCAATAGGCTTACTTCGACATGACCCAGCACAGCTACCACTTGCTGGTTTCAAACCATATTTGGTGCCACATTTCGTCGCTGCAACTCTCTCTCTCTCTCTCTCTCTGCTTCTTCATCTCGAAGCGGAGCTCACTGGTGAGAATAAACAGCACGAAGATCAGAACGACCAACTTCCCTGACTCCTCTGACTCTAGTCGCACATTTTACGTCTGTAACAGCCCGTATCAGCGTGTTCCCTCCAACTTCAGCCGGCCTACGCTGCCCACACGCCGGTATTTATCCCAGGGTTATAACTTCCCCCCTTTCTGCGTTCGGCAGCCGGTCTCTCAGATGGGACATCGGCCTTTGTCGTTCATACGGATTGACCTTTGTGACTGCCGATGTCCCCCATGTAATCTTAGACTCGGACTTTCTAGCCGAGTTTGATCTGCTTGTGCCCTTCCGGTGCGCCCGAACGTTCGACTTCAAGACTAGCCTATCCCTCTGAAAATCGACCCCCTTTCTAACTTCCTGCAACTTATCTGTTCTGCATGCAGATCTCGCTTGCCCCTGTCGGGGGCTTCTCCTCCAGCAGCCGAAAATCACTGACCAGCAGTTCCGAAGTGGCGGGATCCAACACGACTTTGTGTTCCATAGTCGCACCTCCGGTCCTCATCTGTTCTCTGGGCCTGGGGGACTGGCGCCTGCCCGCCTTTAGGCTGCGAAGGCCGAGTTTGAACGCATGCTGCATTTCAGCGTCCGACGGCCATTCGAGGGTCCCTGGACGTCGCCTTTGCATGTGGTGCGCAGGGTAACATCAGGCGACTGTTAACCCGGTGGCAACTGCCATACAATCAATAACGTCACCATTTCCGATCGGTACTTAATGCTGTGACAGTTCGCCCCCTTGCCCTCCGCCTTTGTCACGCTGCCTTCCTGTCCGCCTCACACTCCTTGTCGATACGCTGTTGGGATTCGCGAGGCTTGTCACTAGCCTCGCGAGTGTTCCAGGTCTATCAACGCTGTCCCCCCTCTGATTGGCTGGCGGACGCGGAGACAACGAAAGGCGCACACGCGATGGGGCTCAGCACCTAGAAGGCGGACGCAGGCAACAACTTGCCTGGAGAGCACGCTCGCGGAGACTGCTTACAGATCCTTTGTGTACGCACTTCCAAAACAGTAAAGGTTGTCCAACTCAAACCGTCTTCCCTGACTTCTGATTGGGGATCTTCGACAATGCCCAATCTTCAGGACTTCACTGGAGTCATTTTGGACAAAGCGGTTTTCTCGAAAATCTAACTGGCGCGCACATTCCAACAGATACCTGTTGCCTTACAGGACATTCCTTAAGCCTCTTCGAATTCATCTGCATGTCCTTTGGCCCTCGTAATGCCGCCCAAACGTTCTAGATGTTCATCGACCAAGCCTTACGTGATCTGCCGTTTACGTACGCCCACATCGATTACTCCTTGGGGCATGGCCACTTATTGATGTTGCCTTTCTGTCCGCCTCACGTTCCTCGTCACTTCGCTGCTTGAGCCACGCGAGATTTGGCACCAGTTAGGCTAAATCTTGGGGCAGATCGACGCTGCGTCGCCCGCTGTTTGGCCGCATAACGCATACGTGCATGCGCTGAGGCCCAACAGCCTCGACACACGCACTTGCCTGGTAAAAAGGCTTGCCGCAACTGCTTTCTGAGCAGCCTATACACTCCCTCGTCTCAGTAAAGCTTGTTTATTTAAATATCATCTTTGACTTCTGATTGGGAAACCTTCGATCGTGTTTCGCCGATAATACCCAATGATTACGCTCAGGATGAAAAGTCTACATAAAAACCATGATAGGATGGGGGAGAATTTGATACTTAAAAATTCCGAGAAAGTAGAGCCCAGTAATCCCCGTAATGAGGGAAGTGTTAGCATTGGTTTTGCCAATAGGATAGAAGGATGCGGTAATCAACGGGATCTGCAGAATACATTGGAAGAACGCACATTTCTGCCGTATGCTTATGTTACTACTCCAACGAGGTATGCTAACAGACTGCGCAGCCTGGAACGCGTGAATTAGGTGCATATAAACGGTTGGAAAACATACTCTAGAGTTACTGACTAAAGAAGGCCGGATTGGCCAAGGTGGCATACGGAATGCAAATTTAGCCTTGAACCGAATCTTTAATCCAACCCTTACTCGACCACGAATTTAATTGTCCTCAAGCCCAGCCAGAAACGTAACCCTAGTATGGCATGCCTACCTAAATCGAATAGGCAGGCATGTTACAGTAATAAAAACGGTGCGACTACACATACAATCGTCGCCGTGTAATGTTTATCAAACCGGGTCTCACTGCGCGATGAAAACATTTTCCGAACGTATGATGAATATACACATATGTGACAGTTTGACCATTGTGAACGATGGCGTCCAGTGTATGCGCAGCATCTGTGAGTTGCGCGTGAATCGATCCATAGTGGGGAGGGGGGGGAGGCTTGAGCGGTAACTACCGCACTCTCTCCTACCTCACTCATCTGGTCCGACTGGCGAGACAATAGCAGGTTGACCGAAGACGGGCTTGGGAGTGATGGGCTGATAAAGCTAAGCAGCCCGCCTATGCGTACGGCGCACGACCTGGTTTTCGCAGAGTGCACAAGCCACACATTGGCGGCTCGGATTTCACATGCGCGGGGGTGCCGTAAAGACCATACTAAGAAGGAGTCGCTGAGCCTGGCACACAGTCCTCCAGTCAGTCACCACACACACGCAGTACTGACCACGAGGACCAAGTTATCGCATTAGTTGGCAACCCCCCAATGTAAGACTTGTAGCATGTCGTGATAGATCCAAGCGCTGATGTGCCGCGGGGATGGATTACCCAGTGCTGGCTTCACAATCTCCTTCCTCTCTCGTGTGTCAATCGATTGGTGAAGTGTCTCCGTCAATTTCGATGGAATTGAGCGGACAAGATCGTACTTCGTAGCCGTACCTGTAAAGGGTTCGGATTAGGGGCTAGGGTTAGGAGTTAAGATTGGGGGTTAGAGGTTGGGGCAAGGGGTTGGGGTTAGGGGTTGTGGTTGGGGGTTAGGGGCGGGGGCTAGGCTGGGGCTTGTCAACTGCAGATACGGCTACGAACTGAGATCCGGTCATCGAGCGCAATGGTCGACAAAGTCAAACAAACCGTTTACGCGTGTAACGCACTAGCTGGCGCCACAGACACCAGAGCCATCGCAACTCCGCGGCGCTCGGAGTTGCAGTATATGTCGATTTGGTAAAAAAAAAACAGTGCTCTCGCAAGTCCATAAACACGCCTGCGTGTGACGTTGGTATACACGTTTGTTTAAATGGGGCCAGGGATGCATTGTCACATAAGAATGAGGATGAACGAAACAACAACTCCAAATCTCATTCATGCAATGCTACTTAACGTGAACCTTGGACACCGGTCTGCGATTCTTATCCTAACGGTCATTTAACGCCTATAGACAAATAAAGAAGTACCTATCGCGTTAACTGTCCGGTCAATTGCAGTGCCATAACCAACTAGCGGCTGAGAACGCGTATGCATATACGTGCCATGGCCGTGAAGCGGAGAGACGTGTGACCCCAGCTGACCACACAACATCTCGTAAATAACAATAAATCCACCTGTGGCAGTATATAAGTGCTCGATCAAGCCGAAAGCGGAACGACGAGAGAGAAAGAAATAATCGAAGCCCCGCAATGGGAAGCCAAATTGACCAACCATAGAGTCGGTCTGCCAGTGCAGTATGAAGCCGTCAGGCAAGAACGAGCTGTAGGCAGATCCAGTAAAAAACAGACAAATGAGCCTAAAGCAAGTTAGCCTGGTAGATATTCAAAGCCTCTATCTGTCATCCTGTGCGTTCTTGATGATTAATTCGGGCATGAGTGCGAAACGCCAGCTGGCGAAACAGTCCTTCGCAGAGATTTTCTTCTCCTTCCGTGTCAACGCCGGGGGTTAGTATCGTCACCCATATCCACATAAATCTTTTTATGCACTATCGGCTCTTTTGCATCGTTTTTTAGGTTTTTGACTTGCTGAGAAGTTGCTCTACCTGAGAGGAAGTTCCTACGCTAAGGTGAAATACGAAACAAGTGAGCACTGGTGAAGGAAGTCGCCACTTCAAGATCAGGGCTAAAGTTCATGCGGAAATCTACATAAAGTGTTTAAATTGACGATTTATTTCGAACAGAAATACTTGACTCGCTGAAAGTCTACATCGAACCTTTAAAATATACTTCAAATAAAAAATGAGAACATCAGCAAAAATGCAGTATCTTTTAACCAGGAACGTGACCAAAAGTTAATAAAACCACTGCGGCATGAGGTTCTCCGTTGGGGATATTTCTAGTCAGATTGGGAATAATTCTCCGTAAACAGAAACAATTTAGGTTGTGTGTATCACGCAAAGAAACGCCTGGTACTTGTATTAGTAAATAAATCCTTTGAAGGGCTATACAACTTTTAACTCGCGTATCTTGCATCATTGACTATTTACATGAAATAAAATGTTTTGTCTAAAAAAGTGTTTATTGATTCACGTTTACATTGAAGAAAAGCCCGTGTTCCGAAATTATATACTATGTTTGAGTCAACCCCGTAATGTAAAGCCGCATATCGTGGCTACAAGCAAAGATGACGTGCCTTTGGCGGGCGTTTAAGCTGTAACAGAATCCTGCCATAGGCAGCATATAGTGCGTGTTGTTTTTTAGAAACACCCATACAACTTCAGCGAAAAATGAACACACAAACGACCTCACCAGTAGATTCCTGTAAGAAACGCCAAACAAAGTGGGGGAATAAGGGTTTTTGAGTGCAAAGTAAAATTTATCGTCCTCCCTCTTTAAACCTCTTCATAGTAAAGGAGACCGCTTCCATGCAGTCAGCTACTGCGGTAGCCAAAAGAGACGTCTTTGGTCTTTTTCAGTAAACTCCGAACGATTTGCCTGATACAGTGACATCGCAACGGCCTACTAGGCCCTCAGACTTGCAAAGAGACCTAGCTGAGGGTAGAGGCGGACAGTGGAGGCTGTCGTAGCGTCAACTAAAAAGTCAGCCAGAAACGAACCATCAGACAACCAATTCGAGCGAGAGGTTTATCAATTAGCGAAGCCGTTCAGAAGCCTGTCATCTAAATTAGCAGACGATGACAAAAAATTGTCGTCGGTATTAAAGGAAGAAAGAGACAGAGCGGGCGAAATTGGCATAGTCCTGTTAGTCAAATCCGAGACACATAAACATTCCATGTCACGTTTCCCGGCACTTCGGTTCCCAAAATTGGCAGTAAGTAGAGATTCATTAAGTGTCGACCACAAGAGTATTTGACCAATAGCGCTTGCTCTCCCCAGGTTTCCACTGTGGGGTTTTCCGACAAAACTGAACGCCCTGACGCTTTTATGAGTTGGAAAGGAACTATGCTCATCTGCTTTGCTCGACATTCCTACTTCAAGCAAATACTAAAGCATGTATGAAAGGGCATAATCACGAAACAGTGTTTGGTGTGTTGGGCAGAACCAAACGAATGCGTTTCTCTTACTGTTCTGGGATGGAATAAATGGAAAAAAAGGTAGAAAAGAATTAATGAAATACACTACGGATAGGCAACTCCGGATAGGACAATTAGCCAGAGATACATACATTTATTCGAAGCATGTTTGTAAGACAGCAGATATAGTGGTACTTCTGCAACTTTACCCATCTTGCGTGCTCGTTGTGTCGCGGTTTTGTGCGGTTTTCTTGATGTGTTACCGCTGATAACAGTTCTTTGGCTGTTAATTTTCCATCTTTGAGGCCAATTGCCACAAATTAAAGTAATGCAAACAGGCAGAAAGGAGGCGAGTTGCTGAGTGCGCGTTACTTCTCTACATCTCTGCAGTCAGAAAACTGCCGCACTTCGCCAACTCTCTTGGCACTACATCGTGATTGACAGGTGCGGAAATTAGGCAGCTGAAAGGTCCACTTCGGAGTTCTGCAGTGTTGACTATTTACGCCCTATAGGAGGCCAACAGTGATTAGCAGTTCACAATTTGACCAGTCTGCGTCCTATTTCGTGAGTGAGCATCGAAGACCCAGTCAAGAATATTTTGTGTAAGAACAAGTGTGTTCACACTTCAATTAGGAAAGAATGGGAGGGCGCAAAAATATACTTCGAAATAAGGAGGCAGCATATTATGATTCAAATTAACCACCTTCTCTGGGAATTTATTAGCGGAAATATGAAGCAAGCTGATGTTGGCAATGCGCTTGGCGTAAAACAAAGTGGTTTTTAACTGTCAGCGTTTGCCTAGCTGTCTGGCCACTCAGAGGAAAGCACGCCCCATAATATGCCCAACTACACAAATTGTGGTAGCGGAGATTCCTTTAATCATTAATCAGCACATCAGCCTCTTTAGGAAACATCAGTATAGCCAACTAAACGAGATTTCTACAGGACGAGTCACGCCCAAGAAGCTTACCCAAATCAAAAGAAATAATAGGAATAAAATGCCGATTTGGCAGACACGGAAGCAGCTGTTAGTAGGGCAATTAAACCTGAGGGGCGGAATTTTAAAAAGGATGACTCTCACTCTCCTCGTCAAATAACGAACGACGACGTATCGTTGTTCTGTCAGCAGAAGGTACATTAATCTAAATTTTTTCAGGTAGAAATGAAGATCCAGGGGGAAAAGTGATTGCAAGTGAAACGAAGGTGCAACAGGATGAACGCTCCCCAGTCAGGGATCGTCTAAAAGACCGACTAGCCGCCATCGGCAGATTTCAAATCAAAATACTAAATAAATGTTTTTAATTGCAAAAAACGCGCACATCACGACAGTCAAGTAGCTTCTAACGCAGTCAGTTGCTAACGTTTCGCAATCACGATTACAGCCATTTTAGATGACGTTTTTCGGAGATTTTCTACGTCATTTAACTCCTTCGTCCTAATGTTTTCATCGGACTAATGAAGCCTCAGTCTCATTTGAATGACAATACGAGGTCATCTGATCGCTTCTGTCGTCCATCTTTAGACAGGGCGTGCATGAAAAAAACAAAACTGTGTGGAAGTTGAAACAAGAGAATTTAACGCAGATTATAGCGAACAAACCTATTTTTTTGTTCAGCAGAGCCATTATTTGAACGAAGGCACCATAGCTTATGCGCCAGTCCGCGTCAACGAACCGATTGATCAACCTCGCCAGGCTTGTATACGGGAGATAGAATCCTAAAATGAAAATTGCAAACATGGAACAGACATCAAAAACATGATCAGTCAGCCATTGCGCATTTTAGTAGAGTAGAGCGATCGGCGTTAAACCGACAAAAAACAGGATCATAATTCTTGGTAGCCGTACGCATAACAAGGAAATAATACATGACGCACTCAACCAAGCAACAATGCATTGACGAACTAAAATGCTCAGTCTACTCCGCAAATAAACTCACTAATATCATTCTGTCAGTTAGAGGAGTTTGCGTACTCATTCTTATTAAGGAAAAGGCTCCGACACAGAATCTTATCAAATAATGTGCTTAAGGAGCGTTTGCGTAGATTGGATAGACACCCGATTGCTGTCAAAGGAGAGATTGTCGAGGAATGGCCAGCAGCGAATACCAAGTTCTCGAAACTTCAGACGAAAGTAGACGCCAAGAGCCTTAACTGGTTGGGTGTCATAAAATAATATCGGCGTGCAAAGGAAGTTACGTTACCGAAGTACTGCGCACAGAAACGTACAAGATACGAGGTCATAAGATAGCCAAATAACAAAATGAACTGTTCCATACTCGCGTGCTACTTGTGTTTGAAGTTAACTTTTGCGCATATTGCCATCCCTGTACCTATTGTTGTATCCCGTGTTGCGCGAGTGCAAAAAACTGCCTCAAAATTTCACTTTCACGCCCCTATAATTTTTCTGGTCCACTTTGTTCCTAGAAGCCCTGACAAACGTTGCCCTGCGTAGGCGTGCACACTTCTCGAGCACCTCACTGAATCAATATTGTTTTGCGCTATCTTTACCTAAATTAAACATCTGAGTACGGCTCGTCTAGGTGGATGGTCATTCAGTTTGAGAATTCTTTGACAGCGGAAGCTCAGTTTGTTCATCTTAGTAATCCATTACCCCTTCGTGTTGAAGTTCTTTTTAACAAGTTTCGTAAATATGTTTGCTCAATTTGACGGGTATGTGCCTACAATATTCCCTAGCTTTTAATTTAGCAATTTGAAGATGGTTTTATTCTGGCCATTAGGCTTTAATGTCTTCCTGATCAGTTTCCTGCTTCATTAAAATAAGACATTCTGATTTCACATGATTTAACCTGTTGTCGGCGTCTCCTCTTTGTAGTCTGCTATTAAACGACACTTTACTATTCGAAGAGCATCCCCTCACCTCAAACCGAACCGCCTTGAAGTCACTCCGTCCAGCCCCAGTGTGGTCTTCGTCATCTCCTCTGCCAGGCGTAGGCGTATCAACGATCAGCTTTACAGTCCGACACGATTTGTGCTTCGTAATGGGAATGACGTACCCAAACCATGATTGGATCTGTCACCACCGTAGTCGATAGTTTTGTGGTAGGTTTTATCGGCGAGATTTGGTTCTGCAGCTCCACTTTATTCATATCGTATGGTTAGATTCCCTAAACAAGTTTAGTTAGCATACCTAATTTAGCCACTTGCTAGATTAGGAAGGGAAAGACAGCACAAGCAGAGCTCGATGCACGCGCAGGGAAGCACGTAAAGGCGGCGTGCTCACGCTCTCCCATCGATACAGCCACTCGCTGGGTCAGTAGGATAAGGAGGGTGCAATCATAGCTGGAAGACCACGGAGAGAACCGCGTGGCCACTGTAGTGGAACCGATGGAGTTCCAATCCGTTCGAATAATTCCCTTAGCAAGCCCACTTAGCCACGCGCTGGATTAGTATAATGAAGAGGGCGCAAGCGGGACTTAAAGCACGCGCAGAGGAGCGAGTGTGAACTGATACCTGATGTAAACGAGGATGGCGTATAAGCACTCATCCCCCGTGGCACAGTCACTTGCTGGGTTAAAATGGTAAGGAGGGTGCACACATGGGATGTTTGTAAATCCAGCGTACTCGCATCTACTACAGTTGTTTTAGGAAGCTGAACATATGGTATCAATGAAGTGGGGCTGCAGAACCGAACCTCGCCGTTTTGTCTTCCAGCATTTTGTGGAGTATAACTTGAGAGCGATGAATGATGGATGTTTTTCGTAAAAAAATTCGATAGCTTGTGCCACCACAAAACATACTATCTGTAGGTCACTGTATTACAACGGCATACCTAAGTGGATACCAGGTTTGGCACAGACGTATGTACCCTCCTATTACAGGTGGCCTTGCCCTAAATTCCCTAGGGGAGGTTGCAGCAGTTAGGGTTAGGCAGGTTACGTTTATGAGCATTAGAGTTAGATTGGGTTTGGAAATTAGGGCTAGGGGTCTGAGGGTAAGTGTCGGGGTTAGGATTAAAGTTGGGACAAGGGAATAGGAACCCCTTGGGATTTAGCACAGGGTCACCGGAGGAGGTCCAAATTCCCGTGTCCGACCGGTTACCGTAACATGCCCTATTTGCAAGTAAAAAAGAGGAGGGGTCGAGCACCGGACCATTTCGTTTATTGTCTGAGCCTTCGAAATCGTGCAGTCACCAAAATAGTCGCCCACACAGGAAATAAAACAGGCCGAGAACTGATTGAAGCCTGGGCCTGGGATGAGAACTCAGTCAATCGATTTATCGATCTGGCGCCGGGTTACAGAGCCCTGTGCAGTCATCTCCAGTCTTGCGCCGTCGGTCGATGATTGGTTTACATGCCCTATAACTGTCGTTTGTTCTGTTGCTGTTTCTATCTCTGACGATGGACTCCTGCACGGGTTCGGAAGCTCAGGACAATAAACAAAATTTCCCGGTGCTCGACCCCTCTTTTTCACTAATACACACACCTAGAGCTGGAAATGTCCCCTTCAGTCATGCCTTATTAGGTCATATTTGAATCAAAATGATCGTTGCCAGTGATCATCCCCTACAAACACCAAGCACTGAAAGAGTCAGAAAGTGAGAAGGACGACTGTATATAATTCCAGCGCTAAAGCAATCAAATCAATGACGAAGTCAAAATACTCAGGACCAGTAGAAATACAGCAACATACGATCACATTTATGTTGAAGTGGAGAGAAGACAAATGAAGCCTCGTGCTGGAAAATGTCGTCGGGTTTACGCGATGAGTCGACCGGAAGTCAGACTGGGTGATTTAAAATGACTCGGTCATCGCAATTTACCGCCCCACCCTGGCGAAAATAATTGATTTAAGGCACTCTTCCAATAAATAATAGTGGTTATTTGGAAAAAGAGGACAAAGACAACCTTATTTTCGTGATCAGACAACCACAACCCAGTCTAGGTTCGGTAAGTCGTGGGTTTGGATCAGATTTCTGTCACCCACCAGGGTAAAGGCTCTAACACTTGACAGCCACGGAATCGCACTTTGTCTCTTGTCATCCAAAGAGTTCCAAAGTGACGTGTGAAGTCCATTCATCAGTGTAGGCTGATTACGTAACCTAATACGGGTTTCCGTGTAGCTTCGAAATTCTGCTAAAGAACCACCAGGCATGGTCGACTGACAGATGTCACTGACCTAGACATTTCAGGTTGCGATAAGCACGCAAACTTGCCGACTGGCTTAAAACTATACAATATGTTTTACCAAAGCTACCTAGATAGAACATGCCATTTGAACATGCGTTTTTCACCTTCTGCTGTTACAGATTTTGATTTGGCTCACATCCTGTATTTCCTCCTTGACTTCGTTCCACCAAAGTGGACCTCTAACCTTACTCCGTGGGGAGAGAGTCCAAAATACTGTTTGGATGCTGAAGTCGGGATTTCCGATTCAGTCGCAGACATACAAAAATTGTGAGTAAAGATCTCATGTTGTCTTGATGAACGCTGCATTGATGAAGAAAATGATTAAGCAACAGTTTCTGATATTTGCACCGGTCGGTCTTGGGTGATATGCTGATGTAAAAACGATAGGAGTTTATTTGATCACATCCCAGCATGAATGCGTTCCTAGAGACCTGTGCTACGTAGAAACGAAATTACACCCCCAGGGGAAGAAACGGTAGAAGCACTGAATGTATTGTCCAGACTGTTCTGCAGTCCCACTGCAGTTTGAATCCTTTCCGATTTCAGGCCTTTCACACTGATCCAGGCAGCTGTGGGGTCTCATTCGTCAAAAACTGCCATAGTACTGAAATATTTCACATTTATGTAACATAGAAAATCCGAAAATGAGAGCATATTCACTTATGACAAGTACAGTTGAGCCGCAATATGTGACTCGCAGATTAGGGCACATAATAATGGAGAATTCGAAAGTTCATAACATGGCGACAGATGTCACAGGTCCCAACCCCCCGGGAAATTAACTGTCAGTACAAACTTCCAGACACAAAAGTACCGTCCAATTCATAAACTGAGACATCAGTAATCCATTACCATCTAACGGTGCGACGAGAGCATTTTTGTAGTATTCAAAATACTAACAAATGCTTGTTATTTTTAGTATTCTACATGTTTCCTTACAGGAGGAATATTTTGCATTAAAGTTGGCGCGATCAGCAAAATTTGTTGAGGTTTTTGAGGTTGAAGAGTGTGACGGTTAATCCATCGAGAATTCTATCAAAACCTGCTGCAAAAAGAGCACTACTCGTAGATTAATATCTGGACTCATGTTAGTTTGGCGTCCTAGAGCTTAACGCCAGTAACGGCTCAGAGATGGTTCAGCCAGGTGCAGCGTCTAGATGGTAATGAAGTAGTGCGGTCCAAGCTCCAGTAATTAAGACCAGATCTCTGGCAAACGTTTTCCCACAGTGTAATGTCACTGCTTCTAGGAAACTGTCCTATCTCCAGGACTGGCTTAACCGCATCAGCTCCTCTTGTTAAACTAGTTACACACTATGGAGGTGCTGTTCGGGATGGGAGTTTGGAAGGATGACTTCGCGGACAAGCTGAATTTCGTGACGAAACCGAAGTATCGGGGGACATTTTACACGATACGGTAGTACCGATCTTCAGATATGCTACATCGGCTTGGGTAGCGGTATTATCTTGGGCGCGCTTATTTATTGCTGGCCAGCAACACGTGAAGGACAGGCTTGACAAACACTTAATTTCCTTCTGGACAGTCTTTGCTAGTATAAAATAATCGAGCAGTTGAAACCTTTCTTCGTGCGGAGCATCGAGGTGCCTTTCAATAAAATAGTCTTGAGGAGAAAGGAAATTTCCGATTTTGCGATAGGCAGACAACTTGAAAATATATACAGTACGTGTGCTAACTCAAGAAATGTTAACCGAAATTCCGGATTGCGTTTTTGGTTCGAAAGGATTAATTTAGTAGAGTTGTAAAACTAATGATCGGGCAGCATAAATGTATAATAATTTAGTTAGCACAGGATGCCGGCTTTCGAACGAACTTCTTTCTGGCTGCATGAAAAAAATACACTCTGCAAAAAATGACTACTTAAGTAGCATGCATTTCTCTAATTGCTTTTCGATGCCCTAAAAATTTCAATTATATTTCATGAAAAACATGCATAAAAATACTTATTCATTTGTTACTTTGGTACAGAGTTGCGTCTTTGCCGAATTTTGTGTCCGAAGGAAGGGTATAATTCGGTTTCAAAAAAGTTCATAATTTTTAATACCGTGAAATGGCCGTTCGTAAAACCTCACGTCTCTGCATTTACTTATGTGGCTTGTAAAGTTTAGAATATGGTAGGGGAGGGAGAGGAGCGGCGGAAAACTTGTCGTACGGGCAGAACGGTTTAACTTACTGGCCGCGGACATTCTGGCTCAGTAAGCAGCCACGCCTAACCGCCTTGCCGCTATGTGTTACGCGACAGCCTACTAATTGGTCACCTACGCATACAGTGCTCAGTCCTCCCTGCCACGGAAGAACATTCCTCTGCCTATCACCAGTGTACGAGTCTAACAGAACTCAAATTCACTGCTGAATTTTATAAACCCCATATGACCTCCTCTTAACTCGTCTAGAAATGTACGGTTGTCCGTACGCGGAAAATTTATGGCTTGTAATTTGGAAACCCTGAATGCAAGTGTTGCGCCAGGTCGAATTAAAATTAGTCGGGAATTGGAAAATTTATGAAAACCGAATTATACCCTTCGTCAAGTACGAATTTGGAGAAAGTCATAATTCCCCACCAGAATAAGCAAAACAATGAGCATTTTTATGCATGTTTTCCACGAAATATAATTGAAATTTTCAGGGCATCGAAAAGCAATGAGAGAAATGCATGCCACTTAAGTAGTCATTTTTGCAGAGTGTATTTTTCGCATGCAGCCAAAAAGAAGTTCGCTTGAAATCCGGAGTTCCGGGGTAGCTGAATTATTATAGAATTATTCTGCGCGATGATTAGTTTTACAACCCTACTTACTTAATCTTTTCGAAACGAAAAAGCAATCCGGAATTTCGGTTAAAATTTCACGAGTTAGCAGACTTACTGTAACCTCAATATCCCTCATGCGGTATTTGCCTACTTAAGTAGTTATGCTGCAGCGCAGATGTGGCTCTATTTTACTAGACACCGCAGTACTGAAGATGGTAATTAATAGCTGTCTTTTGCATTTTTATCACGGGTAGTTGGGTTTTCCACAGAGATGCAGTGCCGGTAGCTCGACTGAAAAGGCGGTACATCCTGCGTAATTATGTGTCTGTGCATTTGAGAGTGCGCAAACTTAAGCGGAAAACATTTCCGAGGGATGGCATTCCAGATGCCGGTCTATCACCGGAAGGTGAGCGCGGTCGCGTGAGGCGTGCAGCATACGTTAAGGACTGACAGGCAGTAATAAAGGTATTTAGTAATAGCGAGGTCTCGAGCCTAGCGTCCAGTCCTTCTTAGAAACCCCAGTGTTCAAAGCGATAGAAGTGAGCGTAGGGCAGGGGGGTGGGGGGCAAGAAAAAACTTGACGTACGGGCAGAACGGTTTAACTTACTGGCTGCGGACTTTCTGGCTCAGTAAGCAGCCACGCCTAACTGCCTTACCGCTATGTGTTACGCGACAGCCTATTACTTGGTTGTCTACCCACACAGTGCTCAGTCCTCCCTGCCACAGAAGACCCTGCCTCGGCCTATCGCCAGTGGAAGGGCCTAACAGAAAATGACCAGACGGAAAGTGTAATTGATCCTTCGTCTCACTTCAGCCATACACACAATATTGACAAATTTTTACTTCCTTTTGCCCCAGCATTTTAACAATACAGCAGGCAGATAATCAGTGTAAGACAAAAATGTGAACCGTAGGACCAAGAGGAAAGCACTAAAAATATTTTGGACATCCCCACCAGGTCGAGTCCATATCCTGTATCATGCAAATCCCTCTATCCATTTGGAAGTAGTCAATAATTAACATCACGTAGCTCGGTGCCTGAGTAAAAGTGGTACGGGGTCGGTGCAGTCGAGTAAGGGAAGTATGAACAATACACCGAAAAAATGAGCAGCTATTCTTCGCGCATTTTGCTAAGAGAGCCAAAATACTCGAAAGCAATCGGTCGCACTTTAAAGGAGAATCGAAAATTTTAAAAAGCATTATTGGGACGAACCTAATTGACTACTACGGAAGGGGTTTATATACAGTAGGTGAGCGAACTCATGAAATATCAACCGAAATTCCGAAATGCGTTTTCGTTTCGAAAAGATTAATTAAGTAGTGTTGTAAAACTATTCAGCCTGCAGCCTAATTCTATAATATTTCAGTTACGTAAGGATGCCGTCTTTCGAATGAACTTCCTTTCGGTTGCATGCAAAAACGATATTATGCAAAAATGGCAACTAAAGTAGCATGAATTTTTCTCATTAATTTTCGATGCCCCTAAAAGTCCAATTATATTTCATGGAAAACATGGATAAAAATATTCATTCTTTTGCTTATTCGGTAAAAAATTACGTTTTCCTCTAATTTCATACTCGAAGGAGGGACAAAATTCGATTTTAAAAAAACGTTTTTAATTGTGAGACTTTTAAATACCGGGAAATGACCGTTCATAAATCGTCATATCTCTGCTTGTAAAGTAAACAATATGAATCAAATCCACTGCTTAATTTTATGAACCCCATATGATCTCCTCTTAATACCGTAGAGAAATGTGTGATTTTCCGTTCGCGGAAATTATACGGCTTGTAGTTCGGAAACCCTGAATACAAGTGTGACGGTAGAGCAGGTTTAAAATTATTCGGGAACTGGAAAACTTTTTAAAACCAAATTATGTCCCTCCTTCGACTATGAAATTAGAGGAAGACGTAATTTTCTACCAAATGAGCAAACGAATGAATATTTTTATCCATGTTTTCTATGAAATATAATTGGACTTTTAGGGGCATCGAAAATCAATGAGAAAAATTCATGCTTCTTTAGTTGCCATTTTTGCAGAATATCGTCTTTGCATGCAACCGAAAGGAAGTTCATTCGAAAGACGGCATCCTTACGTAACTGAAATATTATAGAATTATGCTGCAGGCTGAATAGTTTTACAACACTACTTAATTAATCTTTTCGAAACGAAAACGCATTTCGGAATTTTGGTTGACATTTCATGAGTTAGCCCACCTAAAGTTTATATGTATATATCTTAATTGACTGCAGATTGAGTCGTTTTTGCTTTTGTACCCAAGATCTTGCTTCTGAAGGCCTGTTCAAAAAGTTAACGTGTGCTATCCTGACCTCAAGGTCACTGTACGAAATTTGCCATCGATGTCAGTAAGTCTCATTTTGAACAGCTTAAATCCAGACAGTTGATGATGTCTGTAAGTTTGATCGTGAATACACTTAATAGATCACATTTTGACAAACAATAAAGTTGCCTAGTAGGTAGCAGTAAACGATTTCTGCCCGTCCTACTTCTCATACTTCTTATATTAACTATTCCATCGGCAAGTTCTGATTACGACCGGGACAGACTGGGGTAGTACGGTCGTAAAAATTCATTCACGGAGGTCGAATAATGGAAATTTATCCCTTAAACCACCATGGACTGAACTTATATTACCGTTTATGGAAGGATATATGTGAGCGATAAATCCATATTCGGGTGCCTTTCCGTATGTGAGTAACTTGACCATGGTAAAATGTATACGAACGTCTGTTTTTTTTCAAGTACTAATGATGAACTTATACAAGGTGCGTTTCAAACTCTTTGTTTAAAAGAAGTCATCAATGTCGATCGAAAGGCGGAACTCATCAGGAAATGAACAAGCAGAATCTGACGCGCAATCGTAGCTTGTTTGGATACAACGATAATAGGCAACAACTCGAACCAAAAACCGAACTGCTTGGAAATCAAAAAACATGAAATGCTCTAATTATTTTAATTGGGCTAGGTGAACGTTCATACTTTCACCCTTGACCAAACCCTTAAGTCGTTAGTGAGAATGAGATGGCTGAAGGCATTCTGGGTTTGGGGGAAAGCTGGCTGATAACGGTAAAGGAACTAAAGACGACCATTCGGGTTCGTTTTGTCCTTGTCGGTAGTTCTTCCGAATTATAGAATGGTGGTCGAAATACGACCTCATGCGGGAGTTAAAACTTTGCTTCGATTGAGAATTAATCATGTTTTGCCTTGCAAGGAGGTCATCGAAGAACCCCTCCCACGCGGATCTGAATATTTCAGATAGAAATAAGCAGGAGGTTGATCCGTATCACAGGGGGAACGCCTGGTTGCCAACTGGTTGGGCTTAAACCTACGCCGCCTAACTGACACCATGGAACGGCTGGCTGAGGACGGTCAATAAGCCAAAACTGACCAATCAAATCTGTCTTGCATTTGTCAGTATTCCTTTTTCGATATAATTATCTACATGATGTGGCCGCACAAGGTACCAAAAAGGGCAGGAAAAGAATGCCTACCGGCTTGCTCAAGGAGTATCCTGAAGTCCAGACATGTGACGTAACCAGACCGTTGAGGGTCAAAGGCGGAGAACATGCGGGACCAACAGCGGAGGAGCATCCATACCTTGCGGAAGTCGGTCTCACTCAACTGGCCCGTACACCGTTCATCATAGAGAGCAATCAAAGTTCGACAGGCGTCCGTGGGAAGCTAAAAATCAGAAGAACAGGCAGGCGACGTCAAAGTAATGGTCTCCAATGTTCTGGCACATTAAGAGGTCAAGAAAGAAAAACGTAAAAGTAGTTTCCCATGCATATTCGGCAAAATCAAGTAAAATTACAAAAGTAAGGTTAGCAACTAAAGCCTAATCTTCTGCCTTCAAGCATATTGAAGGTAGTACTAGGCATCGCAAATATTACTTGGCGAGGTGCTAGTCATTTTGCATTATATGGTCTCCTTCTGCGTCCAGTCCGTTCGAAAAAGCGGACGAAAATGCGTAGTCATACATTAACCTATATATGCGTTTTTGGGAGCCTTCCCTCTGATAGAATACAACATGCCCATATCAAGAGCTGCTTCAATAACTTAAATTCTCCGAGGTCTTATAATCTCAACAACTGACAAATAAACAAATTGTAAAATATCGTCGACAGGGACGGCGGGAGCTGTGACGGTCACTTCCGGCTTAGTTGTCAGCGTCAGGACCACCCCGCAATAGAGATCAATAGGCGAACGCAAGGCTTATAAGACGTTGATTATGCGTGATTGAAACGCAAGTTTGTGTCTCGGTGGTGTGGGCTTCGGCCTAATACCCAACGACCGAAAACAGGAGGATTTAAGCACTGAATGTTCTTCCTCTGTTTTTGTCTGTAATACTTCCTGACTAATGCGTGTTCTTTTCTCTAGTTGCGTCAATATTGGACAAAAACGTCCCCTTCGGACCGGAGAACCAGGTGTACGTCATTCCTCTGACATGATTAATTGACGTGTCTAGTGATGTAGATGCCTGTTTTCCCAAAACGAAATCACAAAAAGCAACTGTCTTCTGGATTTCCGTGGCCTCTAAAAAAGACAATGCTCAGACAATAATACTTCACTCAGAAATCCTCATACATGATCACAAACCATTGAGAAAATTTCAGTCTTGAATACATTGCTGTGTTCGTGAAGATCAGCGGCTACCGTGATAGTGCGTAGCGCACAAGTGGAAGAGGCAGGCACGTATTTTTATCACAGTCAATTTTGTCAACTACAAATGGTCTTGAGACTGAATTTCTTTGGCTGATAAGACAACTTTAACGAGGAGTCAGCTGTCCCGCAGTTTTATCAGTCGTGTCAGTAGCCGCAAAGTTTTTGTCCGGAAACTAGCGAAATCCGGCCTATTAAAAAGGGATAGGTAAAAATGCAAATATAGGACACCCACGATCGATCATTTTCTCCTTTTTGCCGCTCGTACGCAATAAGTGACACAAGAAGCTGCGTAGTTTCTCATCCTTATTCGATGGGCATTTTAGTCAGGGAGTAGTGAAAGTACTTGCTATAATAAAAGGCAAACTTTACTACTTAGTTATAGCAATGATCCAATTGTTTGCAGACGACTAAAAAGAAAGCGTTGATTATTCAGACGCAATACAATAGGTTAAATTACGAAATGTTGATTTGAATTTTGACCACCGAAAATGGCTTTACAAGCGTGACCTCGTTAAAGAAAGGCTACAAAATCGGATCAGTCAGACAACTGAAAATGGTAACACAGTTACAGCCTTCGGTGAGATTACTTTTGAGTCCGGAATGTGGATCTATAGCTTTGTACTAATTGTCGGCACAGTGCCTTTGCAATTTGCCAAAGCTCACTGGACAACCGGAGCTAACTGAGAATGTAGATGGCAGCCCCCACCGGAATCCACAATCGCGCTTTTAAGCAGAAGGAGAAACCCGATGGTATTGCAGTACTGAGAAGCATAACTATGGAAAAGCGCCGGATAGGCTCCGCCCATGCTGTTGAAATGGTCTTCAAGAACAGGTCGTCCCGTTTCACAGGATATGGTGTCACGCAGGGATAAGTAGTATTTAGGCGTATCGTCTTCACTAGGCGTCAGCAGACCTTCACTCTCTCCTGTCAGAACTAGTTTAAGCACCATAATGTAAGAGTACTAAGGCAAACTAAAGATTGGGGGGAATTGCAAAACATATTTTTACACCTGACTTCATCGCATGGAGAAACAGACTTAAGACATTCTACAGCGATGAAATGTTCGCTTTCTGGTGGAGAATTTTTACTTTATACGCTTATTTTTCACAAAAGAAGAGGCACTTCGTACATGCTTCCTCTATCATTGATGGCCAGTAAAGTGTCGGCCGCAACAGGGGTAGTTTTTAATAAACCCACAGACCTAAACAGCGCCTATTTTAAGTCTGTTAAGATCTTCCTCGGCTTTTCTTTGACTGTGCTGTTGACTCTTCGGTTATGTCTTACTGGGGTAGCATATAGGCGGTGTGTCAGCACATGCCCATGCTTCAGAACACATGCATTTTTGAAGCATAAACGACTGACTGAATAGGGCCCAGACAAGTCTAACACAACATAGCAACGGTGTTCACCGATCGCGTTATGGAACTTTGCTGATCCCGTTGCGCCTTAAATTTCGATCAATAACAGCTCCAGAGGCAGAAAGCAATTACTGACAAAGCTAAGGGGACCGGAATAGGCCATTTCTGGCTTACTGGCCGTCGTCAACCAGTCCTACCCAGCCTCCAATTTAGCTCACCTGAGCTTCGAAACCGCAAATATCCGACTCTATTATCCTTCTAATGTCCAGAGTTAACATGCCTGCATGTTCGTCCGAAACCGCCCTGGGCCCGCTGTCTCGGAGAGATATTACGATATCTATGGACAGTTGACGACGACAACAATATTTAGAAATAGAAGGCGGTACGCCGACGCCTGAGTTTATTCCGACCAAAAGACAGCTGGTGCGCCTGATCTCCAGACTTGGCATTGAAAAAGGCAGAATATTTCTATCTGATAACGAATTTATCGATACGTTGTTTTTTCACAACATATATAAGCTACGGTTCAGAAAATTTTCAAAGAAGTTGTTTGAATAGTCTCCAAAATCAGTTTGATAGAGACTGAGATACCACAACATACCTGGAATGACCATAATTTTCCGAACAGGATGAAAAGCCCTTCAAGTATTTGATTAGGCGCACTCATAAGCCGGAATTTCAAAGACTTTCAAAAATCGAGACATATGGTGGAAGGAGACACAAATCCTCGAAGAAACGATAAAACTGTGCCCAACGCTTTTACAAACGATATTTTACTCCGTAAATTATGGACAGCCAGGGAAAATACAGCAGGAGAGCTAACTCATGAAATGTCAACCGAAATTCCGAAATGCGTCTTCATTTCGAAAAGACTAAGTCAGTAGGGTTGTAAAACCAATCATCATGCAGCATAGTTCTGTAATAATTCAGCTACCCCTGAACGCCGGATTTCAAACGAACCTCTTTTCGGCTGCATGCAAAAACCATACTCCGTAAAAAATGACTACTTGTTGAGCAAACATTTATCTCATTGACTTTCGATGCCCATAAAATTTCAATTATATTTCATGGGAAACATGCATAAAAATATTTTTTATTTTGCTTATTCGGTAGAAAGTTACGTCTTCTTCCAAGTTCATATTCGAAGGAAGGGTATAATTCGGTTTTCAAAAACTTTTCCAATTCCTGAATAATTTTGGATCCGACCTGGCGTTACACTTGCATGCAGGGTCCCCAAACTACAAGCCATATATTTCCGCGTACAGAAAACCATACATTTGTTGACGGCATTAAGAGGAGACCATATGGGGTTCATAAAATGTAGCAGTGGATTTTAGCCACACTGTCTACTTTAGAAGGAACATGAGTAAGTGCAGAGACGCGATGTTTTATGAACGGGCATTTCACGATATTAAAAATTCAATAATAAGAAACTTGATAAAACCTAATTATGTCCTTCTTTAAAGTATAACATGTGAAGAATAGGTAATTTTCTACCAAATGTGCAAAAAATAAACCGTTTTTATGCATGTATTCCATGAAATATAATTAAATTTTTAAGGGCATCGAAAATGAGTGAGAAAAATGCACGATTCTTAGGTAGTCGTTTTTTACAGAGTACAGTTTTTGCATTTAGTCGAATCGAAGTTTGTTCGAAAGCCGGAATTCCGAGGTAACTGAATTATTATAGAAGTAGGCTACATGATGAGTAGTTTTACAACTCTACTTAATTAATCCTTTGGGAATGAAAACGCACTTCGGGGTTGGGTATGACTGGCTGACGACGGCTAATAAGCCAGAAATGGCCATTCCAGTCTCCCTTGTCTTTGTCCGTAATAACATACCGCCTATATCATGCGCCGCTGTGCAGCTGCTCGTTCGGCTCGAGTGAGAGCCCGTAAGGCACAACGGAACGAGTGAGTTCCGTAAGAACGATCGGACAGCGCCTCCTAGCATTGCATTTCGGAATTTTGGTTGACATTTCATGAGTTAGCTCACCTACTGTTCAAGCTGCATTTGAAGTGCGTCTGTCTGGCTAGTCATCGCTTAGGTAGTTCATCAAAATTGTAGTTTTAAATCACAGTGTGTAAATAAGAGCTCAGTGCTGATCTAGACAAATCAGCTTTCAAATAAACACGTCCGCCCTTAGATGGACACCACAGGTCATCTGACATTACTTCCTGCACATTGATGCGGACAGTGACTTTGGGGGGACGGTCAATGACGCCCACAAGTTTCATTGGTTGCTGTTTAGGAAAGCCAAACGATGACTCAACCACTTTAAACAACAAAGAGGGGCTGAGGACTAGTTTTGCTGAAGGAAGTGGATAGGGAACTTTCAGGCGTGAAAGTGCAATCCAGGTGACACCAGTTACCTAGACATACTAATTGCTAAAAATAATGTTCATCAGTGACTTCATATTTATTAGGTGGAGGCAGGCCACACAATACGGTGATAGCAGATTTGACATGATAAACACTCTCATCGAACCGAAAATGAGGACGATGCTGCGCATTAGGTAAAATTAACCATGAGGCTAAAAGAAAGCACAGCCTAAAGACTGGTTCCCCTAAGCTAATGGCGGGGTGTCAGAGAATGTGCCATTTCACTAGAAAACAAAACTTCGAAGATTAGCACTGACTGTTTCTAATAGAAACTGACGATAATTCATTAGAGTCATGTTAAACTTCAGTCCTCTGGTTGGGCGTAACCAAAACCCGGAGCGTTTTGTTTGGCTTTTAACTCAGTACGAGGCAGCTCGTTTACCATGACCATTCTTTTTGGGGGAGTAGTAAAAGGGTACGAAAAATTTTCAGCATACTACAAGTCAGTAAATAAAAAAGGAAGAGCGTTTATAAAAGTGATTCTCTTTAAATATAGTTATAAATATTTTTTTCACAAGAACCTTGAATGCGAAGTTTTTTACCGCAATTTCTAAAAATATTGAAAAGCATAAATGAAAGCATGCAATTCTGTCGAAACGCAAGAGTTAACTCATGGAAAAGGACTTCCATTGGGTCGTTTAGTTTTTTATACTGCCAAGTATGCAAGTTATCAGAAAAAAATGAATACAGCAAAATAGAACTAAATGAAGCTTTGGTTACAGAAACGCCAATATGTAAACTTTGAGAAATCTGAAGAAGAAGAAGAAATAATGCATAGATTTGCTTAGAACAGGTTTATTGAACTGTTGACGTTTCACAGATCCTACTTGGCTCACCACTGAGCCCCTTCTGTCAGATTATCGCCCCGGATACCCCAACAGCGTCACTCTGATCACTTATAATCGGTCGATACCCTCATATGAGCCTAATAGGGAGATATCTGTTAACAAGTGGAGGAAGACGATTAGGTGGATGCTGCACTAAAACTCCCTATCATACGAATTTTAAGCCACACATACTTAGATGAATATCGGGAATCATTAACTTGCTATCCGTTGTGGGAATAGACTAACTCTGTACAAGATCCGATGTCGAGCAGACAATTCGAGCTGTCTTGAACATTGACAGTAGATATGCTATCTCATGAAATATTAACCGAAATTCTAGGATGTGTTTGCGGTTAGAAAAGCTTCCTAAGGAGGGTTGTCATACTGATTATCGTACAGCCTAATCCCAAGATACTTCGGTCACACCAGGATGTCACCTTTTTATTGCCCTTCACCCTGCAAAAACTGACCACCTAAGCAGTCTTAATTTTTTCCCGCAAATTTTCGATGTCCTTATAAATTCAAATGTATTTTATAGAAAACGTGAACAGAATCATGCGTTTATTCACTTACATAGTGGCAAATAACATCTTCTCTAAACCTCATACTCAAAGAAAGGATGTCTTTCTGTTTTAAATTTTTTTCAATTCCCGGATAGCTTTGAACTCCACTTGTCGTTACATTTGCATTGAGGGTTTTCAAACTATGAGCCGTATATTTGTCGCGTAACAAAAATCATAAATCCCTATACGCTATTCAGGAGATGTCACATAGTCCTCTGAAAATGTTGAGGTGGACAGACACAATGTCTTTTGAATGAAAACTTCATGACCTTGAAAAATCTCATTATTAAAGACTCTTCTAAAACCGAAAGATACCCCTTCTTAAAGCATAGAATTCGAAGAAGACGCAATTCACCACCACATAAATACAAGGAAGGTTATTTTGTGCGTTTTCTCCATGGACAATATTTGATTTTCTAGGAGCATCGAAAATCAATAAGGAGAATTCGTGCTATTTTAGCAGTCATTCGTAGTAGCGTGCTTTTTGCCGGTGGCTGGAAGAAAGAGCATTCAAAAGTCGGCGTCTTTACGCGAGTGAAATATACTGAGCTTTTGCTGCACGATGATTAATCTCACAACCCTACCTAAGCAATCCTTTCTATTTGAAAACGAGTTTCAGAATTTCGGTTAACATTTCATGAGATAGCACATAAAATGTGAGTTTGCATATGTTAAAATGAATGTAACAGATTTCATCAGGCTCATTAGCCCCATAATCAATAAAGGATGCAGTGAATGCGACCCAGAGGCTCAAGATAACAACACAAAACCATGCCTACGTAAGTCAGAAGGCACAATAAGAGCGCAATCCGTTCGTAGAAGGCAAACTGGGTTGGAATTAATGGGCAGAGTAAGGCCTCAAAGGTATAATTAGATGTCAGTTTTAATTCTCGAAGGCATTTTCTATCGAATTCGCATAGCTTGAGCTGTAGAAACAACGGTGGCACAAGCTAATGTGCAAGACGAGCGTGTAATTAAGACTAGGCATCAAAGCTATTGAGCTTCTTTTGATGTTTGTGGACCAAAAATAGACTTCGTTCATGATAGAACTTGGAGAGCAAATTGTCCCTTGCTAAGGAAGAGAAGTGGCCACTCACCATGGAGTATGGGAATCTGTGATCTTCCTTCAGTAGGGAATTCATGATGGGTTCTAACTGAAAAGCGTCAACGGCCATAGATTCACCCGATGCCTCGTAGAAGAGTCGGCGAACACGGGGTAGCATGGTTTCGTACTGCGGGTCCGGTTCAGCCAGAGAAAGGCTGACATCGCTGAAATCTATTCGGCCAAGTGCGGGACTACAAGAGAGGTGATAACAACCCAGAAAATTTAAATAACGCTTAATTTTGAGCAGATCAAATGGATATGAGACTTCTCGATGAAAAGCAACGGCAACACACAACGCAGGGTAGATACCCATGCCTTTGCTTCCATACTCATTTTATAATAACATCTTGGATAAAGGTGGTCTACTGCTACGACGAAAACATAAAATGCCTCATTGTACAGTAACGAGTCATCGAACCTGACCTCTCCGGACTTTTTATACGTGTGAATATTTGAAAGAAATTCGGTTACAGCTAGAACCTAAAAGAATACAGGAAGGTATACATTTGACTACACTCTCATTAAACAAATTTGACCTTATAAGGTAATCGAAAGTCAATAGAAAACGTCATACTGTTTTGGTGGTCATTTTGTATCGAATGCGGTTATTGCAGGTGGTGGAAATGGAGCACATTCAAAAGCCGACAGTCTGACGGAACTAAAACACCTTGGGATTATGCCACCAAATGAGCATTCTTACAGCCCCTAACTAAATACGCATTTCAGGACTTTGGCTAACATTTCATGGGATTGGCCGCTGGCTGTATGTGAAAAACAAGCATCTGTGGTTGTTTGTCGATCTCCAACGTTCTGTGGCTTGCGTGTCTAGGTTTCTCTGGTATTGAATAGAGGCTGACGCAAGGGGAGGACAGCGTTCACCAACAAGTTGCGTTTACCTGTAGGGCTGAAGACAAAAGATTCCGCCCAGCCTTGGAGCGGAGGCCCAGTAGCCCACAATGACAGTTGCAGAGTGACTAACAATCAGTAATAAAGGGGTGTTAGCGATAAACGGGAATTCTGGAAAAGTCACTTCCAAGTTATTGGCCGTCAGCACCCAGTTGGGTTGACGCACGTGGTTTACACGTGAGCTAGTTTGGTTCTCACATCCTAAAATACGGTCACACAATTCAACATACAACTGCGTATGCCAGCCGGATCCGAGATGAAACTAAGAGGAACTCATGAAAATATAATCAAAAGAAAGTGTCCGATTTTAGGGGACAGACTGCTTTAATTGATGCTATCTACCCAGGAACGGACAAGCTTAGCATTGAGCACAGCATTAATCAGGCGGTTAAGAGGGCAACTAAATCAGCCGGCTAGTGTTTACTTGCTTTGTCGTTCTCTTTCACGTTAAATAGGCCAGAATGGATGTCTTCTTATTCTTGGTCGGAATATGCATTCGTCAATAGCGTGCCTATTTATTCCCGTCCATGATGACAGTATGAAGATAAGGCTGAAAGGAGAATTTGAAGTTTGGGCTGCATCAACTACAGCTAGGCCTGAATATCATCGGGTGGATAGTAGGACTATGGAGGAGGCAGTGAGAGTGTCAATAGATGACCTCAATAGGAACAAATCGGACGGCATTGCTCAGTCTACTCGCAATGAATCCTTCCCCAAAGTGTTCTAGACGAGAGCTCCAAAGCAAAACCAAACGCATATATTCCATCGTCCGAGCAAACTAAACTGGAGAATGAAATCTCTAACTATTAGGATCCTTGACCAAAACTAGCAGAAGCCCTCTGACTTATTCCAGTCTTCCCGGGATAGGGGTTGGGGTTTGGTTGGCTGCCAAGTGAAAACTAGCCAAAAGTAGTCACTCCAGTTTCCCCTGTCTTTGTCGCTTATACTTCTCGAATAATAACTATTCATCCTTGTGTGATCATCCGCGATGGCTCTTGACAAAAAACTCCAAATTAAGATAAAAACGCTGGCACTTTAGCCCGTAGTCAGCCTACGTAGATAGACTCACTTCTCAGGAGGTAGAGCGTGATCGATAGTAGCATTGCATGCCTTTTAAAAGCCCATTATTGACAAAACGGGCTTAATAAAATCAGTTCGGAAGATGATTTTAACGAATATTTCCGGCCAATGTAGTCAGAAAACGAAAACCATTCGTGAAATCAGGGTCGCTAGGTTGTTTACGTTGATTTCGGAATGAAAACTAAATACTCTATCCGTGAGATATGGAAAGGAAGGAATTTGATAGGGGAGGCCTATGCGAGAAATGAGGTTATAAAACGCTTGTAGCCAGACCCTAACACCAATCCGGTTGCAAGGAGTGGGGGTGGGATGGCTATAAACATTTTTCACCTAGTGCCCCATAAGGCTCTTGGGTGGAAAACCACCGTGAACTCTGACTGCTCGACTGCCTTGGATTTGCTCTACAAGATTAACTTACGTCAATGAACGATCCGCTTGTTCAAAAAGAATACGTAAGAGGAAATTGCCAGGTTGATCGGCTGAGTAGGTACACGGCACGAGCAGGTAGGCGCCTGGAGAAAACCTAAAGCGTTTTACAACCTCGCGGGAATCGTAAAAGAAGTCCACGCTGGCGATATGGCTGGTGGATTCGAAGAAGCGCCTGGTCATTGGCGGTGTTGCTCCAATCGGAAGCTGAACAATGGAGTGAATACAAGCTGAACCCCTGGGTCTTCACGACAAGATACTTAGAATTCACAAAATTATTTATACTTTCTAATTGGGGCGAACACTGTTGACTGAAATTTTTCTTGCGGCAGAAAAAAACAAAATGAAAATGAAAAAAACGTTCAAAGAGGACTTTTTGGCGTAATTAAATTCTTTACATCCTAAAAAGTAGGCCGGAGTTGCGCGATGAAACACATCAAGACAGTAATAACATCGAAAATCATCAAATGCATGTTTGCTGTGTGCAAACACGGAACTTCAACTATAAGCAAAACGAAGATTAAAGTCTATGAAATCAGCATAGCACTTTTCCCCAGAATTTACTGGCTGAAAAAAAGCGAAATTTCCTTAGGGATGTATCAGTGTTGGTTAGGCTGGCTGACTGCTAAAGAATGTGCATGTTATGATGCTGGGATGCCAAATTTTGTATTATTTAAGCATAATAGGATTGATGTGTCTTTATTGATAAGACTGCGGTTTGGATATGAGGTAATAACGAAACAACCTCGCCTACAAACATCTGTTTAGGCCATTCTCATTTGGGAGGCATGAGCGCCTCTCTCGGCATCAACCTTGTCCACATTCAGCAATGATGGCTAGAAGATTTAAATCGAATGAATCGTAACTAATTCTTTATGATCGTTATCGGAGGCCTTTTCTTTCCTTAAAGACTAGTGAAACTGGATGGATCGTGTGCCACTTTCACGTTCTCATAATTCATTTCGATTTGGATCCTAGACAACAAGCATAAAAATGCAAACGACAAAGACAGAGCGGTATCCTCCCGGTATCGATATATATTGCACTAAACCTCAAGCTACTAGACATGGCCGATTAATGAATATTCATTTATGGACGTATTCAGGACACTCTGATCATATTTTGACAGACAGTTGTAAGCACCATCTCCGTTGCAGCCATTAACACATTCAACTGGCAGAGTGAAAGACATTTCTAATAGCGCACCGGAAGCATTCGTCAGGGACATATTCAGTGTCTGCGCTTTTAAAAACGGAAACGCCCAGGTCTGCTAAATTGGGAAGAGTTGGTAAAGTAGAGTTTTTCTGCTAATCAGTGAGAGGGAAAGGGAGTAAACTCTCATTCCGGAATAAAAACTGCCAAAAACCGGCAACTACCGGGGCTGCGAGGTTTGTCTCGCCAATAAACAAGGAACTCGCGCCATTACCCGCTGATACTCCTCACGGTCCTCAATTTATACCTTGTCAGCGCCCACAGATCTGTTCATCAGCTCATCGAAAAAATGAACAGTCATCACAACTCCTCCAACCAGCGAAAGTGAACGAGAATATGTTACGTTTGTTCGTTGAGACTGACGAGGACCACCATTGGCCCAGAGAGGGTGCACTGACGATCGGCGTGGGAATCTGTTGATAACAAGGGGGGATTTGTGCAGCGTCTACCTCACTCTTCTCAATCTCCCCACGTTCCGGTGACAGGAGAGGATCGAGGCGACAGGTGACAGGCGGGAAGCGATAGCTGGTACGTCTGCCACCAGAAAGGTGCGTACCACACGTGTACTGATCTCTACACTCACATGAACGCTCCTTCAATGGGAGAGGTACTGGATCACACACAAACGAGGAGCGGCATAAACGATAGGCTAAGAAGGAACCATTGTCTTCTGATCCTCTGAGAGAGAGAGAGAGAGTTATCCAGTTAGCTGGCAGTCTTCCAGGCCAAGATGGCTAAAACATCACAGTAGTTTTAAAGCGCGCTAGCAGGGAAACTAAGTGTTGGATACCAACTGGCTCGACTTGACTCTTCCCTCGCGCATGGGCCAGAATACTACCTAAGCAAGGTCAACTGGTGTCTGGTGTTGCGTAAAATTTCCGTCTGACGCTTGCCACACGCACAAAAGTGTACACAGGAGCAGGCGCAATACATTGAATTGTGTTGATTGCAAAAAATTACCCACTTTGTAAAATGCTGAAAAAGATTAATTTTAGATTATGCTGCAGCGGAAGGGTTCAGAAGTGAAAGTGAGAGGACTACTTTTGATAATTGACGAATATAAAGCGCTAGATGAATTGAAAAAATTCTCAGGCACAAACAGCAGAACCTCGTTGTATGTCAGGTAAAAGTGGAGACAGAAGTGTTAACGATGCTCAATATAAGCGGTCGTGCAAGGTAAACTACACACCGGCCATCAAAAACTTAAAAAACAGCATTCAATAAGGGAAGCCCTGCAGACCATACGAGGAAAGCTGCATTATCGCCTGTAGGACTTTAAGCTGGACATGCGGTAAAGTAAAAAATTTCGTTTTCTGGTGCACTGTCTCTGCACCGACCATGTAGTGAAATCTGGCTCTTTTGAACAAACTAGAGTACTTTAGTTCCGCATGGTTGGGCCTCTACGCAGACAAGGCGGCATCAAAAATAGAGCGGAGATGCATTGGGAAAAGACAATGAGAGCGAAGGAGGGCTGACTGCCAACATCCCCTTTGGAGGTGGTGGACACGACATGGGTTGGGGCCTGATTGAAGGCAGGCACGACCATCTAGATGTCCATCTGGCTACGAGGACCACTTTATTTCGGATAAGTAATTATCGCAAATGTCAGCTTGAACTGCGCCAAAACACGGGTGGCTAGATAACGCCGATTAGGGAAATAATTAGCATGTAATTCGGAGGCTTGATCATTTAGACGCAATCTGGCGCTTTTTACCCAACTTTCGATGCCTTAGATACATAACTCGATTCAACCATTCTAATTTGAAGGGCTTCGTATTAAAAAATCTGCATCCCCCAAAGGGAAAAGCCATGGTATGCCTCATATTTAATTATTTTTTTCTGCGCCTTATAGAGAAAAAGGGAGTAAACACCTGGTTTCAGTGATAAATGATTTCACCCAGATAAGGAGCTCCCATTGGCATATTTCGCCACGACCTCCTCCCCTAATGAAATATGAACATTGACTTGATCCAGCTCACCTGCCTTCTCCCAGGGACACCTAAGTAATTAGTATTCCCTTTCTCGCAGAGATCCCCATCCAGTGGACCGATACTGTTTACCTTCCTTCGTCCACCTATCAGAACCTCCAAAATTCATTTTTGTCAAAATGGCCTCATTATTATTCGCTGAAAGCGCTTGTTTCCATTGACTGACTCACGTTTAAGATATCCAGATACAAACTTTAAGTGGGAGTAAGTTAAAACGAACAATTGTGGCTTGAAACTGTCTGTAAGAAGAGGACTACTTTGCGTACTCGAGGCGCTAGATCTAGCAGGTGTAAATTCTCCCTTCTGGCAAATCATGAAATGCTTTTATCGGTCCTTTCTTTTTCAGTTAGAACCTCAGGTTTCTTAGCGAATGCTGAGTAATTAAAATTGCCGAGAAAAACTGGTCATTCCATCAGAGACAGTTCAGATCTACAAGTTTTAAAAGATGGCTGGAATTATGCCAGTGTCTTGTCATTTGAAAGTTATCGGCTGTTGCATCCCCAGTCACCCATGACCGGAAATCGCTCCTTGTAGAAGCTTACCTTTCTGATCGGTTCGTATTCCAAGTGTTGATACTCTCTTGCTGCAGAGCGACTGGCGTAGGGTTTATAATACTTAAAATTAGACATGCTGACTAAAATGTCAACTGGCGACATAAATCCGCAGCCAGGATGTCCTAGTGACTCTAAATACATCCGTTTGCAAAGTCTAGGCAAGGTCTTTCTGTCAGAGCAGTGGTCATTTTGGAGATTTATATTTTATGGGGGTTAGTTCTACTGTCAGTGGGGTGATCGGTTTCCCACAGGAGCGACGCCTACCGTAACGGTACAAATTCCCATCCGTCCCCTCGCTTCCATTCTGTGTGCTATTCGGACCTGACTTTGAATGAAAATGCTTTATATTCACTTGTAATACGAGCCAACTAGAGCTTACGTCGGAATCTAGAAGGCGAATCCTAGGGTTGGCATGCATCTTCTTACTTTTAATGCCAGGAATAGTAAAGAGACCCTACGGTAGCCTCGCTGAGGAGGTCGACGAGAACCTCTGGCAGAGTAAACTCATTACTTGTAAATTTTCGATTAGCTTTTTTGAGGCTATATAGAAATCGCCGAAGAGCGTGCCTTTTAGAGATAATGTGCCTTTCCAAAGTCCAAACGACAAAGTGATGATGGGATGGCTACCTCACAACGGGTTAAAATACTAAGTTGTGATGCAAATGAATGTGACTAATGGTGTTGGATTAAACCTATTTTGTGTGAAATAGCGAAATAATGAAGTTGCATCGGAAACGACAAAACCTGTAAGCTGTCGCCTAGAACGCTTAAAAACAGACCAATAGCACACAAAAGCCCACCCGATAGAGGACAAATCCAATACTGAGCAGGCGAGGAGCACGGTGTCGCAGCGGGCGCGCATCTGATTGGAGGAGCGCCACGACCACCGAAGCCAGACCCTCGGGATCGCCGACGTCAGGCGAGGGGATGTTCATTATATACTGGGGATTGGCCCAATGACTGGCTCGAACAAAGGGTCTGCCACCAGCGGTAACACCACGAATCCAACACCCGAATACCCGGCCCACAGTGTGTTGTTGACCGGCAGTCGAGGTGGGGAGAAGCGAGTCCTGAAGACCGTGATTGTTGGTCAGGATACCGCTAGTGAAAGCAGGCCCGTTGCCAGACCCGCTAGGCATCTCCACAACATGACAGATATCCAGGTAATCGAAGTTTGCCAGAAAGTCCTCCATTGACATCCTGTGGAAAGTAAACACAACCATGCCACTGGTTTATACAATGCATTAAAGTCGGTACGAGCAAAGGCAGAATGGGACTCAGAAGGGATATATGAGATACCGGAAATCTGACGCTTCCAAAGCAGCGAAATTAATCCAACGGGAGCTTTTGCAACTTCAAGAAAGCAACGTCATAACGAGGACAGCGATCCTTAAACAAACTTTGTTTGTAGAGCTAAGTGGTTTGTCCTGATTCCGCTCCATCGTCTACGTGCGGGTACTTTGGGACGTTAACTCAATGATAACAATTCACCAGTCGGATAGAATACACCGACAGGGGGGTAACGTTAGATTGCGAAAAAATTAACGCAGGTCGAATTGCTGACCCCCACTTTTCCCACCGGGTATTATGGAGGACACACTCGCCGGCTGTGGACACCGACATAGCAAGACACGATGGCTAGAACAAGACGTTTGTTGGCCTGAATTTTCGGATGCTTATTTGAACTCATCAACAGAGACAGACGCGAGTAAGGGCGACGCGGATATAAAGCGTGTAGTATTTATTGTACGTAGTTGCCATGTTACCGGGCGTAATCATTGGCACTGCTCTATCAGAGGAACAAGTGGAACGAAGTTGGGAGGTGGGTTGCTAGATTCCATGTTGAGGGGGAGGTGACGCCTTTTAACCATGAGAGTTTTCTGTCCTTTTACAGGTCGTTTCAGTAAAACCCTGCTCCAGGCATTGATACAGAAACGTTGCGCGGATGCCTTTCAGGTCCCACTTTACCGTGCAGATGAGCAAACAGAGAGTAACACAGAAAAAAATGTTTTTTTCGTCAATTCTTTCCGGTCAACGGAGTAGATTCTGAAGGAGCTGTCTGAATAAGGTCTTGTCTTTTCAAAAATCCAACCTTTACTTTAGGTCGCACGAAAATTGCAGCCAAAACTTATTCATAAAATTTTAAACGCTACAACCATTCTTTCTTTAGCATTCTTTCTTAGCATTCTTTCTGCGCCCCTTATTTCAGCTCCGGAAAAAAAGTGATTATATTCATGGATATAACTCTCAGGGTCGATAAGTTCCGGATAGGCAAAATCTGAAATGACCATAAGCACGGAGAAGACACTCATCGGGCATGGAGATGGTAGTCCCTGCCAGTGCTCACCACTACCATGAGGCAATTTGCTTTGCTGAGAAGGGTGGCCTCGAAAAAGCACGAATTTTGAAAGAGTTGGAGTGAGATACTTTATCATAGGGTCGCCCCAACAGCCATTTCGGCAGCAAGCTGGAGATGTACATGATCGTCGCATGAAGCACTCTGATATTCGGCGCTGGAAAGTGAACTGACCACTAACGCCAAATGACGAAGTTTAACTACTTCCGCCGGAGTTGTTTTTGGAAGACCTTGACCGTGTGGTAGTTGCGATTTCCTCAGGATTTTCGACCGACAGCTATTCTGCCAGCGTTCGTAGACTGTGAAAAAATCAAAGATGACACAGTGGCATGTCGAGAAATCTATTCAGGTGTTTCTGGATCAATCACGTTGTAGTGGTCAACCAGAAGAAGCAATCAGGGTAACTAAGTGGTCACAGGACGCCATGAACTGGTACAATGAGGAATTTCGCCAAGACCAGTCGAACCTGCAATAAATGCCAGAAGTTTCAGTTCACACCCAGTGTCTTAACTGGACAAAACAGTCTCTTCCACATTAACCGAAATGTCAAAAGGGCCACCCAATGTATAACCTAGAATTTGTTCGTAACAGTTAAATGTGAATCGTCAATAAACCTCAATAAGATGAAAGGGCATGTGCGCCTACGGGAGAATAAGTGCTCAAATGTATTCGACGCGGAGGGCAGCAGAGTTAGACCGTGGGTTTTCACAATAAGAATCGCAACACACGAATGCAGTTGCGAGGTAATCGAGTGTCACAAGTAACGTCGTTTTATTGAGGTCGCTTGCCGTTGGGAGGAAGGATGAAGCGGCAGGGCAAAATGGCAGCCGGTTCAAAACCTCCACGTGCCCTTATCAATGCGTCTTCTGGCAGTTTTCCTCGACACAGAGGGCACTATCAAATATTTCTAGCTCTGTAGGCGTCCAACCTCCTTTTCGTTCGAGAAAATGAACTCAGTTGAAGGCAGAGTCTGGTCCCATTTGAGAAGAGGAAGCCACGATGGCTGGAGCAAGAATTTCATTCGCTTGCAGTTTTGAATTCACATTCAAACCAGGAAACAGAGCGAACTCAATATAAGGGTAATGGATGAACAATGTGTGAAGTATGCGTTGAACGCAGTAGCTGCGCCACCTTATACATATCAAAATTAGCAGCTCGGACGAAGTTTCCCTCTCTTAAATCTCGCAAGACCCGCCAAATGACTCTAAACACTTCCTGGGTCAAATGGTCGAGCAATCATCACACCAACGTCCAACACACGTGATAAAATTGCAGCAATTAGCGGTGCGAATATCGGCAATCAAACAGTCATCATACCAAGTGTAACGATCTCTAATGAAGGGGGGAGCCGCGGTAGCATGGCAACTTCATCCTGTGAATACCGCAGCCCCCTGTGCATGAACCACCCGTATCTGCTTTTGTCTCTGATGATGGGTTCGAGCAGGGATCCGAAACGTCAGGCGAATAAAGCTCTTGTTCCAACGATTGTGTCTCCTTCACGACTTCCTGGCCTCTCGGCAGGACTTTTTGCCTAATCATAGAGCGCTTGACGGTGGCCTCCGGCCCATGTGCAACCCAAACTCCAAATGAAGTGAGATGGCGACTGGCAGCTTCCCAAGCGTGCTTTGCTTATGGGAGCGCTGGCCAAAACGTGGGGGCAAGATCCTATTTAGTAGCCGTACCTGTTAGGGATTAGGGCTAGGGGTTGGACGTTAGGGGTTAAGGTCAGGGGTTCGGGTCCAATGCGGCTTTGTTTCCAGTATCTTTTGCGTAGGCATCGGTTGACGAAGTTGCGCCGGCAACTAGTCGCTCTTAGAAGCGATGGGGCGTACTGTACACTGGCAGTCCTGCTTGTAAGGACATTATACTATTTTCGATGGATGGGAAAAGCAAGGAAGTCCGGTAGAATCGTTTCTTCCTCTTCAAAGTACATTGTTCGTCCGGAATGATGACAATTCCATGATCTTTGAATGCCAACACCCGATCGTATTTGATGACGACGAAGATACAATACACATACCGAGTCCAGAACGTCGATCTGTGGTACCGGATGACTAGCAACTCCGAACGTTACAAGAGAGCCGCGGCCATAGGTAAAAATATTGGTGAGCCCATTGGTGTGTCCTTCACCTGCCCATAAAATAATCCTACAGAAGTGAAGTACATACTGCGACAGAACCTCAGAACTTTGACGACTTGGGCGTGCCCGAGGTAGGTCCTCGTTTTATAGTGTTTGCTGTGCAGAGGCAATTCGGTGGTCTCAAGTGCCAGATTATAGGGAATAGCGGTTAACGGCGCGACATCAAAAGATGCCACAGCCTCGTTTAGTAGGATAATTAGCCGTTTCAGTTTCTCGAAGAATTGGAGAACTAACATTTTTGCCTGAATAAACCGGCAGAAAAGTTAAAGGTCCAGAGGGTCATTTTGCCGGACCGTAGGTAGGAGCGTCCTTAAGAGAGGCCATGGACCGGAGGAGGATGCACACTTTGTGAAAACTTGGAAGCCATAGAAACGGTCCGAGGCCGTTTTTCGGCTTTAGCCATGCGACATTCTATGGTTGACACTGTAGCTGCCAGTATTACCCCGCAATAATTTCATATGCCAGCATTTTTAGGGGGGTCAGTTTCACATGGACCATGAAAGTGACTATCCTTCAGTAAGCTTTTGTCCTGCTGGAGGTAATTTGTCCTGACAAATAGGACGGTGGAGCATCCCTTGTCAGCATACACCATAACGATGTCTTTGTCGGTACTGAGTTTCCTTAATGGATCGCATTAGATCTTGGGTAATGCGTCAAGTACCTCGTAAGTCACGAGGAGCGACGATGCTCGATGTCAAATAAGGTTCTCCTTCCCGTCCGTCGCTACCCTCAGAGATCCAGCAGACAACTTTGACATCGACTGTCTGGAATGAGACTTGATGTCGCAACACTTGCACCTGTTCCTCCGTCAGATGTCCTGACAACCGGTTGCTATCAGTCTAACGTCTTCGGATGACATTACACCAGATAGAATGTGGAACGTGTTCTTTGGCACACCACCGTCTATCGCTCCCCGTTCGCAGGCTCGTTCAGTCATCCTATGCTGGAGTAGTTTCGTACCTTGCTCGTTCGTAAACCTGTAGCACCTGGTCTTCTCTTGATTTCTTGCTTGCATCGGCTGCTCGCTGTTGCCACTCCGAGAAAACGAAGTAGCCTAACCCATATTACCAGGGTCCGAACCGCTTGCCCTTAAACCCCGCAGCACTTGCCTAACAGTTGGGGTAACGTATGCGCGGATTTGGAGACCCTCCATTGCTCTCAGACACGACGTCTAAACTTAAACCCAGATCACTAATGGTCTGAATATGAGTACCTAGGCACCCCCGTGGATTGCCAACCGAGTTATCTCAAATACAATTTCGGCCGTTTTGAAAGGGCACGTCTCTCTGCTTCATATGCCCAAATTTACAACGCACTTCAAGATCAGAGAACCTGGAGATCAAGGAAGACGAGGATGCCGAGGAACGTGTTAAAAACGAGATGAAGGAAAATAAATATACCGAAATCCCAGAATTAAGGTCCTGACTACATATGGGTGCGAGCGCTCATTGCAGATAAAATCTGAACATGAGGGATCCGGAGGACTTAAACTCGGATCGAGTTAATACAATATCAGCAAGGGAGTCGACCTCGTAGAATCGTGAGGTGTGATAGAACATTTGGGCGCACGACAGAAATTCAAACGCCTAAACCTATTGTCCCAACATCATTAAAGCTTTTAATAACTTCCGGTTATCAATGAATAAAGACAAGGAAGACGACTGCATTCTCACAGCCTAATCTGGTGCCCCGTCGATGATTACTAGTAAAAATTCCCAATAGGGGATTAAACACAGTTTCTCTAATGACCGGGAACTCGGGCGGCGCCTGTGGTTAGGTCAAACAAGTACTGCTAATAGAACTTGCATGTCTCCATTGATCTCGGGAGGGTTGTGTCAGCAGAACAGGTCCCAGCAATAAAAATGTTCCGATTAACTGTCGTAATGGATGAGCAGGCTGTGCGTCAGCGAACTTTGATCTAGCCTTCACTTAGTTCGAACCGAAGTTCAAATAGATTTCATGCAGGAACGCTTTTATACAAACTGATGACAAACTACTCAACGGAACACCAGGATAAGACGGTGGGAGAAAGAAGCGAACGTTAAAATAAACCGCCGAATTTTTCAAAGGGGGTCTATGGGGTCATAGTGATGATAATGGGAAACGATACATACTATGCCATAATGAGCAAGTTGAAATCACATCTGAGCGTAGGACTTGAAGCTCAGGGTCGAATAGACTGCTTCAAAAGGGACGACTACAGGAAAACCGAAGGCAACAAAAAACCCACAGCGAACGACCATTTGATTTTTTGTGCCACCGGAAAAGCCCGGCTTATGCAAAGTACAGCCTCCAACTTGTCCGGTATATTGATGTGTCTGCATTAAAGGGTCGAAAGGAAGTGAATTTGCGAAACTAGGTGATATTTGTAAGGGAGGGGAGGTTGCTCCTCTGACAGTTCGACCGCCAACCAAGTACCGATGCCATGCAAACCACTGGGGGCTGCAGGGCGCTACTCTCAACCCAGTTACCAAAGCGCCTATCAAAAATTTCCTTCAAGAACGAGACTATTTCATTCTACTTGTCCTTCAATATCTTACAGGCTACACCTCAAATGTGCCCCACAGATCACTAGAACTGTTTAAAGGCCCCCATTAATTTTCAAGATTTAAATAGATTCTGCGCACTGACAGTTCAAAATTTGTGAGAGGATGACATGCATATTGTGGACTGCATTCGATGAGAAGCCGTTCGTGATTTTGTTGCATGTACTAGCGTAAAAAATACTTCCTAAATCGGCAGACCAAGAGCAGGTAAACAAACGTTCAAGGCATCTTCTGACGGACTAATGCAGTTTGCTACAAAGTAATCGCATGAAAGTATCTAGTACGTGTTCCCATCGTCTGTAGCTCGCATTTCGCCACCTGGTTTGACAACCACTATTACTTTTGCAGATGCATTTTTTGGTGCCAGCTCCCTCAAAAAACACGTCTTCCCACTAACTGGGGAAGAAACAATTGATTTTAAGGGACGCAATCCGTTATTAGCCTTCGATTGGTCTTCGTCATTCATAAAATCAATATCAACCTTCACGAGGGCCCGCGTACAATGTTTGTGCTGTAACCTGCCGTCTGACGAAGCAACCGTAGCAGATTTGCAAAAAGTGAACCGAAAGGATCCATATACCCGGAATGAAGAATAGCGTCAAGAATGCATTTGTAATTGACCCAGGTCAAAGCCGGTATCATTTATGCGCTGAAATATCGGCGTGAATCATTCAGACAGCAGGTACTGCGAAAGGAGATGGATGGCATAAATCAAAGCGCTTTATTTCGACGTCTGCAAAGGCAGGCTATGCACCGTTGAAATGGGTAGGAGGGCACCCACAGGGGCTACTGCGGATGTCGAGGATCGCAACAGCAGCGGTTATGACCGTCGTCCTGGCGACTTCCTACGCTGGCTCTGGGGCGTGCGTACGTTCACTCCATCGGCAGTCGCATGCAACCGGCTAGATCGGCCAATGAACGCGGACAGGCAATGGACAGTACAATCATCGGTATCAGTACCATCGTCGTCATCATCGTCGTCGTCGCCGCCGCCGCTGCCATCATTATCATCCTCATCGTGAGCAGCAGCAGCAGCAATGCGCGCGCACGCATGCCGCAACTGCAACGCCTCTGCTCGACAGCTAACGCATACAGGTCTCAGGCAATATAAATATGTTTGCGCACGAAGACACTATCAGCAGTTTACGCCAACAGTTGCGTGAAGGATTACAGGAGGAAGCGGAGAAGGAGGAGGCTGAAGGAGCAGTCACTCTGCCCTACAAAGTGGATGGAAAACTTAAATTTGCAGACCAGCGGCTGTGTGTGTGTCCCTATTGTCACCGTCACCCATCCCCCGCCACTGTCTGCACGGTCTCCGCAACAGCCTCAATTCAGCCGAATCTGGCTACGCGACGGCTTTGGCAGCCTTAAGTTGCATGGAACGCTACTGCGGAAACTTTTAACAAATGGGGAAAAACGCGAATTTTCTGTTGTCAGAACATGCCTGAATGGAGCAGAGTTTAAATGCTGACAGGCACGGTGACATCTGTTTTTAGGACGAATAAAATGAAAAGTGCAGTCGTAGTGAGGAGACGGCCAGAGGAAAGTGCAGAGTTCCCTAGGAATACAAACCAGCCAATCAGTTTGAGATGATTACGCGTGTCTTCTACGTGACCGGCAGAAAGTCCAAATATTGACTTATGCGTGCCTTTTCAGACATTTGAGCGCAATAGTTTTTACTCTCCATACCTCGGAAAGGCAGGAATCTCGGGAACACGGAGGCTGTCTGTCATCCTAACCCTGAGTCATCTGGTGCGTCCAAAGGTGGAAGATAGTGAAACGACTCTCAGCGAAGCTAACCGCAAAATAGGCATGCTCTCGGATTTAACGAACAATCGGTCATTAATCAGTCAGCGATACTACCAGCAGACGGGGTTGGACACCTAGTCGGCTAATTAGTCTCCTAAAAGCATAACAAACCACTGCGCTGTTACGGCATGGCAAGGGTTGTTGTCATCTAACAAGGCCCGACCTATCACTTCACAGAATCCTGTAACCGGTGTACAGGAGAGGGAAAAGAGACGCTCGCTCTCAAGTCCACGGGTGGCAGAAAATTTTCTCCCCGCAAAGCCACCCCACTCAAATCTCCTGCAATGAGCTAGGATCTATGAGAGTTTTTGGACGGAAGGAGGACTTCGCTACCGTCAAGTGCGAGCACCATTCTGACGTATCCAATCTTCTGAGTGAATATAAACAACATCCGGGGGAAACAGAACCGCCTGTGGTCGAATGAAATTGTCTACTTTCTCCCTTAGGAGATCAAATTACAATAATTTCTTCCATAATGAGGGCGGAAACAGAGCAGAGAATTCTTTGACAATGAAATAGAGCTGGCAGAGATAACATAACTAGAGCGACCGATGGATGGTGGGTCGAAAATCTACGTCTATTGAAAATAAGAAAATACAAACGAAAGAAACAAGAGTTAATCGTCGCATATTAGTTCAAAACTCAATAACACTGTGCGCCAAGTCCGTAAATGATTCTGGGCCTAAAATCATAGGTGCAAAACCGGTTGGGTACTGTCAAAAATACTTAACCTTTACTGTTTCCTTGTATGGAACAGTTTTAAATAGAGTACGGGATGTGTTTTCCATCGGGACTTACGACCGCCTGTGAGGGTTGTAGACTAAAAGTCCAAACAAAAGAGGAAATGCTCATAACCGTCCTCCAGTCAGGATAGCTCGGTGAATGCCAAACTCTTCTGACTGAATACTCGCGATCTCAGTCGATTCGACGCGATCCCCTTATTGCATTGGTGAGAAGGCGTTATTCCTTAATCAACTAATATGAGGGAGGAATGCTTCGACTATGCAGACCATGACTGCGGTATCGCAGGCGGATGACGGCAAACAAGCCAGTAGTAGCCATTCCCGTGATCTTTGCCAGTAAACACTTCTCAATTAGGGATCTTAGTAGCAATGCTACCGACTGCCGTGGCTGCAGACCAAGATTCCAAGGCAGGAATAGGAAGCCAAATTTCATCCTGCAATTAGGATAGATTGTTGAACACTCTATGCGGAACTGCAGACACCCAGGCGACAGTCAATAGTTCGGGTAATAAAATGTTGGCTCAACGATTAACTGGGCCCTGTTCAATTTCGTGAACCTGGATAACTGGGCTTGGGTATGGCCGATGGATGATTGAAAATAGGACAGACTCGGTCGTCATTACCCCTCCTGTAACGGTCCTCAGCAATTGCAGGAAGATACTACCGGAGACGGGTATTTTACTGGAGGGTTGTGGTTGCGGCACTATGAAAATGTTTCTGAGGCAGCTGGCCTTGTCTAGAGCAATTTCGTGATTTCACCATTTCAAACCCTCGGCATGGCGCCCTCTTATTTTTTGATATCATGCACTTTCATCCGTGTTCCCTCTCCGGAAAACTGCTTGAACGCGGTTGGGACGCACTGCGGTTTTGCTTTCCACCCGCATATGCTGTGTACCTGTGCTGAAGAAGCGAGGACAGAACAATGACGCAATTACAACACAGTCCCTCCGGAAGTTGGAAACAGAGTACGCGGTTTAATTAACGCGGTTTTATCTACAGTCTAGTCCCTAAACTCTGAAATCGTGCGTTTGTGGGGTGGCAGTAATTCGTCCACCTGGTAGCCGCCTCAATAAGACGGCTGCGGATAGAAAACTGCCCTTACTGGCTTAGAAGACACACTTTATAAACACATACAGACATTGTTTCCTGCTGACGCAGACAAATGGGACAGTGTGAAAGGAAGTCGGTTGATGCCACTTCCATAAATCACAGCCAGATGGGCGTGTGTCCGGGGCTTATCTGCGGGGCGTTTGCTCGGTAGTAAAATGAACAGCCCTTTACTTCCTGCAGACTGAAAAGGGATTTCATGCTTTTTCAGAAATCTAGGCATACGTATTCACCGTTTACGTTGCCTCCAGCGGACAGTGGAACAGCCCTCCCCCTCCCCGCGAAGGTTAGCTGCAAAATAAGTTGGCTTCCGCGTCTGACGGATAAACAGTCGTGGACCGTCAGCGACGGTGCTACCGGGGTGGAGAAGGCTGAGGTCTGGCACGTAGACTGCCTCATGACGTAGCGAAAAACTTGATAATGACACAACGAGAAGATGAATGTGAACCTTCGCTAGATAAGTTCGCTTGTCATCACTGCAAGAACTGAAAGATAACATCGGACAAGCAATTCGTGCGGCTTGTGTGAGACCTATTGTGCTCAAAGTCCCGAGCAACCTCATAAAAATGTTTCACTGAAGTGTTAAAATCCGTGACGCGGCGTCTGGAGGACCAGACGCGTTCCGGAACCATGGTCCACTGGTACGGGTGAATCACATATGGGCCGAACTAGTAAAGCAAGGACGAACCCTCGGATCTGAATGTTGTAGTGTGCGAGCGTTTCTGGACGTTAATGTCAAAGGTCTGACGGTGTGTAGACTTTATTGGCGGAAACCGGATGTCCGCTACCTGTCCGAAATACGAATGTCTGACTCAGGTTATGGGAAAATCAAGATTCTGGAGTCAATTCACATCTCACACTATACCGCAGCGGCCCAGGCGAAACGGTGTGGAGATCGCCCTCGCGTAATAAGCGAGCCATACACTACTTGCATGGGAATCAGATAATGGCCGGTTGGCTTACGCACAATAGAGGGGTCACTCTACAAAAATCTGTCATCTCCGCGTACGTATCAACATCAAGTGTCGACCAGCGCGATAATGCAACCTTCCACTAGCGACTGACAGAGGTAACTGACAGACTCCTTCGTTGTGATTCGCTTATTACTTCTCGGGAGTAGAATGACAGGACTACGTCAGGAGACGCTTTAAACAGTCCTCTCATTGTTCTTCTTGTATTTTGGCTGAAAAGTCGACCTCCATGGAAAAGGCCTCAAACGATGGTGATACTCGGAAACCCAAATAACTTAGTCGTCAAGTTAGTGGAAGGCCCTCAGCACTGGGGGGATTCTGTTCGCCATGTGAGTAGCGGCCTTTCATTTTGATCCAACTGTGACAATCTTGGCGACCTTGATGGGATTCGAACCCACAATGGCAGGGGGAAGGCTCGTGCACGGCCAACGCTCTAGCCACCTGGGCGCCTTTATTGCTGATACCCAAAAACTCAAACAAATTTTCGTCGAGTTGATATTAGGCCCTCTGCACTGAGGGATTCTGTTCGCCATGTTGATAGCGGTTTTGTTGCTGACAGCCCGGCCAAAGTCGCACGCGGACGTGAGCAGCTCCAGCACCTTCTCAACTTCAGTGAGCAATAGAGCTGGCCTTCACTCCCTTCTGCAGCAGACCGTCGTCTCTCTCCAGTGCCATGTGGCTCACATTTTCAGGAAGAAACCACAGATGCAATACTGAGGCAGCGCGGCGAAGTGACTTCCGGAGAGGACGCCATTCCTACTGAAATCTACCAGTCCTGTGCCGACATTCTGGCGTCACGGCTCCAGTACATGGATGAACAAGCGTGGATAGGTGAGGCCATTCCAAATGACCAGGGCTTGGGGGATCCTTGCTACTGTCTTCGTGAAGGGAGATAAAATGAGGTGCGAAAAATATTGCGGCATGAACTTTTTTGACATTTCTGCAAAAATCATCGTTTTCGTCATTCGTGGGCAAATTCAGAGCCCGAGTAACTTTGGGACTAGGCCCAGTGAAACCAGATTTTGAGGCGGACGTGTGTGCGCCGACCAGATATCCACAGTGCGACGCATTCTATCACACCATCATAGCTATCAGGAACCGACGGCCGCCTGAATTGTTGAATTCATCGCAGCTTTCGATTGTGAGTCCCTGTGGCGAATAGTGGGACTAGATGGTATGCCGAAGAACATAATCGTCATGACCAGGGCCTACTATCAGCCTACCACTTCATGAGTTCTAAACCACAGTGGTCTTTCTAAACCGTTCGATATTCAGTCCGAAGTTCAACAAGGTTGTGTCCTATCGCGCATTCTGTTCAACTGCACCATCGATAGGATTTCCAAAGAGTCCTCAAACACGGTTGTGACGACGTTTGATTTTCGCTTAGGCGCCAGCCAAATATTCTTGATGACATTGACGCTATCCCCTGATAACCCCACACTTCGGCGGCATACAAACCGTGGTGTCGCCGATGAGTGATGTCGCTCAATCGGTCGGCATATCTACAAACACCGTTTTCGAGCTGCTTCCTCCCACCAGGCGAAGCATTCTCGGAATTAAATGGTCTTCAGCGTGAGGAAGTAGACAGCTTTAAGTACCTTGGGGTGCGGGTGCTGCCGAATCGACGGAGAAAGGGCGACCTTCATTCCCCAATCGATACTGCTCGCATGATTTTCGCAATTCACAGAAAATGTCGGTGGATCTGTCCTGACATTACCATCACTATAAGCGTGAAATCGTTTAACCATACTTACCTGTGTGGGCCTCCGGAGCACCCAACCGGATAAAGGGACAAAGAATACACACTTCGTCGTTGGAACAAGCATTTTATTCCTCTGGCGTTTCAAATTTAAACTTGAGTTCACTGGTAGACGAACGTCAGAATGTAGGGTACACGTCGCAATTACCACCTGGATGTTGTCCGTGGGTATATATTGGCAGTTAAAAAGGTTGAATACTGGGGCTCCGGAGCCATAAGCAACTCCTGCGTTTCGTCGCACAATCAGGAAGACCAGTGCAACTCAAACGCGACTTCGGATACCTCCAGTAGTAGTCGAAAGAGTCTGAGTTCGCGGTTAAACTAGTGGAGCTTTAAACTAGATAACCAGCATCCTGGGGTTCTCATGCTAGTTTTTCCCTGCCTGAGATCGGGGTATGGACAGACGATGGCAAAAATACGCCGAAAGTGGTCATTAGTGTCGCCTATATATTTGCTGACATTCCTGCGTACTTGACACCCTCGACAATTCTCAATTTCGCTTTTGTATGCCGAGAGGAGAAATTAATTCATGAGAAAATTGACCAGGAACAATATAAAGGCAGCAATAGCTTTTTAAATGGAGTTTTGCCCATATAATCAGCACTTAAGCCTTGTCGAGTATTTTTAGGTTACAGTCTACGTTCGGGAAATTTATGAGGAAAAGCTATCACCTAAAGGTATTTTTGTTCTTAGTAGTGTAATCAGAGGAAATTAGCGTATTTGCTCTTTCTGGAAGGGACTTTTCAAAGACGGCCTGACAAAGACGGGCTAGAAAGATAATGATTTCGTTGGAGGAAGCGTTCGCCATTTATTGTCAATAAGAGTCCTTGGAGTGAGTGAGTGACAGTGCGTGTAAGAGAGAGTGAGTGAGCGAGAAGGAATGAGAGAAAGTTCACACAATTTGGCTGCCTTTTAACGGAGCAAGCAAGCATCTTTCCTGCACAAGTAATTTTTGAGAAATATCAAATCGCATATCAAAGCTTCCGACAAGAGGTTTCATCATTAATAATCTTACCGTATCGGAAAAAGTACAAGATAGAAAAGGCTGTTAGCTTTAACTTATAAGGAAGACGATTTTAGTCTTCATTTACGGGGTACTATCGTCATGTTGCTCCAAAACTGATGGAATGCTCTTTCAGTAGTGAAGAAATCTGATCACCGGACAGTATCTCAAAAGGAGAGGCGTTCAAAGACGTTGGCGAGCCACATTTCTGACGTTTTAAGTAGTAGTATCGGATTGCTATCCTCTGAGACCGGTGAACCACCTGCTCTTCGTCCGTCACGTGTTTAATCGGGTCCAAGGTTTGGCCAGCCACTGCTGCTGTCGATCTTATTTCGTCGCCGTTTCTGCAGTAGGCAAGCATCAGCATAATCCCTAACCCTAACCCCTAATCCCTAACAGGTGCGGCTACGAAATAGGATTGTGCCACCGCCGCTTTCAAATGAGTTTGTGAACACCGCGGCATCCCTCCCTGTACCGAGCGCCGTGGCCTTGTAACTCAGCATTGGACGGTGATTCGCGCCCGAGGGTCGATGACGGTGCATACGGTGTTGAGGCGGGTGCTGGCAACAAGGGGAGTACAGATACGTGATAGATCGTGCAGGATCGTTCCCTGATCTTAGTGCCTCACTTTGGTGGGTCAGACGGAGCAATTTCGACTGCTTCTTGTCGGGTAGTAGCGCAGAACTACATGTGCCGCGCTATGACCTCCGGCCAAGCGGGCAGATGGCATTCGTGGCTTTTGTCCTTGCCTTCCTATGTGATCATCCAGCTTAGGTCTGTCGAAGTTGAAATCAAGGCCCATCTGCGCAGCTCCACCGCGGACGATGCGCGCGAATAGCTCAATTTCCGAATCGCACAGTGCATAAGGTGAATCAGCGTCCAAACACGGGAAACTGACACTGCTTTTGGAAACGTCGTAGAATTGCTGCACGCCCCGCTGAAGGTCTTCTCTTCTGAAATGTCTCTAGATCTAAATCTGCCGGCTCGTACTTTGCATATGCACGACAAGTCATGAGGTATAGGCGGGGTGACTAGACCAAGTCGAGGTAACACTCACCAGAATTCACCCTCACCCTTCACCAGGCCGACCTTGACGCGGTCCTCGGGAGGCAGGCTGAGCCACTCAGAAGAGCCTTCTGACCAACTGCCCACCCAACCAACGCGCGCCGAGGGCCAGAGATTGCGCAGTCGCACGAGACGCACCAATCGGGCACCTGAAACGTCGGTCAGGCGGAGCTTTCGACAGTCCGTCAGTCCAAAGGCCTGACCGGGCACAAAACCGGTGGGCAGAACGAAGCCGTGGCTAGGGTTTCCTTTGGTCTGTGAGGGGGGGGGGAGCGGAGAAAAGTTAAATTTGAATGGCAGCGAAGACATGAATGGAAACACTTTTCTGCATTTCGTTATTGTATGCAGTACCGTACGGCGGCTGTGTCAAAATGCCATTTTGTCAATAAGAGAAATACACTGCAATGAAGGCTATCATGGAAGCATGTGAAACAAAACGGCTGTATCTGACCTGGTATCCACGGATAATATTTGCGTCCGAGATCGAAGAAGCCACAATATTATCTCTTAGGACGCACGGGGCAAATAACGGATATATATTTAAGTGATTCTAACGAACGAACGTACGAGGATGTTTCAGAGACTCAGCACGGTATTGGGATAATTTTTGTACTACTGTTATTATGCATAAAAAGAAGTTCAATTTCTGTTACTGGACAGGCGGGCCGAAATGTGGACGGCGTAGCCCTGGAAAATTTATAAGGTCCGATGTCAGCCTGTGCTGTCAGGCCACAATCTAAACAAAGGAGGCCGTAAAGATTGCAACGAACGCCTCTTTATAACATATGTAGGCGGATTTCGTTAGACTGACAGTGTTGGCCACAAGTTACATACGAAGAATGACGGCCTATCTTTCTTGAACGTACGCATCCAAAGGTGGTAGAATGGAGCATTTTAAAGACCTTTGCATCGTGGACATAACTGAATAAAGTGATTTCTCTACACGTGAACTTTGTCCGCATCCACAAAACAGGAATTACGTAGCGCTTGCTTGTATTAAAGCTGGTGTCATGGAAAGACTCTGGATGATGAAGTCAGCTGTTTCAAATTTCGCAGAAAATGCATATGTTGGAGGATTCGTTAAAGACATGCTCCTTGGAAAACCCCAATCCAAGGATATTTTAGACATAGAAACGCCAATAAAACTGTGTTTAAAGGGCTCATTAGACTGGTTGTCGAAAATGAACCTGCGGAAAGTGACGATACCTTTCACACCGATAACAGCTATTTAAATGTGCTCAAATGTCTAAGTTTTCGACACTGCAGCAGGTGTAGAACCAGGAATAAATTTCGCAGCATTTCACGAACGCAATCGTTAGGCACCAATACGGGGCAAATAAAAACCTGCGAGTGTGCAGTGATCACTGGGGCGTCTTGGACACAATCTTTGTCGCGTTTTCTTTAGTCGGCTGGGTTAGATCGCAGTTGGTAGCCAGGAATGGGGAAATGGACGGCGACCTTAACCCTAAACCTAATCATAACCTTAACCTTAAACGTCAACCGTTAACCCTAACGGCAACCTTAACCCTAATCTTAACCGAAATCGTAAAAGTAACCGTAGCCCTTAGACATAGCCCTAGCTGTAAAAGCTAACTTTAATACTGAAACCTAATCGTAAACTCAAACCCTAACCGTAGTCCGAAAACCTAAGCCTAAAGGGCATAACCCTAACCCGAAAATCGGAAACCATTAACCGGTACCCTAATCATAACCTCAAAAGTAAAACGGAAGCCAAATTGGTCAGATGTGATTATGTAACTCCACAAAAAGCTCCTGTAAACAACCCCCCACCACCTGTAATACGGAGCCTGGCTGCCAATTGCGATCTAGCCGTCGGCTGATCCCTCACCTGGAACGTGGACTTTCATCAACGGTACAGTGTGGATTCGGAAAGCATCCCTGCATGAACTTCGCTGCGCGCCAGTTTCAGGATAAATTGAAACACACGAGGGCCAGCCTCTACACTATGCTGTAAAATAAAGTTTGCTCTAGAAAGCCATGATAAAATTGGGATTTCTGGATATATTTAAGCAGCTGGTTGGGAATGCTGGCGGGTTTCGTAGACGAGTCAGTATTGGACGCATTTGTGATAGACAACGGGGATAAAGTAGGGCTGTGTCCTTGTCCCTACTCCCACTTCAGCCTCATCCTCTGTTTAATGTAGGTACGAAGATCGACTAGACATCGATATTGGCTGTCGAACTGACAGTTAATCACCAAAAATCCGTCATAGGCAGGTCAGCACAAAATTCCAGAGACGAGCACACAGGACCTTCGCCCTGTCGACAATTGTGCATTAAATATACAGGTGAAGCGGGCAAGCAACAAAGTCTGGGGCTATTTAACAGCAGGTGCGCCCAATTCGGGATAAAGATAAACCTGTAGAGAACGGTTGCTCTGCACCAACCGGCATCAACTGTTGACTGCACACATGATAATTATTATAAACAATCGCCTCGCAGCTGCTGTCAATTAACCTACTTGGTAGCAACCCTAAGAGCACTTCAAAATCGATGACGTAACTGCAATCCGTATCATCAAAACCATCAAGGACTTCATTTGAGTAAAAGTACACATTCCGGACTCATGAAGGAATCCTGCTCAATTTGCAGCTGATAACTTACTGGGTTGTCGTCCTGCCAATCCTCCTTTAAGGGGGTGAAAATTTGGACAGTTTATAAAGCCAGGCGAGAAAGCTGAGGCACTTCCACCTCAGGCAAGGTAACAAGATGCGGTACCGGACGCGTTAGTCCCAAAAACAGCTCGTGAGTTCAAAATACATGCCGTGCTGATGCAGATTTACCTTTGGTGGAACAAATACCTCCTGAGCATGGCTGCTGGGCACAGGCAAAGTGACTCCTCTTAAATAACATCGCTACGGACGCTAGCAGGCAGGGCTGAAATGAGGGGTTGGACTAATACGCTCCGACGATCTGACTTAAATGCCTGGAGGTTAGACAAGGGTCCAGGGAAACTTTAGCCCAACGGCAGACTTGGCTATCTGTCGTAAAGACAGGATCAGCCGCGTCCGAAGCAAATCGAATACAGGGGGGTCAAGGCGAGCTAGCATACCCTTGTTATCAACCCACATCTAAAGACCAGACTGACTGTCTTTAACATACTCGCATCCAATGCAATGTCAATATAGCCAACCAAATTAGAAAGCCCTACAACCCCTCAAGATGCTGTACCAACACATCGTGCTGGTCCATAACCTTCACAAACACCGTAGCGGAGACGGTATTAATAGGTAAAATACCCTTCAATCTTTCTGCTACTGTTAAAACTAGTCAAGCAGGAAACGAAAATATTATCAGCATGCAGCGAACCACGACGTCTTTACTGCCTGTGAGGCGTTCACGGCCGCGACGTGAGGTATAACTGATGGAGCGTAGGATGCAGCAACTGCGAAATCTAATTCACGTCGGGGAACAACCCTATTTGTCTAATCAAAACCTGCAAGTCCATCGCTACAAGAGCAAAGGGCCAGTGTCATGACTGTCAGACAAGACCCGTCATGTCCGCCTAACCTGCCCACACTGTCTCACAGAGCACACACCAAACAATTGTACAGTGAATTCTGCCAGCGTCCGTAATAACGGGCAACGTGTCGTATAGGTGGATTCTTGCGCGTGGCACTTGTTGGACGAGGGTTTTTCATCATGTCAGCTACTGTGTACAGTCTCATTTCCAGTCAGCTTCATTCGGACAGACTACTGATCAATCTAGCTCGCGTCCATCGCTTTGTTTCCTTGCCATAAATAGTCGAACATACTTTCAGCCTATCAGGAGGCGACGGAAGTCGTTGATCGAGAAGTTGCCAAATGGGTAAATAGCCTGGTCCTACACGGGAATGAGGGTCAGGCTGCGATGAGTCATTCTTAGGGTGGCCTTACCAACACTCCTCCATTGAGAAATCTTAGACCTTACTTAAGCGTGCAATGCAGGCAGTTAGGAACCAGGTCGCGTTATGGGATACGTGCTGTTTAGCGTTGTTCAGTTTCCGTGTCTACGCCCACCGACCGTGCTGAATTTGTCCTGCTATTGGAAGGTGTGAGGTGGATACAATTAAGACCTGCTCTACTAAATAAAAATTCGCGCGAAAGTTACGGCTGCGTCCTCTCTGAGAGAGCAGCTATCCTTGTTACGTGTGACAAACAAAATCGCGTACGTACATACAGTATCTGGCCTGTCTCCTGAGATGTTAATCAAACTTATGGCATGAGCTTCATAAAAAGGCCTACGTAGATTGAGTTGCAATAAAGATTATCTTGCTGCATCGTCCAAGGTATTTCAGTTCCTTTGGGATGTTGGCTTTTGAATGAACTCCTGCCGCATGCAAACCCAGACTCGCTAAATACGGCCAGCTAAATATTATGGAATCTGACCATCGACTTTTGGAGGCCATGTAAATTCAAGTATATTTTATAGAAAACATGCTTACAATTATTCCTTATTGTAACGGTTCGACTATCGATTTCGACTACGTCCGCCGCGCGCTCCACAGCAGGATAAGAGGTGACACGATAACAAAATGATTTCTCTTCGATATTTAGACTTTAAGAAATCATATCTTTCTGTTTAAAAAGTTTGAAATTATAGTTTTTCCAGGATCGTTAAAAGTTCATTCATACAGCTTAGGATCTGTCCGTTTACTAACGTTGCTTATGAATTATAAAACATAGTCCACAGTTATTGCAGTCGTAGGAAATATTTGTGTTACCGTATATAAAAAAACCCATACTATTTAAGCGACCACTTTTACTAAGTGTGACTCTTGCTTGTGGCCGAAAAGAAGCTCATTTAGAAGCCGGCATCCTGTTGCGACTGCAATATCGTAGTACTTTGCTGCAGGATAAACAATATTAGAATCCGACGTGAGTAACCCTTTCCAATGAAAATACAGTTCAGAATTTCGATTAACACTTAATGAGATAGGCTGAATACTCTATGTACGTATCTATAGATAGGGATGCACAAAGCAAGGATCAAAGCACCTGAAAACACAGCCGATTTAGTGCATACAGTAGGGTGTGTTTATAAAAGTAAGCAAGTGTTTATATTTCGGTGACAATCACCGGTATAGCACAATGGGGTGAGGATAGGTTGTGTAACCCAACTAGGTTTAGTGTGCATACCTTACTACTATGTTTGTTTTAGTAAGCCCCGTTTAGTTTGTCAACTCATAAATTCACTGGCATAACCACGTACACCGAGTCGTTCCAGTATGATATGTTCTACTGATACATTGTCCGGCATAAGACAGCCTTCGGATTTCGCTCCCCCATCTCCGTAATCCGCTTCTTCCAAAAGGGTGGCTATGCATCCTTGGGTCATGTCGGTTCTCACCATAAAAAGCGTATTGTAAGGGTCGTTGGCTGCGTTTCGTTTACTTTGCCTCAGTTAGAGCACAGCCGCCCAGCTTTCACGACAACTCCAGACGATGTCTGTCGTCGGGCGTGTATGCTATGACTTATTTACCTCTTCGAAAAGACTTGACTGACCCTCTTGTGCCATGTCGGTACTCACCTTACAACGCCTGCTGTAAGAGATGTTGACTACGTTTTGGTTTACTTTGACTCGGTTAGGACACAAACACTCAACTTCCACGATATCTTCAAACAGTTTCTGTTGTCGAACTTCTTTAAGTATACTTGTGCGTGGTCCCTCTCGTAACCTGTAATAAGGCAGTTAAATTCCGTCGAGTTTAAGTGCAAATATTTACTTACAAATGGTCGTCAAATTGACTTCAAGATGGAGGCATTCAGGTTTATTATTCGGGAAGCTGTTGTACCGGATATGCTTTGGCAATATATGACGGGAATATTTCCCACCCTAGCTTCAAACCTACGCTGTCTAAGCCAAACCACAGACGATATTGAGCCAAGTCTACGTGGGTGCATATTATCTGACTCGAGACTGGAGCCCTTAGAGCATTCCTCCTTCAACATTGTCCGCACCGGTACATATACATATCTGTCAGTGTGCAGTCCAAAGTATTGGTACTTTGCGACGCTAGATAGCGGTGCCTTTGTCTGGCAGTATTCTACTACCTTCTCCGAGTTTATAGCTTCGGTCATTTCCTTCGCTTTGATCAAAAAATCAGGTTTCAGTTGTCCGACTTTTCTGCGACCTGGAGTTGATGTTCTGTGTTTTGGAAGAAAACAAACAACCATTATTACCTATTCTGTTCATGAATGCATTTCATTATTGCACATAACCTTTACACATAAATATTTGTTTTCCTTAAATTTTTATTTTACAGCAGTAGGTTGACTTGTTATAATGGCACAAGCAGGCGCCCACACCTACGTTATTTGGTTTTTTCCTTGTTTATTAGGGCGTATTTCCATAGCTTCTCTAATATTCATGTGCGTCACGCAACTTTGCAGTAACGTTCCAGAGTTACTATATTTGGCACTTGCTGTTCTCCTCTCCTATTGGTTGTTCGTTTCATTGGGTCCTGGGCTGTCGCCAATTTGCAGGCGGCGGATTATTCAATTACCTTTTATTTATTGAGACGTGCCTTTTGTTTGTTTTTTTCAATAAATGCACTCACTCCCTCTGCTATATATAGGTACAGAAGAAGAAATTCAACGGAAATATATCTATTTTCTAAGTGTTATTGTATGAATTTTTCTTACCTTACGCGGTGATGCCCCGCCGTAAGACCTCTATTACCACCATTCCCGTATTACACGAGCTCGAGGTTACTGGCTGCAAAGTGGGGCTGTAAAAGCTACCGTCGTCCACACCGGTTGTTTGACATTTTCTGTCATATACTCATTGTCGGTCTTCAATGGCAAGTCAATAAGAAAGAGGCTAGAACTTCACAAACATTTTCACGATAAATATGGCCTAACCTCACCCTTAAAGGAAATTGGTACTTGAAAAGAGCTATCGACAAAGATGATAGACAATTCAATGCCCATTTCGGTCTTTTTAGTCTTAATCAGCTAGTAGTTTCGAAATTCTAGGCCAGACAATTCTAATTTGAATTCGAAAACACTCATTTCATTTTACGACCAGAATGGATCAGCTAGCATCGGTTCCTCCTGGGCAGGTACGTATTCCTCGCTTCCAGTCGCACAACGATTTCGCCATAACCTCCATGTGCAATGAGTTTACCTCTGCACGCAACCATCGCAGTGCTTGTATCAGCTCGTATGAAGTTATTTTTGCTGATATATTTTATGTTCATTTGTCCGTTATTTGCTTCGTTATAGATACTTGGAATGCTTTGAGGATTTAAAATAACAGAGGCAGAATTTTAAAAAGAATTCAATCAAATTCTGCAAACACTGCAGGATATTTTTTGTCTTGCTATTCGTCCATCTTTTTTCGACAGCATACTCGAAGATAGGCCACTGAAGAAAGGTATCTCGAGATATATTTACCTGGTTTATGAGAGAACGTGGAAAACGTATGTTTTAGATAAGTCTTCGTCAGGACCGAAGAAATTTATCATCTGAGCATGCATTGTAAAAAGGGAGGTCAGAACAGTTGGACGATTCTCCTGCGAGTGAATGAACGGAGCCTGGATTCACCTGTTACGACGCCAACCAGCCAGTAAGACCTTTTTGAGTGGAACGAGGGCCATAAAAACCCTAACGTCTGGACAAGATTTCCTTACACACAAAAACCCACCAGCTTAGTTTAATGATTGCTGCGCACGCTGTATTGAGCAAGAGCCATATCTGCTGGACAGGGTCACTTGCGTCCATTTTGTGACCTGCATCCACTAAGTGAATCACTATAGAGTTTTGGTCGTCCCTACTTCAAGTGTTATCAAGGCGCACTAGCATACTCTCTCTCTCTCTCGCATACCTCACAACAGGGGTCAATTCGCTCGAGCAATTGAATCTGCATCAGGTGAGAAAATAATGGCGAAAATACAAGTAGGAGCTGTCTTCGTTTCACGGACGCAGAATTGGCATTGCAAATAATGATACCTGGACTTATGCCACAAATAAGACGTGTGAGAATGCCTTAGCCAATCATTATTTCACTTGTTCGTCGGTCTCGTCTACCTCGGAGGGCAGCTTAAGGCGAGACTCATCTTGTCAACGGACATCTCACGAAAGAAAACTCGACCGCAGAGACAAGGATTTTACCGATATAAGAGAAAAACGAGTTCCAGAAAGCAATTGCGAAAAATAAGACTCAATCGTCGGCGTCGTTCGTCCTTCCTAGATAGTTCTGATTACAAATCGCTCCCGGAAATCGTTTTTCTCTCAGTTCAATACGAATTATGCCCAATTCTTTTTAAGTGCCTTTTGATGTGTAAATTCATCTTGTTCTGCCAACCAAACAAAAAAGCAGTTTTCGCGTCTGGATAGGGGGCGCAGAACCCGTCAATTTGATGTACCGTCCCGACCACGTTTTCTTCCTGCAAATGTCTTCCGCCGTACTTATTTTGCTCTCGTTTTCCTCTCCAGGTTGGGATGTCCTCTGGGAACTTTCCGATGAAAGGTTTTTCCTTCTGTAAGTAAGTAGTTAAGTAAGTCTAATGCACTTATCGAAACGATTCGCACATATGAATCGCTCTGCTACAAAAATTCCTCTCTGGCGTTCCGCGAGCAGCAATTTCCGTTTCAAATGTCGCTCAAATCTATAAATGAGTTGTTCTCCAACGTTCCTTAGGTGATTATCTACGAAGGCAGGTCTCAGCTAAACTGCTGTAAACAATTGGTCAAACAGGTAAGATAAGTCTTTTCTGAGCCACTACAAAGGCTCACATGCACATCTGGTTGCTAAAAAGAGTCAGGTCACGGTCAGACTAATTAATGCTGAGTTCTTTTTATTTCTTCATTCTAAAGATGCGTTATTTTGTAAGCCTGACTGTTGTCCAGAAGCCCGAACGGAAATTAGGGCTACTGTGCAACGGGAAAAGTTAGTAAGTGACGAACTGGAGAGAAAGTCAAACTACCTTTATTCGTGCCGTTATCAGACTTCGACGGTCAAACGCCTTGATGAGGATGTCATCGATTTCTGGTGGGGGTCGCATACCCTGGTCTTCTCCCGGCGCCAGACAGTAGGATTCGGTCAAACCTCCTACAATATCGTCCATCGCATCACCGATTAATCCTACGTTCAGAGCCTCATAGGATCCGTTGAGCCTGTTTAAATATTAATCGAAAATCATGTTTTACGACAAAATTTACGATAGGCACTTTAAGAAGCCTTGGCTTATAGTACCTTGGATTTTGGCAATACAATAAACCACAGATAACACGTTTAGAACTGTCTCGATAGTAAGTCTATTTACAACGAACTTTACCTTCGCAAAACTTCTAACGTGTAATCAGATTGACCCAGTTATTACGGTAAAACAGTCATACTGAAAATATGAGTATGAGATCTTGCATAACGGGCTGAATCAGTTAGGATAAATGCCAGAAATGTATATAACTGGATGAACCTTGTGTGAATAACGTCAATGGGTACATTCTGACTAAATTATGAGATTCAATCTAGTAAAAAATAACAGTTATATTCTGAGCAGTCTAGATGCAGGTCTGGTAGCTTTTGCCTATTCCTTACTATCCACGCTTGATCAAACCGTGCGACTAATATAAACCCGCATCCCCTCGCATGATGAACAAGCAAAGAAAAACGGTGACGGGTTTCCTTAAATTAAAAAAACGAAATGTTAATATCGGAGTAGTTTAGAAGACGCGTATGACAAAAGCCGCGGCCACCTGTGAATCAAAAGGCGGCACGCGTCGAATAAAGTAGGACAAAACATCAAATGACCGCGTCAACACGCAGAAAACGCACACATTTGCTTCCGGTGGGGGATGTAAGAATTAGAAGACATTCAAAGAGCTCCAATTCCCCAGGGTATTTGCATTTACAAGATCTTAGCTATGCCTCGGCGACGGTGCAAGCCCTTTCGGAGATATTTTTAACCGCGAGTGGCGCGAAAAAGCCCAGAAGACAGGCTTGGGGACTGGAAATTTCGGCTTTTATCCACTCGCGCTATCTGTACAGTCGGCTCTTTTTCCCTAAGAAAACTTTGTATTCCGGGTAAACAAAACTGCAGCACAGGGTGTGCGTCTGTGTTTGTGCGAGATCTCATCCATCATGGGGCAACATCGACTATGCACTGTCATTTGTCCTAAACTGCCCAAACTATCCACTTTCTTCCCTTAAGGAGCAATTGGCGCAATATGTTCCAGTTCGCAACCACAATTCAAAAAAGGACTAACATTGGTAAGTATGCTACCAGTAAGAAAATAGTGCCAAAACACTGGGGAGCAAGCGATATTTCATTTAAACTGACGCATAACTCGTAGTTTATTAAGAACTTTATGTGCTGACAATTGTTACAACAGAAGTGAAGAGACGAGCCTCAGGAAGCAGTCGTGAAGGAGACACGATCGCTGGGACAAGAGCTTTATTCGCCTGACATCTCTGATTCTCGCTCGAACCCGTCACCAGAGACAATAGCAGATACGGGTGGTTCATGCACAAGAGGCTGCAGTGTTTATAGGATACAGTCGCCATGCTACCACATGCCTATGGAAATCCACGGCTCTCCCTTAACCCCCCCCCCTTCATCAGGGATCAGTTCATTTGTTGTGATGACTGTTTGATGGCTGACATTCGCGTAGTTAATTGTTGCGATTTCATCACGGGCGTTGGATGTTGGTGTGATGATTGCTCGACCATCTGACGCACTGACCCTGGTGTTGGCAGCAATGTTCACCCGTGCGCTCCCTGATGAAGGTGGGGAGCCGTGAATTCGCATAGGTATGCGGTAGAATGGCGACTGCATCCTATAAATACTGCAGCCCCTTGTGCATGAACTACCCGTATCTGTTTTTGCCTCTGAGGATGGGTTAGAGCAGGAATCCGAAACGTCAGGCGAATAAAGCTCTTGTCCCAGCGATCGTGTATCCTTCTTCACAACTGTAATAACATGCAAACATCACGTGAGGATTAAGACGAGCCTCGGTAGACACATGAAAATAACGATCGGGTGAAATTAGCTCCCTGGAAACATACAGGAATGTAAGTTATGATTAAATAGATGGAAGAAGCACTGGTCGGATATGACTATACAGCCCCCAGCACTTTGGCGCAAGATCACCCCTCATAGGAGGACACTAATAAAATGGGGGTTTCATGGTCGATACCTTTTAAATGAACGATCGGTAGGGTAAAATCATGCAACAAGTCATAAAGGCATATTTACGCCATTTGGTCGTTCTAATGCACTAAGTAGCTATGGATTCAACCCTGCGCAGCATAAGCATTGAATAGGAAACAGCGCGATCTCCTAAAGCAAGTGCTGCGCACCCATTTTTGGGAAATAATCGGATAACTGATCCTGAAACGGGATGGCCAATGAGCTTTCGATAAGACTGTCAAGGGTCCACTCGTACAACCGCTTATACCCCATTCCCGCATTAGGGGTGGTATTGCGCTAAAGTTCTGGGAGGGACATGTATATGCTCATATCCCACTGAATCACTAGGTTTTTTAATATCAACATAGTCGACGTTTCTAAATAAAAAATCCAAAGTCCCCTTCCTTTAAAGAGGATATAAGTAGCTCGCGGTGAAGTAGCCTCCAGGCTATTTCGCTTCTGCTGCCTAGCGATGTTATAAAAATTAAAAGACTGGTGTAGGCATTCTTGTCACTACTGTTGCTAAAGTGTCTGTACATTATAATTTTAAAAACTGTCGACAGTGGTTGATAAGTTAAGCAATTCTCACCTACTCAAATTCGTATATTAGGTTGCAGGAACTTACAATCTTATTATTTGTCTCTGATATGATCAAGTATTTTAGAAAAAAAGCAAAGTAAATTTATAGTTCCTTCAATAAAGCTGGAAAAGGCATACGCTTTTAGTATACGCTCAGACAGATCTGTACATCCGTAGGTATACATATTCTAAGGACGAATAATGGTCACCACGGCAGTGAAAACCTTGTCGCACAAGTATTAGAACTCGGAATGCCAGCTTAAAGAAACGAGTTAGGCATGGTTCAGACTTAAAAGCTTAGAATGAAGAACAATCCGGCTTTAAAGTTTCGACTAGTAAATTTTACATCGCGAAAATGGTCACTCCATTTGATGCATGCATGGAGTCTTTTAGATAGTAGGATATGGACAATATAAACCACAATCTTCCCAAAACTGGTGGAACATCCCCGGTTTGAAAATCAGTCCACAAGCGAGGAGTGTTACTGACAAGGTTATTGCAACCCTTTTCGACTAGAGATTGCCCGTCTCCAAAAAACTACTTATGGGGACTCTCGACAGGAGGTTCAACGTAAAATGGAATGTTCGTGTCCGACCTCCCAATCAAGTCAGATCCGTGAAAGTTACGTCCCGAATTTAGCTGCGGCTGCAGTCAGCCTGCTGTTCTGTGTCGTGGTTCTGCAGCACGGATTTGAAGGCGCCATGCTGTCTTTTGCTGTGCATGGTAGTGCTTCTTCAAGGCAGTAAAGGAGGCTTTTTCCGCCATCATTAGAAAGAGGTAAAACGACCCTGGCCGAATGGAGTACCTTAAAGCTGCCAAGGAGATCGACAGGGGAACAGCTTCTGGCAGCATCCAACCATTAAGTCGGCCAGAGCGCATGCATGAGTGCTTGCTCTATGCTCTCAGCCATCAGACGATATATTTCGTGCAACCGATAATGCAATAAACAGCCGATGGCAAACACAAAATACTTCAAATGAAACTGGCCGGTCCAGTTGTGGTTGACTATGGCCTGCAGCCCTTGGTTCACGAGAGAAGTTTGGCCGACTTCGGCCTGGTAGGTGGCTGCCTATTCGTGACCCCATCACCCATACGAAGCCTGTTTGCTTCGGAAAGCCAGCGGATCGGTGTGCGCCATTCCTGAGTGAAGAATGAGGTGTGTTCAGCAATGTGTGGGACAACGCAAACAATTTTTAGATGGCTGGCACTTCTCTGTCTATATCTGACAGTCAGAAAACATCACTGCAAATATGTATACTTGCATTTAATACATCTGCGATTTCCAAATACATCCTCACGCACAACAATTTTCTACATTGAGAGTCTGGGCAACAAAGGAGCAATTTATTTTCAACTAAGCCAGTCTCATTTTTTTGACTCATGAAATTTAGTAACTATTGCAAAAATCCTGCCGCGTAAATGCAGGCCATTCTGGTAGTGTCCTAGGAAATATTGGCAGTCGAGAGAAGATGCTTTCGAATGAACTCCTGTTTTCGTTCCAATCGATGGTGTCGGAAACACTGACCCCGCTGACCTGTCGCTAGGTGACAAAAATTTGGATGAATGTTGACAGCTTCTGTTTGCAGGGCGGTATTTTCCAGTTTAGTACGTAGCTGAACCTCTTCGCAGCAAAAACATTCCTTTGTTGCTACAACTATTCAGGTACAAGGTGCTGCGAGTGCTATGGGTGTCATCAGAACTGCAAATAGATTCAGTTGGACGAACGTATGTCCTATTAATTCCGGGCGGGATAGTGATGAGTTGGTGTGTCGGACTCGAAGTCCTTTTGCCTCGCATGGATATTATTGTTCATTGTGGTGTTGTAAATCACTAGTATGTCCATACCTAAAGTTCACGTTTATTTGAATATTAGGTACTTTCGTATTAACTGGTCGTCCTCAGCCTAAACTTATTCGAGTGGGGGTTCAACTATTACCGGGAAAGAACGTACAACCAAACGAATTCATTGGAAATAGCATGTCAGATTTCGGTCAAGAGTAGTCTCGACCAACTGCGTGATTCTCCATCACAAAAAAATGTATAACTTGATTAGTGTGTATTTTAAGCTGATCTGTTATGCCTGTACAAACTGAATCGTACTTAACTGGTTTGTTCATTTGATGACAAATAATGCCCCCTGCCAGTTGCATATGTCAAGGAAGGGCTCAGCTCGGTGGCAAGGAGGCTTAGTTACGTCTATATATTTTGAAATAAATTCTGCGTTTTCAGCTATCTTCAAGATTCCCAAACCAGAAACCAGACATTTCGACTGAAGAAAATGAATATTAGCCTGTCTATCTCCATAAAAAAACCTTTCGGCGCTCATATAATATTTAAATGCAGACGGAAGACAGCGCACACAATGTGAGTAGCATAGATAAACTTGTGGATAGAAGGCTACGCAAATGAGAACGCAGGCGTTCCAGATATTTTAATATCTCGAATTTGCAAAAATACTAATGTTCACTTCCCTTAAAGATCATATTTAAAGAAGATACATTTTCCAAGGAAGCACATACTATAAGATTTAAACAGGCTTCGGAAATCCATGCAGATGGATGGAAACATGCCCAACCATAGGTTGTCGGGTTACTATGCAGGAATTAGCCGAACAGTGTGTCTTCGGTCAGTCAGCTTAGCACCCTTGCCGGAGCCATTTTGGGCCAAAAGCTAAGCCAAAAACGGTTATTTCGTGTGAAAAAACGAACACATCTGTGTGAGAACATTCAGGTGTGAGCATAGGCAATAGTTGGGTGAGCATTTATCAAAACCGAGCGGGCCGGGTGGTCGCTGAGATAAGCAATCTTATTGTCCTCATCAGTCTGCGCGGTAGCACGTTAAAAGTGGCGAAGTCAAGGTGTGCCCAGACGATGGCGCTTGTTAGTTAAAAAGACGAACCGGGCATAGGACACTCTTTAATTGCCTATCGAGAAGTACTACCGACAAAGACGAAGTAGACTAAAGTGGGTATTTTGAATCATGATCCGACATTGGCATGATTGACCCCAAATGCAGGCTGGGAAGACCTGAGGTTAAACCCAGACGCAGTTGGAAATGGACCCGGTAGTGTACCACTGCCTGACAACCCGTCAGTTGTCGTCAGGAGTACACAATATCACGGGAAAAACCTTGACCTACTTATCCCAACCGCGCTTTGTCTTTTTCCGTTGAACTCCGCAGGCAATCATGTAGCACAGTCTATGCGCGCAAAAGTGTCCTTATGCTTCCGTTTGTCTGATATCCGAGTTACAAACAGGTATGTTGATTGCATATTTCACAGGCAGTAAGGAGTTTAGGCCGCATCCCATTTCCGCAAACTGAGGATCACATTGGTTTAAGTCAGCAATAACCGCCACAGAAACCGTGGAAACAAAACCTGTGTGGTTGTCAACATTAGTGCAACCTTGGCGTTGAATGGTGCTGTCGAAAGCGCTTCCCGAGGGATCTCGAGGGATGAAGGCAATACGTAGTCAGGGAGACACAGGACATTCATGAAGTGGGCGGCAAGGTCGCCGCTACCTACGACATTGAACAAGTGAGTTAATTTGGAGTAGGTTAGTACTCCTCCCCCCTGTTCATGATTTTGGCATCTCTACTGGTTTCAACTCTTGACCAAGTATTCCGCTTCAGTAAACATTCACTTTACCAAACGCCTGCACTCGTACACGAGTGCTGAATAGAGTTGCAGACGATTAAATCAAGTATGACAGACGCGTCAGCCAAGGATCGAACAGGAATGGAGTAAGATTCCGACGGCACAAACGGCTCCGGAACATGCCCCGCAGTGCGCTATGCGAAACCGAGTCCCATTAGCACAGCGGTTTAAGCTTGCTGTCGATGGGCCAAAATACGGTCACCAAACCAGCTGATCTGCTGGAAGGCTATGATAAAACAGAGTCTAACTCCGATCCTCCAGACTTTGCCTTACTGCCGGAGCACGGTGGGTGTGGAAACAGAGCGGCGGATGATGCACAACTCTCCTTCACCGCAAAGACATCTACGTATGTCAGCACCGCGCTCTCAAGGCAAACAAAGGGGATGTGCAGAACAATGAACCATTGTAGACATTTCAGCAGTGCCGGCTTCTTGGGGCGGTGCAGGTCAGCGAGTGTCACCCTCTCGACATAGGACCGACCAAAAACTTTGTAGAACTACACCTTGATTGGAGAACACAGTGGGCAGTTTTTCACAGTTTTCTCTCACCCCGCACATATACTTAATCCTTACCGATATATCTAACTAGACGGCGGCTGCGAAGAGCGACTTGTTGATGGTATGGTTTTCTGTTGTTCGTGGTTTAAAATACGGATAATTCCACCCGCACGTCTGGCATATCATGAGTAGGGTGGACGCCCGCTGGATGGCGAACAGCGTTCGTCATGTCGCAGGCCCCGTCCGCGGGCAGTTTATGTCGGCCAGGTCAATAATTACAGTAGGTGGGCTAACTCATGAAATGTCAACCGAAATTCCGAAATGCGTTTTTGTTTCGGAAAGATTAATTAAGTAGAGTTGTAAAACGAATCATCATGCGGCATAATTCTATAATAAGTAAGTTACCTCAGAACGCCGGATTTCAAACGAACTTCTTTTCGTCTGCATGCAAATCCATACTCGGTAAAAAATGGCAACTTAAGTAGCGTACATTTTCTGAGTGATTTTCGACGCCCTTAAAAACTCAATTATATTTCATGGAAAATGTATATAAAACTATTCATTCTTCTGCTCATTTGGTAGACAATTACGTCTTCTTCAGTCTTATACACGAACGAAGGGTATAATTCGGTTGTAAAAAAGTTTCTTATTGTGAGAATTTTAATACTGTTTAATGTGAGTGTTGGCATTCAATTCGACCCCCACGGAAACTGAGATCGCATCAATTATGCATAGACTGGCTACTGTGCAGTACATTTAGTAGTGGTAATGTTTTTTAACACTTGGAAAAATTCGTTTATCTGACTGGTTTCGAAAAACTTCTGTTACTGTTTACTGTTTCCATGTTCAAATGTTTTATATAATTCGCTCCCTTGTAAAAAACAGGGCGTTCAATGGTTCAACACTTATGTTTCCCTCAAATAACCTGAACCTGAAAAAATGGTCGTTCATAAAACGTCATGTTGCTGCATTTACCGATGTGCCTTGTAAAGCTAACAATATGGCCCAAACTCACTGCGAAATTTTATGAGCCCCATATGGTCTCCCCTAATATCGTAGAGAAATGTATGGTTTTTCGAACGCCGAAAATATACGAAAACCCTGAGTACAAGTGTAACGGCAGGTCGGGTTGAAAATTATTCAGGAATTGGAAAGTTTTTGAAAACCAAATAATACCCTTCCTTCGAGTATAAAACTGGAAGAGGACATAATCTGCTACGGAACGAGCAAAAGACTGAATATTTTATGCAGGTTTCCACGAAATATAATTGAATTTCTAGGGGCATCGAGAATCAATGAGAAAATGCATACTATTTAGCTAGTCATTTTTTACAGACTATAGTTTTTGTATGCAGCCGGAAGAAAGTTAATTAGAAAGCCGGCATCCTGAGGTAACTGAAATAGTATAGAATTATGTTGCAGACTGACTAGTTTTACAACCCTACTTAATTAATCTTTTCGAAGTGAAAACTCATTTCGGAATTTCGGTCGACATTTCATTAGTTTGTCCCCCTACTGTATGTGTCAAGGAGCAATATGTCACATGTCTTTAACTAGCAAATGGACTGCACGGGTCTGCTTTTGCATGCGAGGGGGCAGTTCATCGTGTGACATCTGATAAACCCTTTGGTTACTTTAATGACACTGCAACCTCGCTTAGAATTCTGCTTGCTATTCGTGGAAGCAGAAAAATGGTCATCGTAGTCATTAAACAGAAGTTAATTGTATTGCAAAATACAGCTGGCGGCCTTGATGTTCGCCCTCAGATGTGGTGGACGCGCTGCCCTGCTATACCGAACAGTAACCCTGTGGAGACGAACTACTTTGATGCAAAGAAAGTAGACGGAGACAGTTGTTGTACAGTTCGTACGGACCGTGAACGCGTCATGGCTCCGGAAAGTCTTCTTCCCGCGGATCCACCAACTCGAGCGCAACATTCGAACAACTTCACAAAAGATTTAAAGTCAAAAATACGGTTCCTGGTTAAGGCTTCATGTTCCACTTATGTCCAAGTCATACATATCCGTTTCCTATACCTGCAGTTATGACACCAACACGTGCGGTCTGCAAATAAACTCGACCATCTATGAAATGTTTCATAGCCTTACGCACCCGCTGTATCTAGGCGAACTATGATATATCGGGAGACGGAGTCCGCCTGATGCCCAAACCGAAGGCTGAGTGGCGCGTCCACGGGTGACAGATAGTGGATTAGTCCTCAGCGAAGGCTAGCCGTGAAACCCGCAGGCTCTCGGGCCCTATCAGGGTAATGGATAGAAACGACCAGATTCGAATATAAAGCGTCCGCAAAACAGTCCAATGAAATCACTGTCTGGCGAGTTGCGACTTAACCGAGTTCGGAGACGACTATTGGGCTCTGGTTTGCGAGTTCTGATTCGAATTGTGGGGTTTCTCAAGAAGATTAAAGTTGTCAGCAATCAGTTGAGCAAGCATTTCACTAATTTTAATCATTAGCAATTACCAATCTGTAACACTTTTACAACCTTACAAGAAAGCATGTTTAAGTAGTATCTTTTTCTAAAGTCTGCATTGGAAATCAAAGAGAGACGCGGCTGATGATTGGTTAGCAATTAGCCAACAGTTTAATGTATAGAGAACGTAATGTCGCCTCCAAAATTTGCTTTGATCGGCGAATATCTCGTAACGATAAAGCTGCTCCCTCTGAATGCTATGAACAGAAACATCACAGCAACTTGTCTGACCTGTTTTTAGACATCAGAAACGCTTCTCTATCTACTGATTGGCTTTTGTACACCGGGAACACAGGTTGCCCGCTTGTCGTCTGACCTCATTCCTAAATTCACATTCTTAAACCTACCGCACACAGTCTGACTGATTACGTGTGGACTTCGTAGTATCATGCGTCTGTTTAGAATGAATAATCCGTAAGTTCCATTCTCGTAGACAAAAGGGGGGAAATTGATGGCTGGATGGTTAATTTGGTGGGTGTTGGGGTAAGCCAATCTAGGATCCCTTTAAGTTGAAATGAAACTCGGCGGTCTCCTTTTGCTTATTCCTATGGTACTCAAAATATCGCTGATTGTGAATGTTTCCTACAGAAGAGACTTGACTGGAAGTTGCTCACTTTGCGTAAGCCTTCTCCAGCAGGGCAGGCCAAAATTCCGTTTGCCTATTGGAATGCACGAAAAGAGGGCGTCCACCAGGTCGGACAGGAAGGCGATCGTCGACGATGACCTCCTCCCAAGCGCCGAATTGCCAGAAGCGGAAACAAAAGCAGCCGGCGTACCAGTCGGATCGGAAGGACTGTCCCAGGGGGATGCAACGCAGTGTTAGCCGCGGTTGGGTTACCATGGCAGCCAGGGCCGCGACAACCCAACAGTCGCCTAAAACGGGAAAAAGCAGCTAGTTTTAGACTTTTGGCACCTTCCAAAATCTAAATTTTCTTTGAGATTAAGGTAATTTTTCATTGGAAGGAGTAGGCTCTAAGCTCACAATAAAACGGCCGGCGTAGAAAAGGGAACCAGTCAATCCAAGTAAGGCACCCCGGTGAAAAAGGTCAAAACTGCATTGAAGCATTAGGAAAGTGTAAAGGGCAGCAAGAGCAAGCAGTTTCCCTGTGGCAGTCAGTTCTGGTCTATAAAAGGCAAATTCCCGCACACACAGAAACTACAAAAAACATATACAACAACAAATGGAAATTTGCATTTACAAGTTCAGGTAACAATATTGTTTAAAGTGAGTTGTAACATCGAACGGCAAAACGTCCGTTCATTTCATACAATGCAGCATCGGGACTTTCGTGTGGGTCGATAGTACTAAAGGAACATATTCTCCCCACTAACAATCCCGGTTTTATATTGAAGGGAAAAACATGGGGTTAGTTTGTATACTCACCATTTTTTAAATGAGTTTTAGTAACCATTAGGCTTTGGAAGAGTTGCAGATTTGTATTTGCAAAGGAACCGCAATTTAAGGACCTTTTGAGACATTCACTCAAATGCATGTGCCGCGCAATATGGGCGAGTTATCTGAGCTTAATTTTTAAGTTTCGCCCTTATTCCAGTCATATTCCGTTAGTTTCGAAATGTCTAAACGTCCCGGTAGGAATAAGAAGACAAATAATCAGTTACTATTAGCAAATATTCAGACTAACTTATATGAAAATTGTGCGAAATCGCAAAAATCAAGGGTTCGAAAAGGATAGGAATTTGCTGACTTCTTAATACTCACATACTTCCACGAAATCTTTTGAAATGACATAGTCCCACGAAAGGATAGCACATAGACCCCTTGGACTCAAAATGACTGCCCTTGCGTAATCAAGAAACTCTATGAAACCTTTTCTGATAGGAAATTTTATGCTGATTACAATTTACCCATTTTACGGATGAGTTTTAGTCTCAAGCCGGTATGTTGCTATTTAGTAGGCAGGTTGATACGTTTTTCACGTATATCAATATGGTAATTAAGTTTAATTAGTATTTTTAGTCGACAGAATATTTTTGGATTTACATCGGCATGTGATGAGTGTTGGCACACACTGTCCTGCAGACAAGTGCTAAAATTTTTAAGAGGGTCCGATTTTTATGATGCGAGCTGGACTAGTTAAAGTTCAGTGAAGGAGAACGTGAAGCTGGATACTGAGAATGGATTGCATCCAGAAAATAACTTTCCTCTCATTTCTCAACTTCGCAAAAACCGTCATGCTTTTCGGCCTTAAAAACGAATGAGTGGGATTTTTCGACCGTGAAGGGAATCGTGTAACGTCGTCTGTCATAGCTTTCTGCTTAGTATCACGTTCATTTTGACATAATTCGAAGGAAAAAACATAGTTGAAAAATCAGTTCGAAAACCTAGAATAAAATGACTTCATCTTTGAATATTTCAACGCATTTTGAACGCAGAGTACTGAGGCACGCGACTGGATACAGAACACAACGGATGTGTTTGTGGACAAATGGAAATCGTAAGGTCATATTGCAAAAAGCTGTGATAGAGTTTTTCACGGTCCCCAATAACCTACGAAGAGTGCTAAAGAGGGATTAAAATGAGTGAGTAGACGTAAACACAAACAGGAAGGCAATGAAGTGAGGTGGAATGCAATGCGATAGAAACAGGGTCATCTGTGCACACAAAAGAAAGCTTCTCTGTTTCTGTATACGTTTGATCTAACCCCGCCCGGTTCAAAGATCTCGATCAAGTCAAATTCTCTTTTTAAATTCGCCTACTTTGTGGTTGTATAAAATATTATCCACCGGCTCTTCAAAAAATGCATTAATATACTTTCTCTTGAGACTAAACTGGTGGTCATATTTTCCGAGAATATAGACCCCCACCCGTATTACATGCGACCTTATCTCACATTCCAGGGAGCGTTGGAGTTAGGGTTGGTGCTACGAATGAAGCTTTCCGAACGAAAGCTTCCTAGGTTCAATCCAAAAGTTGCTATGAACATTCGAGGCTAAATCTACCAGCTCCCGCAGAATAACCGCGTAATATTCATCAAGTGCCAGCAGACAGCCAATAGTATACACATGCTGCATAATTTGTCACATTGAATATCGGCGAAACATGTGTCTGGGCTTTAGCCAGTACCTGAGCTGTCAGTATGGTAAATCATAGAGTGGCTGGTCAGTTGCGTATTCTCTGAAAATGACCAATGAGAATCATGCGACATCACCCTTCTCTTAACAGCAACGTAAATGCGGACGATGCTGAAAGCGTATATAGTCAAACATGCCCGAATTAAGAAATAAGTGGGTGCAGTTTGCCTGCGGTGTTGATATACCACCAGTCAGCCCTTGGAAACAAACGTATACAGAACCACTAAGCAAATAAGATTTTCGTTTCTCCTCACGGCCGGGGAGATCGACGAAATCCTCCGGGCACAGTGGGCGCGTATTCAGTTAAGGATCTTAGAAAAAACCTACTATACGAAAGGGCTTCGTCCTCTTCGGCTAAGTACCGTACATTTGACGTGACTCTTTTATATCCGCAAAGTAGGCCATTCACGAAGGCATCATAAGACCCGAAGAGAAAACAGATCACTCATGTAGTGAAAGCCGTTGTACTCAACTATGAGGCAGTGAACAGTTCTATATTGAAAATGGCCCTGGTGCTGACTGAGTCCTCTGACAGAAAACTAGTCTTGAAGTGACAAAACGAACTAGGCCTTGACAACAACCAGTTTGATAGGCAAGAAAAGTCTGTCTGTCATCAATGGTGATGCCTGTCGGAAGATGATAAAATTTTAGCTTACTTCCGCAAAAATACGTTGACTCTTCAGTCATCGATTGCAAGCCGAAATTCGAGATTTCGAAATAAAGGACTACTTATACAGGAAGTACGGCGGTTTAAGAAGCATGGGTTCGTGTGCTCTGCTAGGCAAGGGAACAAGGGGAACACACGGTCCTAACATTTAGTGTATTAGGTCGGGAATCTGTCTAGTCAATCTCGGTCCTCTGGAGACTCAGGAAGGTTTAGAGCAAGTATCTATGTGCGTGGACACATAATAAGGTCTTGACCCACTTTTCAACAGACTGATTGAGCGGAAATCTACTATTCGTATTCGCTGATAAACGATGTGATCGATGTACAAGTAGACCAGTTCCAAGACTGTCACAAGCTTCGAAATGGAATAAACTACAGTCAGTGGTCCATCTCATGAAATGTTAACCGAAATTCTGAAACGCGTTTTTAATTAAGAATGATGGCTTTAGTGGAATAATAATATTTATCGTCGTGCAGTCCAATCCCATAATATTTCAGACACTCCAGGATGACGGCTTTTGAATGAATTCCTTTTCGGCCGCCTACAAAAATCGTACTCGGTAAAAAGTGGTCACATAAATAGTACGTATACTTTCCTGTTGATTTTCGATGTCCTTATAAATTAAAACACATTTCGTAGAGAAAATGTATGAGCATATACTTTCATGCATTCGTTTGGTAACAAATCACATCTTCAAATTTTACGCTCAAGCAAAGCGTATATTTCGGCTTCAAAAGGGTTTCCAAATTATGAGATTTTTAAGACCATGCAATATTCACTTGGACAGCATCGCACCCGCCTGTTTATTAATGCTTTATAAGAAGTATACGACATTGTCCACATCCATTATTAAATTTTATGAACCCTATATGGCACCTGCAGTAAACAAACCTCAGTCACCTCTATTAAAGGACAGGTGGTAATAGGGGTTTTACAGGTGGGGTCGGGAAACGCACAGGCGACAGGCTCAAGTAGTTGTATACAAAAAAACCTATTGAGAATGTGCGGTTGTACTTTAAATGGTTGAGATATAGTTGCGCTAACCCCTAACTATAACCCCTAATTCTAAACCCCAAACCCTTACCATAACCCCCAGCCCTAACCCCAACCCCAACAGTATTGTGTCCATCAGGTGGGGCTACCAAACCACATCTTACCGAAAACTGAAGGTAGTCTCAAGGGGAACAAATATTGTCATGCATGGTACTGTGTCTATTGTGCTGCATTGACCATAACGCACCTTCCCGAGTACAGTTTGCCCAATTATCAGAGGGGCATCCCGGCCCCCTTTAACTGACAGACGAGGAACGTCTTATACGGGGAATGAACCATTGCAGGTATAAAGTGAGTCAGCGCCCCAAAGACTGTAAAAGGCAAGCGGATAGCGAATGTCGGATGTACTTGTAGGTGGTACAACGTTGGCTTCCCACGACGCATCGGTGCAACTTGCCGTCCCTGAGAAGCCCTAATAAGAGCGCGCTCTTTGGATCTAAGAACCCTGAGTAAATAACGAACGATCTACCGGCTGCTTTCCCCATCCCGCTATTCGCAACATTTTTAACCTTCCTGAACGGCAGCATATATAAGACACGCAATCGACTTCGAAGTGTAACGGCGCTAGCTACCTCGCGTCTCTGACGACGAGATCAAATTAATGTGACGGCTCAGTACGAGAGAGGGAGGGACAGAGTGAGAGCATTGACCGAACAGATGTGTGCGCGCGGCCGCCAACAGCATGCGACTGCGACTACTCACACGCGGTCAGATAGTAAGCGGCGTCTTCCCTCTTGCGGAAGCACCCGCACAACCTCTCTACCGCATACGCCCCACTCTTCTTCGCTAGATCTGTCGTCTCCTCCGCTGCCTTCCCGCGCGCGAGCTGAGCACTTCTCACATCGGGAGATTTGGCGGAGTAACTCAGTCAACAGTCCCTCGCTCGAGCATAGGGTAAAAGGAGGACAGGCAGTGATCCTGGATTTATCTGCACGTGCGGCCGATCGTAGCACGACCCTACAGGTTGTGCAGGCGCTGTTGTTTTCACTGCGTGAACATGAATGCGCGAAGCCTCGGACAAGGGCGTCCAATTCAAGGTTACTGTCGCGATGGTGGCCATCCTGGGCTCGTCAGTAACGTATCGATCGCGCGGGAACACATGGGTCATTCATCTCGCACTGTATAGACGCTTCGAACTGTTTCATCGCGATTTCTACCACCGCATTCTGTGGAAGGGGCCTCCTTATCCACCCACAGATCACACATGATCACTGTTTCCTCCTCTCTGAAAGGGTCAAATAAAGTTTGTTGTGAATGTAACGCACCCCAGCGATTGTTAAAGGGAGGAGCGATGGGAGAAGGCTAGGTCATATGGACGACAGCACTTTCTCTGCCTGTTAAACCCCGTCACTAGTAAACTTCTAAGCGATATTTCTGTAGAAAAGTGTATCGGAGAAGAGGAGTGCACATTTGTTTTCTATATATTGACGAGATCCGCCTTCACAGGGCAAGGGTGTGAGGCGTTGAAAGACTACCCTTTCAGCAGTCAGCATCTTACAGTGACGGACACTTCTGACGTCTCCGAATATAACTCACGTGGTCCCTCGTCATGTGCATTTTCATGGGATATTCAGCCCTTTAAAAATTCCAAGACACCGCATATATCTCCACCAGGCTGGTCAAACTCACCTCCGATCATAAATGTAAATATTGCAATGGCTCCCTAAAGACCGCTTACAATGCGTGTTTCGGTGGCAAGATAATAAAAAATATATCTAAGAGGGACTGGCCCGCGCAACATCCTTTATTTTTTTAATAGGATTTGATACATTTTAATATACTAGACATTAAGTGGTATGGTGCCTATACCTGAAGGTCCAGGGTATAATAATATCGTCCTTTATTATCTCAGGCTATCAGGGTAGATGAGTGGGCGCTACTTCGCGTCTTCTCCTATTCAATTACCTGAGTCACGCAAATTTTAAACCATCTCTGGTTTTCTTGCAGAAGTCACGATGCAGAAATTAGAGGCTATCGCCTTACCACTAATTAACCCCAGATTATGGGTACGATATGTCGATGACACGTTTGTCATTGTTAAAAGTGATCAACTGGAAATACTCCACAATATTATAAGCTCAACACTTCCAGGAATCACATTCACACTCGAGAAGGAGGCTAACAACAAACTCCCGTTTCTTGATGTCCTCGTACAGAGAAAGCCTGACGGGACATTTCATACTTCGGTTTACCGCAAAGAAACCTACGCAGAAGTCCTTTTGCATTACGAGAGCAATCACCCGATCTCTCACAAACGGAGTGCCGTGAACAGCCTCCTTAACCGAGCAAGAACTCACTGCTCTGACAGCGAAACATATCAAACAGAACTGAAGTATTTGTTAAAACTGTTTTCCCAGAATGGGTATCCTAGATATTTTGTACACCGATGCATGCGACGACAGTAGTTAAAAGAAAGAGAGAAGGAACCAGATTGTTCCCATCGGGCGCCCAAACCAAAAAACTGGCGAAAACTTCCGTACATTAAGAATGTGTCCGAACTAGTTGAAAGACACTTGAGGAAGCACCAAATGCATGTGGCGCACAAGCCGACGGCTACAATTCGTAACCAGCTTGTACAGCCTAAGGATAGGGCTGGCTATTTAGATAAGAAGGAAGTCATCTACAAGATACCATGCAACACCTCTAATGCAGTTTACTGCGGTCAAACTGGGAAATCGGCCTCTACGCGAATACACGAACATCAGTTGGCCGTAAAAAGACGCGACCACTTGTCCCAAGTGGCCATACATACGTTAGAAACGGGACACAAATTCGCCTGGGACAGGACTCGCATTGTAGGTGTCTACTCATCCAAAAAGGGCCGTGAATTTTTAGAGGCCATCCATTCTGATAGCGCATGCATCAATCGACACGTAGAATTGGATACGGTGTACAACAGCCTCAAGGAAAAGTGAAAAAGGCGTTAGCCAATCAGAACATTACACCAGCAGGAGTTACAAGGCAAAATCGATTTTTTCGGCATGTTTAAATGTTAACTGTTTTGCACACTTACTTCACGTCTGAAGACGACTTGGGGAATCAAGATCGAAAATTTACAATAAAACTTGTTTATCTTTCCCAAAGACCTTATTTCTTTCGAAATACATATATATATATATAATGGTAGGGGGCGCTCACCGATCGTTCATACGGAACTGACTCGTTTCGTTGTGCCTTAAGGGCTCCCTCTCTCAAGCCCAACCAGCAGCCGCTCACCGGCGCATGATATATAAGCAGAATGGTATTACCGGCAAAGACAAGGGAGACTGGAATGGCCATTTCTGTCTAATTAGTCGTCGTCGTCGTCGAGAGGGAGAGAGAGCCGATAGAGAGAGCCCGTAAGGCACAACGGAACGAGTGAGTTCCATATGAACGATCGGTGAGTGCCCCCTACCATTGTACATTCCCGATCGAAAACCGACAGGGCAACGGGCTCGTGGCGCAGTGGTTAGAAGCGTGGACCTCTAACTAACAGGGCGCGAGTTCGAGGCTCGGGTGTTCCACACTTCGGGCTTGGGCATGACTGGCTGACGACGGCTAATAAGCCAGAAATGGCCATTCCAGTCTCCCTTGTCTTTGTCGGTAATACCATTCTGCCTATATATATGCCAAATAAACGTGTGACTCTCACTGTTGTGGTTAAGATCTCATTCGATCCCCTTCTGCCCGTCCATCAGCCTGCTACTGGCGACAACGAACGCTGTGTCATAGGACACATACCACATATAATACACATGCAGCTCACTGAGAGTGCAACAGACCACACGCACTTATCTCCAAGGAAGATAGGTCGACGATCGAGTAGACCGAGGTAATAGAAATAGCCAAAGAGTTGGTGGGTTTTCCAACACATAGACAACACTCAAAACTGAAGATGAGGCGTTCGGAATCAAAGAGAGTTGAAATACGTAGAAAATTCACCTACTCAAACGAAATCTCCCAATAAATAGTCTGCATGGTAATGGAGCCAAATTAGTCTTCTCCTTTTTCGCCCAAACATGACTGGTCACACAGACGTGCATTATACGCTACTTCTAGGTATGTCTTTCGGAATTAAAATTGTTCAGGCTTTCACTTCAGCCACGGCGAGCAGCAAAGCTTGTTAAGTCGCCGATTAAAATCTTTATTAGAAGTACCTTGCCTTCATTGATATTCCAAGCCGACCACAACGGGTTAAAATCTTTTCGTTCGTTTCTGCGAAGTAACAAGCGCGAATTTAGCGTAAGCACGAAGAGGTCGCTCATTATAATATTTTTATTCTTTATAAATTGTGAAATTATTAATTGTTGACGCTGTTGCTGCCTGGGGACACCCTGCATCCGCACACTCACTAGGTTATACATTGTGTGCAACTACGAAAAATATGAAAATGCGAGACACTGAGAAAAAATAGTTCTAGGTGCACAAGGACCCTAGGTCAGAAAAATATATCAGAGTTAGGCAAAAAACGACTTGTTTATCGTTTAAACAACTCAAGCTTTAACGAATAAACGAATTATTTCTTGTTACTCAACTTACTTCCTCCGAAACTTCTAAATTTCAATGAGCCTAAGAAATTGACGCCTTTTTGAGTCGTTGCACTCAGTTTTGCTCTTGGCAGCACAGAAGCACGTTTTGGTACTTGTAGAGACACCAGGGGACCATAATATCCTTTTAAGTACCATGTTCGTCTCCACGAAAATTGCATATCGAATGCACGGTTATTCTTGAGGTACCAGGACTCTTCGTTGCTTTCTTATGAGTGTTGATTGCTTAGATTTAATCAACCACCCAAAGACGAATAGGAAACTGCGGAGTTAATGATGATGCTAAAAATCTTCACAGGAGAATTATTATAAAACAACATATGAGACCGGCCGGCTGTGACGCTTAAAGTTGTAGCAAACAAGAATCCGTTCGGTGAGATCCCTGTCCTATTGTTGGACGTGTTTTGCTTAAAGAAACGTCTGTGCAAGCTTATCCGATGCCTCACGTGTAAATTCGAACAAGTGACACTATCTAACGCCCCCTCTTCCTAGTCACCTTCAGGAAAATCGCCTCTACTTACTTCGTACTAGAGTAAGGTCACAGGCCTATTTATTCACGTCCGTAAAAAAACACGAAAAATAATGAACAGTGTTTGCTAATACCAGTACGGCAATATTGGTGAAATCTGAAAAGCTGCTACCGTAGCTATAAAACAAGATAATTTGCCTAACCGTGCTCCCGTCAAAAGGAAAAGGCGCCAATGAGAATAGTTTTGAATCGAATCGCTTCTAATTTCGGTTGTTCAAGTTGTGCGGCATAACAATGGTCACGACGGTGCTATACAGACGTTTTAACGCTTAACGACATAAACAGCCCGCATGAACGTACCGAGTTCGCCCTGCCGCAAGTCACCTAATCGAATGGCTCCATCGGCAATAAACTCGGGGTAGTTTATCTTTCTTGGAGCAATGCCCAACACATCAGTGCGGCACATGGCGGAGACTATTTCTGGTGGTCGCATCCATACAATGTTGCAAGGAGGACGGCGACTATAATAGAGGCTGGATTCGTCAGCGGGGAAGGAAGCATCACAAAATAGACGTCCAACAGCGCGGTTCTCAGCTCGGATTTGCTCAAATGCTTCCGAGGGCCCGCCAAGTTGCGTGGGCGGAGAGACTGCGGTAGACATCCCGGGGACCTGACTAGGGCTTCGACCTAGAAGACGAGGAGAAAACTTGCAGGTTGAGGAAAATTGTTTAAAACGGAGGTTTTAAGGTTTTTTAATTATGTAACGTGACTATTAACACTTAAGCAATAAGGAAGTCGAAAATCAAGAATCCAAGCCACACATCATGTTTAAAAAATCTCGTTACTGCATATTTGTGAGACGAATTTGTGCGAAGAACGGTAAAACTTTGCTGCAATTTCATTCGATTTATCAGCATATGGTCAACAGACTACGTTTAAAGATGGCTGATTAAAAGATTTAAAATGCTTATTTCTAGTAAGCGAAGTAAAGTAGTTAGGCTTTTTTTACGGATATTTGTCGCGAACTAGAAAAGCTGACCAAAGTTTTTCTACAAATACTGATCCGGATAGTCGGATAATTATATCCTCGATCTGTAATTTGAACGGCATTCGGCTTATAGAATTACCCTTGAGAATAATAACGCAGTCGTTGCAAAATAAAGACTGGGGGAATGTGTAACATAAAAAAGGGATTCTTTTATTGAAAAACACTTTGGTGATAAACAAACCGGAGCCCAAAGCAAAAGGGCAAAATCAGTCATTCATTGCCTAGTCTTTACAAGTTGATCTGCTCAAAATATAAAGGTCTGCCCGTTGTTTAACAAATAAAACAGCTTTTTTATTAGTGCCATAACAAAGTAAACACTGCACAACTTCCTCGTATACCGTCATTTCGTGCTAAACTATAAGTTTTAGCCCCAAGCAAATTTGCCATGTTATAGCCCGGTGCGTAGCCCCGCCCATATTGGGCATAGCCCCTTCGCGCCCCGGGGTTTGACTGGTCCAAACGGGGCTGGTGCTAGCAGGGAATAAGGGGAATGGCTATATACGTTTAAGATATATCTTTAAAATATTAAACACTTGGCACTCAACTGTAACTAGAGTTCTCGTGATGACAAAGTACATAACTCGGATTATGAACCGTAATTTAACGAGCCTGATGTTTGTAAAGCCTGTGAGAATGGAGTACCAGTAATCATAAAGAAATCACACAAGTCACTGCCTTAATACCCGCGTCAGAAGATGAACCCTTCTGTAAATAAAAATTCTCGTTCAATCGTTTTCTCGTAGCCTTTTATTATCATTGTCCGTGTCAATGCCCGTGTCAGAAGATGAGACATTCTCCAAAGAAAAATTCTCGTTTAATCGTTATTATCATTCTCATAGTCCTTCAAAGTAGGGAAAAATAACGCAACAAATTAAAAAGTAGGCGGCAACACAATCGAGGGCCCTTTTACAAATTTAGAAAACTGTGCCCCGAATCATTAAAAAAAAACTGGTCAGTGTTACTTTACCACAAAAATAAAGTTTTCAAGCGTTAAGTCTGAAAAAGGACAATGTTTCAAACTTGCCTTTAGATGGACGAGTGCGCAAATGACCATCGAGTGAGCTGCGGCAAAAATCTTCGGTATCAGAATGCCTTCCCTGCTGGGAAAAGCGACCAGGATTGGACTCCCGAACACGTCGAAATGGCGTGTCAATTGGAAAATTGTTTAAGCTATTGCTGGAATAATTAAATGGGTCCTTATAAGTCCTTTTCAAATTCATACTTATTGCAGGGCTTTTTAATTAAAGTTAAATCCATTTGATTAGAGGTCGTTATGACGACGGTTTTGACCCTCTGTCACGGGGAAAAGATGAAACCACCGTAAACGGACACCATGCTCATATTTCCGAAGGTGGCGGCATGCGTAGCCTTGAAAGGTAAAACTGCATTAGTGCGTAAAAACTGCCTAAACCTACTGATTGGACCTGATTTTTCTGTTGTCTGAATGCTCTTGACTGTTGCGATTCACTCTGAAGAAGTTTAAAAGAATTGATAAGAGTTTCCACACTCAGGGTGTTTCAGTCTTGTCGCGTATTTCTAAGCGCCTTTTGGAAGTTGCTTCCATGAACGTATTTTATAGCTTTTCACATCCAACATGGAGGTGTAGATAAGCACTTAGAAAAAATCGTTGAGACAGATAAGTCTAGTCCTGACATTAAAGGCGCAATGTGTGCATTTTATAGGACAGTGGTTAGAAGCCTAAGTCAGTAATCCTAATAGTTTGGACAATACTTTCATAAAGTGGAAGATAAAAAGAGACCTTGAAACAGCTAACCCACTGCTGATATGTATCAGTCTCTCTGCCTTCGCCGCGAATAGAATACTTAGCTCGATTAACAGGATAAAATGAGGACCATGCCCTTACTGCCAAACGGGTGTGTAGGTCTGTCCGTTAATAAGCTTCACGTGAAAATCGTATTAGGTCTCGTGCTGGTGGTAACTACGACTAACAATAATTAATTGGTGCTCACCGAATCTAGGTTTTATATAGTGACCACACCCTGGCAACCGCCTCGACAGGCGGGCGAAATCAAGTAAGGGTATCCGGTGTTGTGTGTGTACTGAAACCCATTATTTTGGTTCCCATTCAAGTCCCTTCCTCTCCTTCCCCTCCTCTTCCCTTGCACCCCTTCTTCTCATCTCTTTTCATTCCCTCCTTCCTCCTTCAATTTCAAAAAGCCCTACAGAGAAGACGACATACAAGCCCGTAGGCAGTTCAGATCAACTCGGTTCACGCTCGAATAACTCAAGCCGCGACCTATGGTGGAGTTCGGCAGCCATCTGGGATGTCTCAGCGACAGGTGTCTTTCCTTCAACATTAATTGAATCACATTCATTATATCTTTTTCGATAAAATGAGGGGGTTTTTTACTGTCCGCCGGCCATTTTAATATCAGACTGCCTATTTTATAAGCACAAATGAGACACTCTACCAAATCTTCCTACTCCTTCTAAAATTCGCTCGAAAATTAGCCTTAACGTTACCGTCATTCGTGCCAAATAAAACAATCAATTTATTATTTTTCTAAACGAGCGCAAAAAAAGCGAACATCAAGTAAGTTAAATACTGACTTGTTCGCTTTGCCTGATTAACATTAACATTTCAATAATCAATTAGTCCAGCATGAAGGAGAACTGCCGGCTCCGGTTGACAATGTCAGCGTGGAGCATCGGTAAAATCAACAGCGGAATGTCATTCACTCGAATGCTTTGGATGTCCTCGGTCGTGCACGTCGCCAACATCAGGATTGATTGGACGACAACGACGCAAACACCAGCCAGCTTCCTGCTGAAAAGCATAGGCTACGTAAGGCCTACATGGACCACCGAACAAACGCCAACAAAGCAGTCTTCTTCCGCTACTGCCGTCTCGTGCAGCAGCCGCTAACGGAGGTGCAGGATCCCTGGATGTATCGCAAGGTCTACGAAATCTAAGGGTATGCCGGCTGCAATGAGACCATGGCGGTCTACCGTCCCACATCTCAAGGAACCGCACTGGTTCTCCGCTTTCATGAAAAGTCTTTACTGATAGCTAAATAACAAATTCTGAAGCAGTAGTTGGAGCACTTTAGAACTGTCCAGAACCGTCCACATAGAGTGTCCGCCGCCGTCGTTAATTGTCTCCCCGATGTGAGAACCAACAACGATGTGGATCTGCTGCCCTCCCTTCTGGAAACAACTCGAGCCATGAGACAACTCTCTAGCAAAAAAAGAGGGAAATCCAATGTAATCCTGGCAGAATTCTGCAACACATGATTGCTCTGATGAATGGCTCGGATAACAATGCTATTCCATGAGATGGGGTCCCGAGGACAAGTTGCTCGGGACTTCGACGATGCGACAATCGTTCATTTTTACGGGTTGATAAGAATTCGACAATTCTGTGATAACCGCTGAGGAGTCTCGCTAATAAATCTCGCCGAGAAAAATTTCGTTGTCATTCTCCTCAGCCGTCTTAACGGTCATCTCGTGCAGAGACGTCTGTGAAAAAAACTCGGCGTGGACTCGGACACCACTGCAGAACCATAAACATGATCGTCGCCGCCCGTCAGCTGCATAGGAAGTGCCGGGAAATTCGGGTTCGCCTCTTTGTTATTTTCGTGGACATAACGAAGACCGTCAACACGATGAATCGCGAATTACTGTAGAAAACCATGCAAGAATTCAGCCGTCCTGAGCGATTTACTCACCTGAAGCGTCAGCTTTATGACGCGCCATCGCGCGTGTCATGGACAACAGGACCGTCTCGGATGCATTTGCAGTAATTAAGGGAGTGAAGGAGGGCTGCTCACTCGATTCAATATTCCTCAATATCAATTTTGCTTCCATGCTGACGGACGCTTGCCATGATGAGCACTCCGCGGATCCATATTGACTGTTGGACCGAGGCATATCCTCTCAACAGCAGGCGCATGCGGGCCTCAACGCGTTCCGCTACAACTAAAATCCACGACCTACTCTGTTGTGACGACTGAGCACACGAAAGCAAGACAAGAGCAGACGTGCAATACATCATGAATCTTTTCGCTTCCGGCTTAGTCAATATCCGACTGACCTTCAACACAGAAAAAATGATCGTACATCAATCGTCATCAAAAACTGCAAACAGCGCTCATTGCACTCACGTCAACGGCACCCAACAGACGTCTGTGAACAACTCCACCTACTTAAGCAGTACACGCTAACGCCACAGCAAAATTGACGACGAATTGCTCTCCCGGAGCTCCAAGGCCAGTCAAGCCATTTTGAGGCTTCAGGGGTTTGTATGGAATCCTCGAGTTCTCCACCTTAACACTAAACTGAACATGTATAAAATAGACATCTCGGCGACCTCGCTTTTTGGCACGGAGACCTGTGCAGTCTATGAAGAACAAGCGCGGAATCTTAATCTTTTTCACCTTGGTTTTCGCCGCCAGATACTAAACCACTTGTGACAGGACAGGATTCCGGACGCAGAGGCTTGATTCGGACTGGAATCATCAGCATACACGCCATTCTGAGGTAACTACAACTACGCTGGAATGGCTAAATCATAGAGATAGACCACGAACGGCTACCAGACAACTCTTCAGCGGAGATATCGTCATAGGTGCTCGTCGACAAGGATGTTAAATCCCTCGCTACAAGGACACCTTGAGGCGGCTTCAGATCAACTCGAAGGTTGTTTATGTGTAAATTGCAGACGAGGTCCCTAGTTATGTCACCCACTGCGCCCATTACCTCACCAGGTGACTGGCCTCCTCGGGCATTCGCTAAAGCCTACAAAATGGGAAATTTAGTGATACCGAGGTCTTAGCGCATAGCACACACAATGAATAGTATAACGCGCTTGAAGGTATCACGGTACGCTAAACGTTATGGCTTGGAAAATGCCAACTGACGGGGTAACTCAGACCTTTCAGTCAACCCAGAATGTGTCTGTGGAGAATGGCCAGCAAGCGAGCCGAAAGCCAGGACGCGGTGGCTCCCTCCTAATGCGGTCTCTATAGCACTCCCACTCCGTGGGATCTGAGCCGTTCCCTCTCTTTTCTTGGCGTGTATAGTTCTCGTCAGTATGCACTGTAAGCCAGGAAATTTTTCGGTGTGCCTACGTACCATTTTACGTCGTGCCAGCCACCTGCGTCATCATCCATCCTTTGTCACTGTGCGTTTAAAGACAGATTTTTTACCTTACACGTGCTTCGAATTCACTCAATGGACCTAAATAGATAAACAAACTGTTTTATTGAGTACCCTTGATGGTAATTTCATAGCAAGTAAAGATAAAGCTGCAAGTATATTTTTTGAAACGAGTAGACAGACCCTGCACAAAAATCAGTTGACAGTTATGGGGTAAACAGTCAGATATCGTGTGTTTAACGCTATATTTGTGTTTAACGCTTCCCTGGCAATGCCTTTAAAATAACATTAAATAAACTTATTAGTATTAAAAACGGTCAGCGAGCAGTGAAAAAAACTCCTCATGAAAAAGACAAAATGATTATGATTTAGTTAGCTTTAAAGGAGGGAAAAACCGCCGCTCATTAAAGGGTAAATATGCGAGCCAACAGGATTTGCCTGCATATGGTATTGTATAAGGGATTCAAAACGGAAATCGTGAAGACAGAATTCCTGAGCAAAATGAGAATATCTGCCTCAAAGTGGCGAGACAAGAGAAACTCAGACGCGATCGGTCACACTCCGCTTAGAGTCCAGCTGAGGAGGGTACATTGAAGGCTGAGGATGTCATCAAAGCGTGGGGGAAGATAGATAGATAGATAGATAATTTTTATTAAAGACCCGTCGGGGTCCCATCAAAGCAAGTTAAAATAAATTTACATGCGAGTTTTAGACGAGGTAGGCTGAATCTTTACAAAATGCAATTCATAGTTTCTGAATTAGAAGTCCATTGAGAAACATGAAGATTGAGGGGTGAAAAAAAACTCCTCGGAAAAAGTTACAAATGATTGGATTAATTTTACAGGAGAAAAAACCCCTCTTTAAAAATAATAACAGAAAAAAAGCGAGCAGGACTGGCCTGTAGGTGGCGGTATATAACGGAATGTTTTCGGTCATCGTCAGGGTATCAATAAATGTCCGCCTTGATGTGTACGAATGTGGGTCAGACAGGACTGGCTTGCAAATGGCATTGTATACGGGATTCACAATTGAGATCGTCTGGGCCTGATTGGTAGACGAGAGGAACCGAGATGCGATCGGCCACAGCACGCTTCGAGCTCAGCCGAGCAGTGAGGAAGGGAGGTAAGACCGAACTACTA